GTAAAATACAAAGACTATAGTCTTTGACGTAAAAGTGTGTAAAAATGCAAAGACTATAGTCTTTTGCAAAAATGTGTAAAAAATGCAAAGACTATAGTCTTTTGCAAAAAAGTGTGTAAAATTGCAAAGACTATAGACTTTTGCATAAAAATGTGTAAAAATGCAAAGAATATAGTCTTTTGTGTAAAAGTGTGTGAAAATGCAGACTATAGTCTTTGATGTGAAAGTGATTTAGCTACCGTCGATGCAACTTTATCTATGTAGCTATATGTCCACACCAGGTAAAGATCATTGGCAAGCAGTAAAAAGAGTGTTTCGTTATATCAAAGGAACGATAGACTATGCTCTTTTGTTTCCACCAAATGGAAAAGATTTTGATTTGTATGATTGTTAAGACACTGATTGGGGTGATGATGTAGAAACAAGACGTTTTTCATGAGAGTATGTTTTTTAGATTTATAAACAGCGCGATAAGCTGGTGCATTAAAAGACGAACATCTTAATCAAGATCTACAACGAAAGCCGTATATATTGCTTTGAGTTCAGCTTCACAAGAGTCCATCTGGCTAAGAGGATTTCTGAATGATTTTTAATTGTTGAAACCTGTCCCTACAACTATTAATGACGATAATCAGGGTGTCATTTAACTGTACAAGAATCCTAAACTTCTTAATCGCACTAAACACATTGAATTATCCAATCACTTTATTAGAGCGAAACAGGAACACAATATGCGTAAAGTATTGTCCTACAGAATCAAAGATTTCAGACATTATGACTGAGCTGTTAGGCAAACCTACGTATGAACGTTTTAGAGATCTCATTCGTGTAAAACAAATTTAACTTAGGCCCGTTTACACTATACTAGATTGCTATCGTAGCAGGTTGAATATTCTTTGTATTAAAAGGCAGTAAAATTGTTCAACGTCAGAAAAACAATCAAAATGCGTGAATTATAGTCTTTTTGTGAAAAAAGGTGAAATTTTGTGAAAATGCATGATATTTGATCTTTTTGTGAAAAAACGTAAAAATTTGAGAAAATACATGAATTATGCATGTATCTACATTTTTGTCTACATTTATGTTTACCTTGTGTCTACCTTGTGTCTACCTTTATGTCTACCTTTATGAATACTTTTACCTTTATGTCTACCTTTATGTCTACCTTCATATCTACCTTTAGGTCTACATTGTCTCTACTTATTAAATAATCATGTAACGTCGTCTTTAATAAAAGATAAATATAATTATGTACAAAAAGTTTAAATTTTCAAACTAATGTTTAGGTCTTTAAGCTGAAGAAAATTAGCAATAAGCATCATAAATAAGAGTAAGAATATTTACAATTAAATTATATGGTCAAACTGTCAATGACATTAGCAACATAGTAATGTTTCGTGCTCAAAATAATCATTAGTTTCGCAAAGAATTCTAATTAAATGTGCATTCATCTTTTTTCTATTTTTTCGGAATTTTTATTTCACTCACAAAAACATTTGTCTTGGACAAAAACTGCGTCTGCTAAATCAAAAACGACGAAGAAGGCAAAGTCTTCTTAATGCATTTCCAAGTTACAGCTACTGATCTTTTCATTCTTTCTTAGCAAAGAGTTGATACCAGTTACGCTTGTGAAATATCCGCGATTCGTGGCCATTTTTAGAACAGGTTCTTCTACAAAAAATCATAACTTCTAATAACGTCTGATAACAAAACACTGTTTGTACTACTCCTATTGAGTAGATCCAGTGAACGCCAGACAGGCGTTTTTTTGGAACATTTAATTTATGTCTAAAAATACCGGTTAGTTAAATGCTATAAAATTGTAAATGTTAATAATTCTTACCTCGTTTAACGTGATGTTTTGATTTGAATATACAATATAATACAACGACAATCAACGTTACTACGACTCCAATGCTTAAGCCAATAACAATGGACAAGAAATTGACATTTGAATTCTTACAGCTTGTCTGAGCTTTGTGTTCCGGCGGTTTAATAGACTCTTTTGGAGAAAGAAAAAAAAATTATACATCGAAAAAAGAGATTAAAGTTTTGTTTATTTCGAGCCTACCTATTGTGGTTGTGTTCCTAGCAAACTCTCTCCGAAACTTTGTCGACATTGCCAAATTTTGTAAAGTTGTAATAACCAAGGTGTTTGTCGTCGTCAATGGCAAATCTACACACAACAAATTTGTAGAAAATCAACGCTTGCCTTAAGAGAAGTCGTTTGCCTACCCAAGCTGTTTTTTCACTATCGTTAATTCAGAAAATGATTTATTTAAAGAGTGCAGTTGAGAAACATAGAAAATTTCCAAAAAATGTGAAAATTTACAGTAACCTTTTGTTCGAAAAGATAATTTACTGGAGTAAGTCCCAGGACTTTCAACAGTCTGAGCTCTGATACAGACACTATACAAAGTATACGCCTTTAAGCCATACACAACTGCTGAATATTTGGTCGGTTCAACTAAAGTCACGTGACATCTCTCTTCCTCTTTCAAAGTCTTTTTACGAATGCAAATGTTGTAATATATCAATGGGCCATGGATGTCATTTGGTTTCTGCCATGAAATCATGACGGACGTCATGGTGATATTTGATATGGTAACATTTCGTGGAGTACTACTCACAGGAACACCTAAATGAAGAACGTTATATGTGTAGACACAGCGCTGAATCACCAAACATGGAGCAAAACAAAGAAAATGTAATGCATTTGTCAAGGTGAGCAATTTGGTAAACAAATCAAACATTTACCTTTTGTTCGACACAAAATGTTTTCGGAGAAATTTCCACGGATATGACTCGTAACAGCGCGCATACGAATAAAATAATCCGTTGATGGCTCGAGTTCGTCTAAAACGAATGAGTTGGCCAAACCTTCTACCATATGACATATTTCAGACGAATTTATTGCTCGACAACAGATGGAGTAATGAACAATAGTGTCATCATTGCCCAGTGGAGGTTGCCAGGATACATTAAAGCTCCATGACGTCAAATTTGTCACGTGAATATCCCGAGGTGCAATGATAGATGGAGCTTTTGTTTTACAGACTATGGAGGAATAAATGAATAATTTGTAAACTGTAAAAAACTATTAACTCAATATAATAATAAAACCTTCATTTCGTCCAAACGTTGAACATAAAGATAAAGAACACTCCTCCTCATCATGGCAAACATGAATGCGTAGAACTATAGTACACTGTTTCGAATAAGTATTTAATGAATCTTGTAAACCATTTGATGTGGCTGAAAAAGAACGATAAAATAAAACGATCTTTCAGAAATATTAAATTGAATTGCTTCACCCTGAATCATCACTTTGTAATTTAATTAACATATTTTATTTATTTATGAGAAGAAAATATCAATTTCCATTTTTTCTTAAAATCGGAAATGAATATTTAGTTTTACAACAGGAAGCAACTAAAAAACAAATTTTAAAACTATTCCATTTAATCACATTCTACTACATTGCAAGAATATACATTATAAAGCAATATGTTTAAATAGTGACTTACAGAAGAAGATGTAGTCTTCTCCAGCGTTGAAAGTAGGGTTATCAGAGACAGCTTGAAAATTATTAATCAGCAGAAATTTGTAGTCCACTTCATACGAAGTCTTATTACAAGAATAAATGAGCCGCGAATCTGAAATTCATTAGAAAGATAACATTAAATAGCGGCCTGTTCCTCTTGCCAAGGTATTAACTTCCAATAAAATACGTACGCAAGACAAAAATGACTTAATTATTTTGTAAATCAACTTACTTAAAGGATCGCAGATCTCGCTATAATCGAGTAACGTTGAATTAACTTTTCTCATGTATATGTTATAATGGACTTTGTGAAACGCTGTATCGACCAAAGTGTTAGTTATTCTTAAGTTGGGACAGAGAAAAACAACTTCATTGTACAATTTCACGGAAACAGCTTCAGACCAATGTTCTCTTTGAAGTCTGTAACGTAAACAAAATGTTTATTGCATAGCTTGGTAATTATATTTGCCTGTAAAAAAATGACAGGCAAATAATGGCTGGCACACCTTATTTTAAGTGATGAAATGCATGAACGAAAAAGCATAGATATTTGTGATCAAAACAGTCGTTGTCTTTACGACAAATAATATTAGTGAAATTTAACTAACAGGTCGATATCGAACTTTTATAACAATATCATTTGCGGACTTCTCGTCTCTGTTCCTTAACCAGATGTAAACACTCAAGCTTTAAGTTGTCATTTTAAAAATTTCACAGCGATAGTCATGACAGTCATAAAAACACATTTTTGCAACAGTGCATTATGTTAGCATCACAGTTGTCACAGTAAATGAACGTTTAATGATGAGAATGTTTTCGCGGAAACATCACTTTATCACACTTAAGTAATATACCAATGTGGCATACGAAGAATAACATAAAATTATTGAAAGGTAAATTTCTGATATCTTTAACTTATTCCTAAATTATATAATTGATCATTTTAAATCAACGTAATGTTCAACTTACGCTGGTGAACTGGGATGCCAAAATATTGTAGGTAATACCGTAGTTGAATGAACATCGACGAATGTTGTGCTCAAAATGAGCACTATTACCACATTTAAATCCATCAAAACAATCTTTACCGTTCTTCTTGCTTTTTCTTGTTCACATATAAATTGAGAAAAACAACAGTATTGAAGCGATGATGTAATAGCTAATTCTCATTCAAGGCCTTAAAAATTGCTGCAAATTTCCCACAACAATGATCGTAGTCAATGACGGACTTCCTAATCACATTTATATTGTTAATTAAACAAACATACCCGTTGCAATAATGGTAAAATTTTCATAAATTTAGTAAAAATTAGCTAAGTAAAGTTATGTAATTGTCAAAATCAGTTATAAACGATTCCCAAGTAAACGACTTAAAATAAAAACTTCGTTGACTTTACCTTCAACGTCGTCGTGATGAAATTGAATGACTCGATGAGAAAAATTATCTTTATCATTTCGTTGATATGACCATCTGGAAAGTAAAAATGTCATAAATATTAGTTGGTCAAGGAAATCATTAGCTAACACGTGTTTGGTATAGTTCCAAATTATTAACATAATAGAAGCAAGTTTGTGGATGTAGATCGTCCAGGTTAATTGAGTCCTTAGGAGTGTTGTTGTTGATGTTCACTTAAGTTTCGATAACCTTAACAGTTGTCAATTTCCTTTAAAAATAACGTTCATTTAGAAAATAGCATCCATGATTTCATTCAAGGAGGAATGTATTACTGCAAATTTCCTAATATCATAACATATTCTTTGAACACTATCTAATTATCTGAGTACAGGGAGGGACCCACTGGCAACGTCTACATTCGTCCCTTGATATTCAAAAGAGACAATAAGCTCTGAACAATCTTCGGTGAAAATTTTACCTGCAACACTGTGAGGAGTGACTTTTCAAAAGTTTTAGTCTATTGATTTCCAACCAATACCTAAAAATGAATGGAACAAATAATAAGTTAAATTTGAACGTAAAAAATTCAGTTTCTGATGAAAAAGTGCAAGAAAAACATCTTTCAAAATTTTACTTTTAAATATCATTCTTTTGTATTACATTTACATCATTATCATTATCAACTCTTTTGTATTATAAGGATACTGAAAAACATGATAAACTTTTGCTTCTTTGTTTTCGTTCACTCGATGTCACTTACAAAAACAAAACACTGATGGTTTAGCATTGACTAATGAAACGGTTAAACTGTGCTTGCCAGGTTTTCATTTGCTTTCAAAATTAAAACAATACACGTTTCTGGAAACAAAGTCTCTATTTGTCAATATTCATCATGATATTGAGAGAGAGTGTCTCGTATACATTATGTGGAGGGGATCATGGTATCATAGTTTTTAAAGGTTTTTAAAAAGATATGCGCAAACAGGGTGGATATGGAAAAATTTTAATAAAGTTTCAGAGCCTACCCCATTAAATGTATTTAATATTTTTCATTACTGCTTTCTTTTGAACAAAACACCAATGATGAAATGACGTGAAAATATTTTCATAATACAACTTTCAAAACAATACTTTATAACGTAATAATATAAGACAATAAACATTATTGGGCGTTTACCTATATTTGCAAGTCTAATACGTCAATATTAGAGAAGACAAATGAATAACTAAATAACAAAACCAATAGAGTCACCTTTTACACACATACCGGATACAGCAAAGTTTGTCACATAACGATACATCCTGGAACAATAACATCAGACATAAGGTAAGAAAAAGTTTGGGTTTTGGCAACACAATTACAGAGACTGACATTAACACTTTCATAAATGGTTTCCCGGTAATAGAAGCAACCAAGCACAAAATGTAAGTATTCTTTGTGATTTTATTTTCTAGTCGATTGATATAATTTCCATATAATTTATCAAACAAACAACGAAAAACAAAATCACATCGCCTTTCACATTACTATAGGACCATAATTACGCCTAAATTTGTAACTACACAAATCGTAAAACAAAACTTTTGCTCTTATTCTTCGAATATTTAACACAACATAACTTAAAGAGGAAGGATTCTGTTTACGTCGGCTTTTGTGTTCAGATGAAAGGTGATAAAAGTTCTTTTATTTCAAGCATTAAAGTTATTCAGAAGTTGAAGCTTCATCAAGAACTATTATAAACAAGAAAATGTACTACCTGTCATTCTTGGTTACTGTCATCAGTTTTATACAGTTGAAGAAAGCAGCTTATTTACCTTCGATAATTTGGGATAAAAGAAATCCAATGTAAGTGCACCGAAAGGCTAAAAGATAAATATTTAAAATTACAACAGTCTTTCATTCTCTTGTTTGGTGGAAGTTTAGGGCAGATACAGCTATTTAAGACAAATGAAATGAATGATAATGTATTGAGGAAACTACAAACATCTTCACATTATATTTAATGTTTGTATTTTCTTCTTTTCCTAATATTTATCACTTTGGGATTCAATGGTCAAAATATTTCTGATGAGTGAATTTTGCCGCAAGATTATCGCGGCAGAACACTTAGACATACACAGAATGTCATCAAAGCGGTAGACAAACTGCTAAAAACAGAAGTTCATCACGATTCTTTATATTTTTTAAAGTTCGTGATTTTTTTTCTTGAAAAAGACGTCTCCTGTAGATAAAATAGTTACCGTAAAGTGAGTACACTACATATAACACACGCAAAGCCAATATTAAAGAACCATACTGACTCTTATTAAGATAATAATAATAATCCCACGCATATATTGTCTCATATCACCATTTAACTTCTCGATTTCTCAGTCTGCAGAAACGATACTGGAATCAAGTTGTTAATCTTCAAATATTTGATGAGCTTACATTTATCTGCCCACATCGAGCAATAAATTTTCAAAGAAGGGAAGCACTGACTTCTTTGAATGAGCTTTACTACCGAATTTACGTAAAGCAAGTGCAGGCAGATATCAGGGATTACAGTGAAGCATGCGACTCTGGCGGTAAGCTTTAAATATCTTACATAGCATATCTATACAAGCATTCTTATAAAAAAATTTACCTTTTAGAAAACTCCACTGCAAAAATGATTCTTGATTGCCAAGATCCGGCCAAACTAACTTACGAAAGCATACAAATGAATATACGTCAATCTCATCCAGATTTACCAGTTTTTGAATATAAAAAACACTATATGTTTTATGGTATGTTTGAATACAAACAATTCAATTTCTTAAGTTTAGAAAAGGATGCATTTCTACCAGCACGAATATAAACATATTTATGAAACAAAAGTGGTTATTTCTAGCAACATCAAATGGAACACAACAATCGTTGGGAAATGAATCAAGAAATTGCACTATCGTATTTAGAATTTACTTTGATGATAAAAATAAACAATCAACTGTTCAATCATGTCCTTTGTATGAAAGACAAAATGGTAAGAATAAAATCAGTTCATTTTTTTTTAATTCCTTCACATGCAGAAATCCGTTGTTCATTTTTAAATGAATTATTAAATAACTGACATTTATAACTCCATTTCTTAGTAATTCTCAGAAGATCGTAATATTTACAACTTATTATTTTTTAATATTTACTTTTTACCAAAATGATAATTAACATTACAAGATATTGTTCAGTTTTACACATGTTCTTCGGCTTAAACAATATAAATCCTTGATTTTCATTTCAGTTTGTAACTATGCTGTAAAGACAACAGGTCCGGTAACGAATCTATATTTTTATACTAATCCTCTCAGTTATGATCAAGAATTAATGCAGGAAAAAAATCATTTCTGAATAATAAGATAACATTATACGTTCATGAATTAAGGTCCTGCTTATTGAAAGTAACCAAAAAGTGAATATTGATCTATCCACACAGTTCTCTCATACAATAAATATAAGTAACAAACCATGTTTTCATTTCAGAATGCAAAGTTTTGCCTCCTCCTGTTGACATAAAAGTACATTCTACAAGTGAAAAAACAATACAATTATCATGGACTAAACCACGTGGACAATTATGTGATATTGCCTTTTACACTGTGTGTTATCGAAGCAATGAATCCCTGCCCTGTAACGAAGTATCGGTATCAGGTGATCAGAACAGCGTTATTTTAAATGGATTGAAAACTGGCAAAACTTACTTCGTTAAAATGCGGGCTCATTCGACTAACGGTCGTGGGAACTACAGCAATGAAACAGAATTTGTTACTGGTACGTTTGATATTAAGAAGTCGACATTCTAAGTATCAAGAACCTCAAATACCATCTTTAATTTTTCTTTTGTCAAGGTCGTGCATTTGCAGCACATCAGAAAAGAGAATCTACAAAAATTGATAGTAAATCCATGGCAATAGGATTTGCAGCTGGTTTTGCCCTTTCTATAATTCTTGTCTTCATTGTGTGGATTATGGCAAGAATCCGAGAAAGAAGAAAACAATGTAATGTCTACGTGTCTTTTACATGATCATGTTGATATGAACGACTTATTATTGTTTCTTTACAGCTGAAGATCTCAATGATAATGCAAATTGCAATAATGTTCGTTGTAAAAAAGGTAAAATGTGAGAAAAGTTTAAAAATGATAGAACTATTTAACGCGGGACTTCAGCTCATAAAATCGATGTCAGTTGAGTTGAAAATCGCAGGCTTCTCTGAATGCTTTGGCTCATGACTAGCTTTGTTTTTAACTGGTAGTACTTTTTTATACCTTACCAAAAAATAATCAAAGCGTGACACTTGATTTCTTGACATCAGATAGTCACCATAGTTCAGAATAAATCCTACTTACCGGATGTACGCGTAAGAAAATCAAGTTGTGAAAAACTTATTAAGACCCAAGTCACGAGAAAAAATTTTGTTATTTCTACAAAACATACACAAGTGTTTAATATTTAAAAATTTCTTCCTGCATTTTCAGGTGATGTTACGTCGACAAATAACGATGTTGACACAGGATCTTGCGAAAGATGGAAGTTACCATCGTTGAGGGGCGAAGAGAATCTTCATCTCAGCGTTTCCGAGGCTTAACTCTCTCGGGGTAGGGTGGGGTGTAATTTTACTCCTGTAATGGCGAGGGGGAGGTATTTCTGTAAGTATTATTTATTCAGCCTCAAGAATAAAATGAAATTTTAAAAAATGTAAATTAAAAAGTAAACGACTCTTTTTTTGCAGAGTTTGTACATTGATCATGATAGAATTGCATCAAAAACATACGATTGGTCTGCTAAACTGTATAGAATTACCTAGGAAGGTTAAACTATTCATTAACGTTTATTTTGATGGCAACAATCAAATCCTACGCAAGAACAATAGCTATCTTCTTCACTAATGAGTGCAATTGCTAAATTAATTTACCTAACTATAAATCCTACCTCATACCTACATATCCTACCTCATACCTACATATCCTACTTCATGCCTACAATACCCTACCTTATCTATAGTAGTAACGAAGATATCGATGATTATAATTCTTAATATCATCAGATGAAGATCGTCTTAATCGTTGGTCCCTGGAATGTTGACGAGTGTTGGATGAAACTGAATCGATTGCTTGAAGATTGTTGAGATATTTATTACGATATTTTGCAGTATGCATCAAAGGCCAAGAAAATCTATCAAAAGATCATAAATATTTTAAAAGTTTTATAATAAGACATCTAAGATAAAGAAAGGTTAGTGTAGTTTTGTTTTACGTACGTACCGTTTTGAAAGATTTCGTCGTCCATTATGAATACTTAAGTAAACATCATCGTTTAAAAGACTAGAAAATTCTATAAGAAATAAGAAACGGTACGTGAATATGTACAAAAACTAAATGTTTTTCCTTTAATTCATTTTCACTTATTCAATCCATTATTACTTCTGTTAATCCATTGTAACTCCCTCAATTCATTATTATATTTTCAATTCTATATTCTTTAATTAATAATTATCCATAAATTAAGTGGATCATTACTCTAAACCATACAAGTCAATTTCACGCCAACGTTAACAATCCCTTATTAACCCTACCCGTATCTTTTAATAATCCCTCGTTAACCCTACGTACCTGTGTCTTTTATACATTTATCCATTTTCATCTGTTTCAGTCTATAATTACTATTCATAGAGTGTAGATAAGTCGTCTCCAATTTAGAATTTGCGAGAGAGTTTAATTGATGACCGTAGGAACCATATTCAATCATGTGATCGTTATTGTTCTTGTTGGTCTCGTCATTCACGACAGGTGTGGACATATACATAGGTTGCGAAAGAGAACATGCATTGCTCACGTGCATTTTGCTAAGATTTATGGGCTCTTGTAAGCAAGCTTTCAAATTCTTATCGAAATGTTTTTCATGATATTCAGACCATTTCATATGGTTTATGGAGTGAAGCTCTCGATTGTTTTCTCTCCAGTCAACCATGTTTTGTTTTAAAGGTAAGTCTTGTACCAGTTTATCTGCACGTTTAATGGCTGCACATGCTCTCTTGACTATATCTTCCTGTTCTTTAGGATACATATTCAGCAAAGAAAATCCCACTTGCTCTAAAGATTTGCCATCGTCACAATAACAGTTCTTTAGTTTACTTGATACATCAAGGCTATTTGTGTTGAAAAGTTTAGGCTCAAATGATTCAAGATAATTTTTTGTGGTATATCGTCTGGTAGAGGTCAACGGTTCACTATCACTAATTTCCATGACACTTGAACTCATGTCTACACTGGGGTTCTCCAGTTCCATACTCACATGACCTAGATCGGATATTTTCATTGGTCCGTCATCCTCATAGAGATCGTCTTTAACGTCATCACAACTTTGGTTGTGAACGTCAGCAGTCTTGATAGGTGAAACGTCAGGAGGTAAATGGGAATCAATATGAACATCAGAGGATTCAAGTACGTCACTGTTAAAGACATTGTCACAAGATAACCCATCAATGTTTAAAGACGACATGTCTACAAGTGAAACATAGATAAATGATAGACGACAATTTTTCCCATTATTCAAACAAAAGAAGTAGTATTTTTTTATCACCGTATATATGTTTGATTTCTTTGATGGGAGAGACAGCTGGACTTTTTGAAGTAGATTGGCTTGCGTTCGCATTCAAATGTGAATGAATCAAATGAGCTTTTTCGACGTTGTGACGAAGGTTCACCGGACTTGATGTCACCTAACCCAAAATAAAAATAAAACATTCCTTTATGGCTCGATAAAAAAAATAATGTTGTGAACTAAAGCAAATTGAAAACTTTAAACAATTTTTTTTATAAAAATTTTTTATCCTCTGCTTCTCACCAAAATCGAAGGACTGGGACTCTTAAGAATGGATCTACAATGGATTTTTTTGCGTTTGATCAATTATATATCCTCGCTTTTCGACTAGAAAAATTTTAAATTTATGAAATGGTGAAGAATTTCTACCTCATAGGAAGGCATCGTGGATGATCATGTGATCTGTGTGGAGAACTATGTTCATCGGGACTGAATAATTTACGACGTAATGACGAAACATTCATGTCACGTGAGCTCCCTTCGTCTTCCATGTAGGAATAAAATCCTGAATCTAAAATTACTTTTCAATGTAACACAATTCAACGTTTATTCACAATCTTTTAAAGTATTTTTCTCACCAACAATCTTACTCAAATCAAACAAGGGTGGAAATGTCAATGACGTTTGACAACCAGCTGAAAAACGAAGCAAATTATCATAAAATATACAAATTAAAAACATATTCAACACAATAACATGCTTAATCTTAGACTTTGGAATTAATATGTCCTCTTCTATAATTGATTAAAGAACAGTTGAATGGTATCAATCCATATAAAAACATTTTAAATCTTACCATGCACAATGTTCTTTTTCATCATGATATTCTTCGATGGTGAATAATTAGAGTTGTAACTTGCACAGTCCTCATCTCCACTTATATCTTCAAAAACAAAAACATGACAAATATGACATAAAATATTTTAAAATCAGCAAATATGATAAAATGCTTACATGCAGTAGAAGGAGGATGGGGAGAAAATGTCACATGTTTGATGTCTGGTGTCCATGGCGATGGTAAGATAGTCCCATGTGAAAAATACTACAAACAAAAAGACAAATGTTAGAAATAGTTTTTACATAATTTTGCATGCTCTTACATACCTCATTTATTTCCTTTTGTAGTCTCTCTTCATCTTCCACTCTAAATATATTAGAAACTGTTGACAAAATTGATGAAAACAGCAAAAACCTGTCAAATATCTGTACTAATACCTGTCACACATACTATTATAATCTTGATTAGGAAATTCATCAATGTCAGCAGGATCCTAGAAGTTATAATGGTGATACATAGGATAGTATTATTTTGTAAAGTCATTATTATGTATAATATCAAATCTTACCAGTTTTGACATTTGATCAATTGACCAGCGAAATTCTTTTTTCTACATAAAAATTGTTGTATATGCTTAATAACATTGTGTTTTTCAACATTATATTAATCTTAAAGATACATATTTTCAAAATTTCATTGTTAGAATAGATTACATAATGTAATTTTCACAGATGAAGGAATTTTTCTTCAACATAGTTCATACACGAATACAGACCTGTCAGGTGTTGCACATTAGCCATTTTTTGCAGCATATTTCATGCAGGCAAAGCAAGTATTCATACATTTTCATGCACAAAATTATGCTTTTAAACAGTCTAACACTATCCCTGGTATATAAATAAATTTATAAGGAGTTAATATTGACCTGACCTATGTTGAAGAGTGAAGATTTTATGGACCTTGTTGCAATTTTCTCTGCAACACTTTGGTAAATATATAAGCAAGAAAAATTAAAATGACTGCGTTTATTTGCAACGAAAATACATGAATAAAACAAGAAACATATTATTTAATAAGCATTTTTTACGTACCAAAAATTCAAACAATATTCACAAGTTAGTGGACGGAGGGTCATCTTCTCATTTTATGTCACTTATTTTGGTTTTAGTGTTGTTTTACAAACTTAACAAGTGTTTTTTTACGATATCAAAGTTAAATGGAAAAAATGTTCATGCAAAATAAAAAATATAAAAATCACATATTAGCTGCTAAAATACCTTTGGACTTCCAGGTGTGTTGGTTTCAACAAACATTGATGGACTGGCATTAAGAGCTGGTAAGTTTAATTTACTCTCTACTCCACTGTCAAACGGATTTTTTGTTGAATTAAAGCTTGAAATAGAAGAGTATTCACCTATGGTGCTACCTAGAGTTGGATATGACATATTTCAATAACTAAGACAAAAAAAATAAATAAAATAGCAATATCCTCGCCAGCAGATGTACGAAGGTATAATTTTTTGAATAGACCGCTTTCAAGCTTGTAACAACAATAATGTAATAAGAAATTGTGTATGGATCAGAAAAGATTCTTGAAATAAGGGATTTTTAGGAATAGAGTGCTCATTATTCATCCATTTCAAAGAAATAAAACCTGTTTTGTTTCAATGACTTAAGTATTTCGAGATGGAAAAACACTTTCGTAATGACCAATATTTAAAAAGCTATTTATGATCAGCTAAATTCTCACAACAAGGTTTTACCTTCTCCTTCCATTTTGGAAAATTCAACTTGTAATTCCAAAATGGCGGACAATACCGTGAGCGCTAAGTCAACAAGAGAGACTATAGAAGGTAGTTTTTTTGCTTTTCAACAATTATATCTAATTTGTTCTCGCAAATTTTATAGCAGTATAATTAATCATGTAGTTTTTAGAAACAACTGGGGTTGTATTGTGTAAGAGTTAACGTATTTTATCATCTTCAATTCTTCATCAAGACATCAAGTATTAAAAACTTTTTAGTTTTAATGGAAATGAGCAATCTACTAAATACAGGACTTGATTCTGAGACCCTTGTACTATGTGTGAAGCTGTGTGAGGCGGGAGTGAATCCGGAAGCTTTAGCTTCAGTTATTAAGGAACTTCGACGTGAGTCTTTGACGATAAAGGTTAGCCTGAGCCACAGCCACTAGTCGTCAGTTTTTTTATGAAATTGATAAACTTTAATAACAATTAATCAGCACTAACAATTATTATTTAGGCACGTGAAGCAAGCAAGTAAATTGTTGGTGGAATTTTAAAGTTTCTTGTAAATATTTATTGTTTAAGAACTGTTTAAAAAAACAAAAATGCTGGACCGTAATTGACTATAGCCCATACATATGAATAAAAAGGCAAATATTTTTCATATAGATTAAAAAATATTTTTCATGTCAACATTAAACATAGAACAACTGAAACCCCCATCTGTTTATTGTATGTTTTCAATAACCAAAGCCATCCCCTGACCACCACCTATACATGCTGACCCTATAGCAAATTTACCACCAGTGCGTCTAAGCTCATGGACTAGATGACCCATGATTCTTGCACCAGATGTTGCCAAAGGATGGCCAAGTGCAATTGCACCCCATTGACGTTTGTTTTCTCATGGTTCAAATTTAATTCTTTCATTACTGCCAAAATTTGTGCAGCAAATGCTTCATTCACCTGTTGATGGAAAAAAGTACAGAATTTGTTGTTAATAGAGTCCTTTGTCAACTGTGCTAAACATATAGGCAGTGTGCGAATTAGTTCAGAAAAAACAATGTGCAATTTTTTTGACAAGCATGTTTCTTTATAGGCATAATCAAATCGAAATTACGTTAATTATTATATACTGCTAATTGCTAAATTAATATTTTCAAAGGTGAACAAATTCATATGATTTACGACAGTGTTTTTCATTAAAACCGCTATTTTTGCACATCGTTTGAAAAAGTGATGTGCAATTGTTTTCATTTTAGCTAAAACAATGTGCAAATGGCACATTGCACACCGTTAATTCGCACATTGCATATAGGACTGGAGATACACCCTAGAACACTTGATGGATTTCTATTGCTTGCAATGTTTGTATTAATTGTATAAGTATGAACAACAGACCTCAATTAAATCCATGTCATCTAGTGTTTTGCCTGCCTTTGTCAAAGCTCCCTTCATTGAAGGCACTGGACCGATCCCCATGATTGATGGCTCAACACCAGATACACAGTAAGAAATTAAACGAGCTAATGGTTTAAGACCTTGTTCCTTCACTGCCTTCTCACTGGCTAATACCAATGATGCAGCTCCATCACAAATACCCTACGTAAAGTGAAATGATAAATGAGAATCTAAAAAAGACAAAGTTTGTTGTAAAATTATTAAATACTTTCATACCGATGCATTACCAGCTGTAACAGTTCCATCTTTCTTAAAAACAGGAGGTAATTTTCCTAAACTTGTCATATCTGTTCCTACACGAGGGTGTTCATCAACACCAAAGTCCTCTTCACCTTTGCGACCTTTCACTTTTATTGATGCAATTTCTGCCTCAAACACACCTGATTGCTGAGCTGCAAAGTCATAATTGAAAACATATCCTTTTTACATATCATCAAACCAAAGAAATACAGGTCAATGAAATACCAAAACATTTATCAACATTTTAATTTACCATTAGTCCATCTTGTCTGTGATTCAAGAGCATACCGATCACAATCTTCACGAGATATTTTATACATTTCAGCAAGGTTCTCGGCTGTTACAGCCATAGGAAAATTGCAGTAACTGTCTGTAAGACCTGCCCACAAAGTATCCTCTAACTTAAGAAGAGAAATGTTTTTTGCTCCATTATAATTAAAGAGAAAACAACAAAAGATGAATTACAACAACACAAAAAATACAATATAAAACAAACAAAAATTACTTTGAGTTCAGAGCCAAATTTTGGTCCCCATCTTATGTCCCTGACAGCAAATGGTGCTTGACTCATATTTTCTGTTCCTCCAGCAAGAACTATATCACTTTCTCCAAGAACAATTTGCTTCATCATAAAAAGTTAACAGGTCAGCAAAAATTTTGAGCTAGTGCAATACTAATTGATGCCACTAATTTTCAACCTGGGCAGCAGTCACAATTGCTTGAAATCCTGAGCCACACAAACGATTGACAGAAAGGGCGGTTGACGCAATAGGTACTTGCGAGTGAAGGCCAACATGTCTTGCTAAGTAGATAGCATCAGTCGAAGACTAACAAATAATGAAAGAATATTTTGAATAAATTCGAAGATGTGTTTTACGGAAATTTATTTATGACAATGCAACTCCTTAAATAACAAGGTTTCTGATTTCTTACCAGAATAACATTACCAAAAATCACTGAATCGACCGTTGCAGGATCCACAGCTCCGCTTTCTAGTGCAGCTTTCGAACTGTGAACACCCAGCATAGTGGCTTTTATATCACGTAGTTTACCTCCAAACGACCCAAAGGGAGTCCTTTTAGCAGCCACAATAAACACTGGTCTCGTCAAAGCCATATTTTGATAAATTTGTTCAAGTAATAAAGTAACATGCAAGGATTTGATGTGTGAAGATGTGAATGTTGTTACTTTATCAGAGACGTTACTTTTAAAAGTGAACTTTGACCTCGAGTACACATTGAGCCCACTGTATTTTGACGTCCTTCGTGATGACGTGTCTTGCGATATGTGAGATATGTTCATATATTCATCAAATAATGTAGAGTAGATAGATCATAGAAGTCACTCACAATGAAGCACACGCTGGTGATAATAATATATCTACTTTGCAAACGCAAAATAGGTTCTTTTCAAAAGTTCGGCTTTCTCTATTACATCGATCACCCAACAATTATCACAATCAAAAGACGTTCTGCGCATTCTCAACAACATGAATGAATTCTCTACGTAATTTATGTTTTTACAGGTGCAAAGGTGCAAACCCATGTGCCAATCAGCAAACCTGGACATGTCACATTATCGAAATTGTTGGTGACCATTTTTAAAACAACAGCAGTTGTGTGAACAACAAGGCTTATCATAACTAACTCATATTCATTGAACCGACATCAAAATATTTTCAACACTGGGAAGGGAAAGAATTTAAAAAAGAAATGACATTGCATTGTGTTAATCAACGGTAGAAAAAAAAACATTCAAAAATACCAATTATCACAAATCTTTAGAGAAAACATTTTTTCGTGCCAAACAAACTAAAAACAAGAAGAAATTCTTTTTTATTCTTTCTATATATGATAAATTCACCTTGCAATTAACACTGGCCACGACGATAAACTTATCTGAAACTATACACTGCTAGAAGCAGGCTCGCTGTGTATCTTGGTAAGTGGTATGGCCATTCTGTGCTCCAAATTGGGTGAAGATCTGTGCAATTGTGTTTGAGCAAACTCTCCCGACTGAGAGTTGAGAGGAATATCGTGAAAGTCAGGGTTTGAGCCATCAAACACTTCAATTTCACCATCTGTTCAAGAGGATAAGTAATACATCAAGCGTAAAAACAGTAAAAATATTTCACATATTATTAACATAAAAGCTTTTTATCGTACTTTGAGCAGGATTTTCAGATTGCTTTCTTTTTCGATAATTCCAATAATCCCAAGAGAGACCAATGCTCACCAAAACAGCAATAGTTCCGAGGAAATAGTAACTTATGAACAACAGATTGTCATTATCCAAAGCAGTTTGAACATTTTTCGTGTTGGTGTTTTCTGTGAACTTAATCATGGACAGTTTAAAGTTTTTCCTAGCCTATAAAAACATATTATACTTTAGTATGTAGCTAAAAGCTTTAATTACGGTATAGAATTTCAAAGCAAAAATAAATCAATGAAACCAGTAAATCAATCCTTTGTTTTTATCATTTCACTATCGTGATTGTTACAAAGTCATTAGTGGAAGCAAATAACATACAATTTTACTATACCACAACCAATTTGACATAATTACTGCATGCAATAAAAGCTTTACAAATACCCGTTTTTCTTGAGAATATATTTCCTCTCGCATACAGTGAAGAAAGCGATCTTCTACGTTTGTGAGATTCTTAGCGTTCGCAGCCATTGCCACTCCGATTTGAAAGGGAAATCTGACGGCATTTGTCAGAACAAACGAATCACTTACAAAATCCTTGTACCTCCAATCTTTCACAAAAAGGAGAAAGTCCAAATAATCAGGAAATACCAATCGATCCACATCCTTGTGTTGTGTGGCAGCAGAAAGCCAGTTAAACGTCGTGTTATAATCTAAACAAGACAAAGAAAAGCTTATGGATTTACATATATTATTAAAATTTATTTCATGAACATGCAAATGTTTGGAAAAAAAATGGAAAAGTTTGCAAAGAATTCATTTTCCTTACGTGCAAAGGTGCTCTGCCTTCTGTTTATGTACAAAAATTGAACAAAAATACAGTTTGGTTAAATGTAAAGCTTACTTTTCAAAGTTGCTCCAAGATTCAACTCTACTTCGATGAAATGTTTGCTGTTCAAAACGCCGATCTGCATGGAATTAAAAAAAAAAGGGCTGAGTATATAACAAAGCAAACTAACGTTCATTTCACAAAACATAAAAACTTTATATTACTCGTTTTCCCAACGTTATACTGTGATCTTCTTCTGCTTGACTGATGGCCAAAATTGTCGTAGCATTGGCCGTGAACAAAGCAAGAAATACTGTCGACATCATTATCCAAAGAATCGCCAAGATTCGAGCAACAATACCTTTTGGAGCTTTATCTCCATAACTTATAAATGAATAAAAAACTTTAATATAAAATAAAGTTGAAATGTCTCGAATTTTACAATACCTGGAATCTTGGGTAAAGGGCTATGTGCATTTTAAAAACTTACCCCACTGTTGTCATCGTCACAATACTCCACCAAAAGCCTTCAAACATACCAATGTAAAATGGATTGGGAAACTCGTTTGGATTATAATGATGATCCTATAAACATATAATAAAGGATTTAGATGCGATATACAAAATTTGTGTTCCTGAAAGTAAAGATAGCTTCATTCTACTCAATATTACTTGAGCTCTTGCAAGAAAATATTATATTTTGATAACTCACAGTCACCCACGCCAAAATACCAATGATCCATGCAAATGTGATCAAGAACATTAAGATGGCCGAGGATTTTACAATGATTTCACCAACAAAAACACGCTCTTTTGGAGGAGGTTTTACCATAATAATGGCATGACCAGAGGTCTTCGAGAGCCGAAGAAACGGTGTAGTGCCGTCGTATACGTCCGTGGTAACCTCATCGGCAAACTCTGGATAGTAAAGCTTAACAATGCCTTGGCTGTGAAAACTTTTATCCCCTCCTTTAACCTTTGTAACTATTTCTTGAATGCTCTCCTTCGTGTGACTCAATGGAAGAAATTGTATAATTGCTCCGGGACAACACAATTTCAAAGCACCTTTTATCGTATCGTACAATAAGCCAGAAGTTGTCGTGGAGGTTTGCTCAAAGTAAAAATCGAAATACGACTTAAAATGAAATTCCACTCTTGTCAATAAACTGCAAGCTTCTCCCATTTGTCCAAAGCTTGATGGCAAACAGCCAACGAAAAGTAAAAGGCACACAAATACACGATGATTTGATTTTCCAATCATTATTCAGTAACGTTGAGCTATTTTTATTAAAAAACTGCAGGGTTTAGTTCGCCACCATTTTTTCTTGTGATAAAATCCAAACAAAATTTTATGTTTTGCTGACGTTTTTCAAAATCGCAAAAACGGTCGATATGACGTAAGTCAATCATCGTTGTACAAGTTGCACAACGGTTATCTGCACCGACCTTTTTTGCCAGCAACGTTATCAACTGTCAAACTATAATCCTGTGAGATTGCATGCATTTAAAAAGAATACGTATATCCTCACATCATAAGTCCTTTTAAATGATTCGATCTCCATGCTTTGTGCTTTGATCACCGTGTACAAACATTGTTACAAAAAATAAAAAACAAAAATGTTTCGTAATGATAAGAATTGAATGGCAACTTGCATACTAGTTGTCAAACTGATCAGTTTTGCACAATCGTGCAATTCGATTGTATGATGAAGAGACATGATATTACTAATGATGCTCAATACGTTTTTCATGTTAGCGCGTAAATGATTTTAAACAACAGAATTATTCATTATTTATTTTCATCTAGATAATTTAGCCATACAATAATGACTCATACTAGCTTCGATTGCTCAGTTTGTAGAGTAAAATATCTAACCAACGGGTCATGCTGCACACTATTGCTCAGTAAAAACAACACGACAATGGTGGGTTTTTTATTTTACAATACAAACCTTACACACGGTTAATGAGTCAATAATGTTACTAATATCACTGAAGACAATAATTGAATGAATAACAGTTCAGTGCCATAATACTTCAGTGCAAATATTGCCTAAAAAATAAAATCCTCTATATAGACCTAAGTGAAAGAATCTCTTCGAATTAAAAGAGAAATAACAAATATTCATATCTGTACAAAATACGCATTCAGCAAAATCTCATTTCATCGCAAAGGAACACAAACCAAAGATCCACATAAAAATGCAGAAATCATGACAAAAATTTACTTGTGAATTCTTTGATGAATCAAAAAATCAAGTAACATGGTAAAAACAGCTTCGCATTTATTGCATTGATATTGTGAAAATTTTTGTTCTTCGATAGAAACTGGGATTTAGATTGTTTGAAAAGAGTTATGCCATCATCTTCTTTAATGCTTGATGACAAACCATTAAAATTTTCTAGTGTTTCCTCACATGTGCCTTTGCCTTGTTTTTCTTGTTCAATTTCACAATCAACAGGATCCTTGTGCTTTTGCTTATTCCAGAAAAAATTTGTTTGATCAATGGGAGTCTTTGATGATAGACTTTTCAAGCCTTCATTGATTTTTCCAATATCTTTCTCATGTGGTTTGCGTTCATTTAATTGTTTCTCGTCGAGAAAATCGTGCCTTCTGTCTTTATAAAATGTGACATCTACATTTTGATTTTCTAAAATTTCATCTTTCATTCCAAAACAGTTTTGCTTCCTGTCAAAATATTCAAATTCAAGCATAGTCGTATCACCTTCAACAGAACAAACGGTTGGTTTTATTTGGCCCAAACATTTTTCATTATTCCGTTCTACATTTTCACAATTTTTATTATTTTTTTTGTTTTTCGATGCGGTTTTTATGGTGGCAATACCTTTGATTGATTGACAACTGTTTATTGGGCTCTTCTTTTTCCTTGTCACACCCAAATGCTGCTCTTTAACATGTCTACTTCTAGAGCCGCGATGTTTAAAAGTCAATCCGCAAATACTACAAGAAAAATTCACTTCACTTTGGTCTCCACAAATATGTCCATTTAATCGAACTGCACTTGTAAATGATTTGTTACATCCATTACAAGGGTAAAGTTTCCTCGGCTTCTTCGACTCTTCACAAGATGTTTGTTTCAATGTTTTCTCAAGTACTCCGTCGTTTTTTGCAGTAACCGTATCATTACTCGTCTCTTCTTCAAACACACGTATTATGTTGAATTTTACACCAGCATAACCATCATGTTGAGTCTTATTTTCGTTCAATTCATCCTCAACTTCCGTAGTCTTCACTATCTTGACGTCATCACGTTCATTGCCAACTCCAACATCTTCGTTCTTATCAGCTACAAAACAAACAGTGTTTTTTTCATTAGCAACAATATTTAACATTTTATCATCGTCATGCAGTAATACATCAAGATTCTTTATTCTTACCATCGAGATTTTTGCTATCTGGGATTAATTTAAGAATTTCATCTTTCTCGACTGTGACATGTGAAATGCGACTTGCATGCTCTAAATTGGTAGAAATACATTTTTCGGGAAATCGTTCTTTGTTTTTGAAAGCCAACAGTTTCAACTCTCTAGATAAATGCTTGTCGAATAAAGGCCACGAATTTTCTTTAACATTTCCATCGTAGTCTTTGGCTTTATCATTACAAAGCAAAGAGTCAATCACGACATGTTTCTTATCATTTTCTGCCGAAAGTTTGGGGCTCAATCCTTCTTGTTGACCACAACCATTAAAAAGTTCATTTTCCTTCACCCTTTCACACATTAAACTATTCATTTCGCGAAGGATTTCATTCGCTAAAGCTCTGTTTGCTTTCTTGCGTCCAAGACCGTAGTGCTGTTCTTTAATATGACGTACCAACGATCCCTTGTACTTAAAATCTTTAAAACACAGCTTACAAACGAATGATCTTTCATCACTGTGAACAATCCAGTGTTTACGTAATTCATGTTTTTTATTGAAAACTTTCCCACATACCTGACACGAATGTCGTTTTTTTCTGCTTTTCTTTGACATAAATGGGATAAGTCTTGTGACGTCAATACGCAATCAGATACGCATGGTTTGGTGTCAACTTTGTAAACAGCAGATCCAATAGAATCGCCGCTAGACATCGCAAATTCTTGCTTACACTCTTCCGAAGTATTTATGGTTAAACAATCATGATTATCACCTAAAATAACGTTTTCGTTGAATTCTTTATCTTTTGAAGTCAGCATATTTACTGATATTTTCGAATCTCTACTATATTTAATGTCGTCAAAATCTTCTTCGATAGATTTGCTAACAAATGTTTCATTCTTCCTTAAATCTTCACTTTTACAGATGCTATCAAAATCCCTCATTTCATTTGAAAGAGAGGGATTTAGCACAGTTTGTCGTGGTATTGTTTTACAGCAATTTTCCACATCTCTTGTTTCTATTAAGTGTTTAGAACTATCATGCGCAAAAGCGTTTGTTAATTGTATTTCTTCAATGTTACAACGATGTCCAAATATCCTCTCTCGATAATGAAAGTCTGTTGTATTTTCAGCAATTCTATTCCAGGCAGATCTCTTTCTTCCACTGTCATAATGCTGTGCTTTCCAGTGTCGAAAAACGCTACAGTCAACTGAATCATTTATACATTTCACGTGAACAAAACCATTATCATCGTTTGAAGTAATGGGAAAATCATACTCCGATACTGGGTCGATTTTGTGACAGTTGTTATTTACAGGAGAAAGAAACATTTCTTCTTCACCTTCCAAGTTTGAACAACTGTCTAAATCAAAATTGCTACATGATGCGACTAAAGCATCGTTACTCGAACTTAAACAATTTCCTTCAATGTTTGGTGATTGACTTCTGTTGCAATTAAATCCAGAATCCGTAGTAGAAGGTAGGTTGTTTGAACTACTGATATATTCTTTTTGTCTTTCTAACGTTATCAAAGGTGCATCTACAAGATTAGAATTGACTTGCTGATATAAATTACACATTTCGTCTGGAAAATTGTGTACATCTGAACTAGGCAACCATCGCTGCTCCTCAACCATAGTTGGTCTCACGTCGTTTTCATTATCAACATAAAACATTTCCTTCAAATTTTCCTGTGGTAGATTCGGAACAAAATTTTGTGACTTCCTTCCTTGGCCAAAATGTTGTTCTTTTATGTGACGGGAAAGTGAACTTTGGTATTTGAATTCTTGACAGCAAAAGCAACACGCGAAGGGCCATTCGTCTTCGTGACTACGTTGATGTTTTGTAAGAGCAGATCGTTTAGAAAACACTTTTCCACATTGATAACACTGGTTATTTTCAACGTGAGTTTTTAAAAGTGATTCAGAAATACTAGCAGATATATTTTCAATTGAAGTTTCACTTTCCTTCTTAGCGATGTAAACTGATTCACTAAAGTCTCTCCCAGGAGTCTTTTCGTTGATTTGTTTTTCGTGTATAGCTGAAGTTGTGTCTGCAAGAAAATTACGATTTTTTCTTCAATGCGTTGAACAAGTTTACCAGAAGATAACATTTGAGTGTTTTGCGAAATAAAACGACGTTTTGCAAACTCTATTTATTTTATTAGAAATATTAAAATCATTACCTAAAAATACATTATTTCTTTGAAATAAATCAAATTACATACCTAATTTCGAAGTCAGTCTGTCTTTTTCAAGTTTAGAAAAACAGTTTTCCTTTGGACTTTCATAAGTGACATTCATTGACTCGGGAGTTTTAAATTCAGATTCGCCAAGGTCATTACAGTTCATCAAGGTCAATGCAGTAACTCTGTTCATCTTTATAAAATCATCGTCATTAAAGTTGTTTATTTCTCTGCCAACAATTTTGTGAGTATTTTCAAGGTTAGAAGTAGAATCTGACAGTTTTTCATTTAAGTTGTCATTTTGTTTGAATGATTCCCATGAGCTGGAAGATTTTTACATCTTTTTTTGGTAACGTGTCTTATCAATGAGCTGTAATGCTTGAATTCAAACTGACTGAAATTACAAATTAATCGATTCTGAAACTTGTGCATTGTGTGAATGAGTTAAAAAAAAACGATGAGCAATTTTTTTTTGACAAAAATGTTTCTTTGGAGACATAATCAAATTGATATTAGGCTTATTATTATACAGCGCCAATTGCTTTGACTTAATATTTAGAGCTTATTTTTCTCACGTTAGGCTTATTTAAAATCGAAATTCCTTTTGGTCTACTTTTCAAATTTGGCTTATTTAGGTTTTTATTGTCTTCTTTTAAAAATCAAAATGAAACTGTTTCCTGATTTTATCAAAGATACTCAAAATAGCTATGATTCCAAAAACAGTACTATTTCTGTTTTTAAACACAACTATTTCTGTTTCAAATATAGCTCCTGTTTTCAAAAAAATATTTTATTGCAATCTTCTTGCAATTATTCACAATTAATTTCTTACCATTGAATGAGCAGGTCAAAATCCAGCACATACTAAGTTCTTTCTAAGTGTTTTTACATTTAATCAAGTGTCCATCTCTCTAAAATCAAAGTTATTCATGTGAAAAACTATCATTGTCATGAAAGTATTACTGGCATACATTCTTTTATAGATGACAAGCCTTTTAAATGTTTTGCTGGAAGGCAAATGTATTCCAAGAGATAGCAACCATTGTTGCTAGGCAGCTAGTGTTGTCAAAAGCACTTGACCAAATGTGCCTGCCAGCTAAACGTAACCAAGGCAAGTCAACTATTCAAGATATTTTCATTCATCACTCAATTTCATTTCTATGAATAAGGTAAGACCAAAAAAATCGTAAAAAATGGTGTCGATTAGCAGAAATTAAAAATGACTAACTGGCTGGCGAATCAAGACTTGATAAAATGTTATACTATTCCAAGTAATACTTACAAAATAACTTCACCATGCAAGACCGCAGATGATTCAGCACACATATAAGAGACTGAAGTTGTAATATGCAAGTCTTTCTGAAGAAATAATAGGAAATTTTGTGTCTATTCCACTAAACAAATAACCACAACAGTCGGCCATCTTTGATCTGTTTTTGATAAACTGATTCGTTTATTTGTGGATATAAATGACGAGTAAAATGACAAAAGCTTCGACAAAATTGTCTATCGAATGTCGTGATGCTCGGTCTTCAAAGCAAGGAAGCATGCTCGAAGAAGTGGTTGATAGTGGTCAAAATATAATCTTTTTTGTGTAAACCGTTATCTCCCCCAAAAATGGGAAAGATAAAAAATACAAAACCCAGTGAAAATGGATGGAAAAAGCCGAGACAGAAGCGGGAGAAAATCGACAAAAGTATTGAAAACAAACTAAAATCTGAAAAAAGAAAACACGTATGTGCAGTTTGTTCCAAATGTTTCGATCGGCCATCACACTTACGCCGTCACGAACGTGTTCACAGCGGAGAACGACCGTTCTCCTGTGATATTTGTGAGAAGACGTTCAAAGACAAATCTCATCTTGCCACACACAAGGAAACACATAATCCTGCTCGCGATTATATATGTGCTGATTGTGGAAAGGATTTCCATACTGCATCAACTTTGTACAGTCACCGGATTACACACGAGACAAATCCAGAAAAAATAAAGAAACATCAGTGTGAAACATGTCTTAAAGTATTTTTAAAGCGATGTGACCTAACAAGACACGAACGAGTTCACACTAATGAACGACCTTTCAAATGTGAGTATTGTGAAAAAAGTTTCAAGATCTTGTCACATGCCAAACGACACGAAAGAATTCACACAAATGAACGACCATATCAATGTTCAGACTGTAAAAAAAGGTATTCTAGTAAACTAACTATATCTTCTGTAAAATGGTGTCTATACTCATTACTTTGTTAATTATTTTGATGTAGATTCAAGCAATCGGTTGCATTAACACAACATCAACGGATTCATTCTGGTGAAAAACCACATGTGTGCACTTACTGCAAGAAAGCTTTTACTCAACTAACACATTTGATCAATCACGAGAGAACTCACACTGGTGAATGTCCTTTCATTTGCCAAGTTTGTCAACGTGCCTTCAAACAAGCATCTGGCTTGTTATCCCATGTGAAGACACATAGCATTGTAAAGGATTATGAGTGTGAGTTCTGCTCTAAATCATTTGCAAGTGAGAAAGCGCTATTGAATCACGAGCTTATCCATTCGGAAGAAAAGAAGCACAAATGTGTAAAATGTGATAAGGCTTTTGCTCGTGAAGCAAATCTTATGATCCACATGAAAACCCATGAAGAAGAACCAAAACCATATTCTTGCTCTGTTTGTCGAAAAAGTTTTGAATCAGAAGTGATGTTGTTAGCTCACAAAGCTTTATGCTTGTCTGGAAAGCCTTTCAGATTCATGGCGTATGATCAAATATTTCCACAAAGTATTGAGAGCACTAACTTGGAGGTGACTGAAAACACTGAAACAACGGAGGTTGTTGTAACTATAGAAGAATCAACTGGTGCTATTAACCAAGTTGAGATTACTACATTTAACTGAATGCAATAACAAAGTAAACTTGATACATTGTTACTTTTATATTGTCAATGCAATATTTAATGACAAAAAGTAATGAGTTCAGTGGCTGATAAGCTTTCTTTAAGCAGCTAAAATTTCAGTGGTTTTGGTGCATCAAAAAATTAAAAAAAACCCATCTAACTTTTGAAATTTTTCCCTTTAAAACTTTGAATGAGTTAAGATAAAGTAAGCAGTTGGACTTGAGTGACAAATCCCGGGGATACAATCTCGCATGTACTTTAATGAATATGGCGTCACGAAATGGTAAGATAAAATGAGAAATAATTCTTTTATCAAATAACCTACAAGTTTTTATGTGTTATTGTCAGTAAATTTAATATATTTATTTAATGCTGAAAAGTGTCCAAACTGTTTTGTGTTAAGTACTTGCAAACGTACTAGCAAAACTATAATTATATTGAAACCTTTCACTTATTGTTTGTGTCTTGAGACTGATCAGTTTCGTGTCATTCAAAAGCAATACGCATTTTTACATTTAAAAGGACTTCGTAAAAGCGAGGAAGAAAATCTGTTAGCTGAAAATGATCGGATGTTAGATAATTTAGCGGGAAAAGTGTCAAGACTAAAAGCTGTGAGAATAAAGAAAATGTTGATTTATGTTATCTAAAGTTAAATGTTTACAGGAATGAAATGTTAATACATATTGTTTATATATTCCTATTATATGACATATATTTATATATATTGTTTTCATAATAATATTGACACTACTGATGACTCACTTGATTTAATATAGATAGCTTTTTCTTTAGATTGCTGTTGATATTAAACATGATGCAGACAATCAAAATAAATATTTGGATGGAATGGTAAGTTGAAAAAAAAAGATTTTGATGTAAATAATACAAAAAAATTGAAATGCACCAATGATTTTAAAAGAGTTCATATTCACAGATAATCGCAGTCAATAATATTTCAATTAAAACATATTATTGATGCATGTCAAACCCAAAAAATCATTTTATTTATTGGTTTTCACTTCTAATATTCATGCAGACTGAGAAGGTTGTGTGTATATTTTGAAAATTTCTCCAAGGAAAATGATAAATTACCAACAATGAATGTTCTTCAATTACTAGGATGACCAATTTAATGGTGCAGGTGGTTTATTGAATGGCAGCTCTCAACGATTACAGCAAGTTATCAAATCAGCAAGATCAGACAGAAAATGCATGTGTTACATGATCCTTGGACTAGTGACAACATTCTTTGTATTTTACTACGGTTTATCTTGGATTAAAACATGATATATTTATATTTCAAATCCCCAAAATCTCATCCATGTATAAATATATAAAAATATAGTGTCTCTATATTTTGATTTCATTGCAATACCCCCTCCATTTAATTTATGCAAATAAGTGATTCAGAAAATTCTAATTGATTTGTAGATTACAATTATTATGTGCCATTATTTGTGTTTTCTAATTCATAAATTACTTTTAGATAGCTTGTTCTTCAGCATTAGTGCAATTTTATCCAAGAATTCAAATGTATTTAGATAGTCAGACCTTGTAACATTTTGAATTCCCTTGATGCAACCAGCTAAATCTTTAGTCATACTTCCTGATTCAATTGTTTCAATACAAGCTTCTTCCAGAGACTTGCAGAAATTCTTTAAAGCTTCATTACCTTTAACAAGAAAAAAATATTTAAAAGTTGTTCTTCCCAAATGCAATTAATCATCATGTCTCATTCAGTTTTACTACAGGTCACTCAAACTAAAGCAAAAGTGAAGAAATCTGAGTAGTTGTAAAATACCTTAACACAATTTTCTCTGACATGTACTCATGGTTTGTCCCATCCAATTGAAACTATTTTCAAGTACTTATTGTTCATTGTCATAAATCATGCATCTCTGGTAATTGTAATTGTTTATATCAAAATTAGGCTGTGTTTACACTATACCGGATTCGCTCATCACGACATCTTCATTTGCTTTAAAGGGGTAACTGTTCGGAGTAAAAGCTTACTAAGCTGATAGATTTAGTCTATTTGATTGTGTTTCTGATGTTGAACGATTTCACTGCCTTTTAATATAAGGAATATTCAACCTGCTACAATAGCAATCCGGTATAGTGTAAACGGGAGATTAAAATAGTAACTATCAAGAGTTATTAACAAAGCCATTGGCTAGAGTGACCCTCTCTGCCTTCTTACATGCACTAAAACCAACATTCTTATTTACCATCTAGTTTAGCTCGATGCTCCAAACCTTTTGTCCAAGCAAATATTGATGCTAAAGCAAAAATATAGTAATTAATCCTTTTCTTTGTAAATTGATGAATAATATTCTACACACCAACTGGATTGGTTGAAGTTTCCTTTCCTTGTTGATGTAAACGGTAATGTCGAGTGACTGTTCCATGAGCAGCCTCAGACTCCACTGTTTTCCCATCTGGACAGATGAGAACACTTGTCATTAGACCAAGAGATCCATAACCTTAAAAAACAATTGCTGAATATGAGCATAAATAAAAAGATTAGACATGAGACCAAAAGTCCATTTAATTTATAAGATACCTTGAGCGACAGAATCTGACTGAACATCACCATCATAGTTCTTACATGCCCAAACAAATCCACCTACACTTTTTAATGCATATGCAACCATATCATCAATCAATCGATGTTCATACCACAAACCTTTGGCTGTAAACTTTGACTTGTATTCACTATGAGAATGTCAACGAAAATCTTAATTTGTTGATATATGATTATAAATCACCAAATATATTGACCAAAATTATCTTTTTTTCTCAAGTTTACCTTTCATAAATTTCTTCAAATATATCTTTGAATCGCCCATCATACTTCTTTAAAATTGTGTTCTTGGTGCTTTGAATAAGGTTGTGGAAATAAATAAATTGTAATGAATGGAAATGCACAACACAAAATTAACCAAATGTTTACCTCATGTACAATGGATAGTTTACTTGCAATGCATACTGGAAGGAACTATGAGCAAAGCCTTTGATAGACTGAAACAAAATGAACAATAATTTTAGAATAAAAAATGAAAACAAACTTCAACAAGAAATTCGAAATATAAAACCCTCATAAAAAATGCATACTTCATCAGTGTTGTACATTCCCATAGCAATACCACCACCATTTTTAAAATCATGAACTTCATAAATGATCGGTTTCCCCATCAGAAGGTGTATAAAATAGTTCCAATTTCCCTGGAGCAGGCACAACAAAATCAGTTGCTTTATACTACAAAAAGAGAAGATATGTTAATGTAAGAAGTCAAGATTTGGGCCATCATATTAGTGTTTGCCTATTAGGATGACATTAATTTCACCTGATCTGCGTGGGCATGACGACCAATAATAATTGGTTTCTCCCAGCATTTAACAAGTCTTGGAATATTTTTGCATAATATAGGTTCACGAAATACTGTTCCTCCTAAAATATTTCTTATTGTCCCATTTGGCGATTTCCACATCTTTTTCAATTTGAATTCTAGAAGACAATTAATTGTACAATGTTATGTTTCTTACTAGAAGCATTTACCAACAAACTTTGGCCTGAATACATAAGTGATGTTGTTCATATTACTATATATAATATGTCTTTTTTGGCAAAGAAAGGAGAGATGGATTATCTAAACGTGCTCAAAAACATAGTGAATTTGTGAAACTGTAGTTTCTCAAACCTTCAACACGTTTCTCATCGGGGGTGATGGTAGCACATTTTATTCCAACATTGCACCTGCGAATTGCTTCTGCTGCATCTATAGTAACTGAAAATAAAAACTTTGTATTTTTATTGTCAAAATGATTGAGAATGGGGTACTATATTAAAATGTCAACTGATACTCATATAGAGTGTACCAATAATTTTTTACAAGATCTTTATTGCATATCATATAGACAATAGTATGACAATAAATTGATATTTTTATAATTTATTAAGTACATTCTCACTTTGATCGTTTGTAGAATCACGGCTCTGAATTCCCAGGTCATAAAACTGAATATTTAAATCCAAATATGGCTTTATTAGTTTCTCTTTTATCAGATCCCAAATAATTCTAAATTAGAAAAAGATAATAAAATAAACTGGTAAAACATTTAATTTAAATGAGGTCTTTGCTGTCATTAATATTTGTACAAAGTGAAATCAATTTAAAATCCACACCTTGGCGACAAGCAGTTTCAGGCATACAAGATATAATTAAATCAACTAACTGCTTTATAATGAACTATTATTACTAACCTAGTCATTTCATCTCCTTGGATTTCCACGACAGGATTAGCCACTAAAAACATAAAAACGATTCGTTCAGCAAAGAGAAAAACTTCTAGTAGTCCCATTATTTGTCAAAATATTTTATTGTTTGTGGGAAAGAATGAAGTGCGATTAACCGTATAAAATTGTTGATTAACTTGTTGTAATTTATTTACCTATATTTTGAAAGACTTACCTTGTATCTTAGGCATGATAGACTTTTTTATTTCCACGAGAAGTAGTGTATAATCTTGAACAAAATTTTTCAATATCACCTGTATGAATTAACTACGTATGATCAAAGGTGAACAAGTGTCAGATGACTTCCCTCAAGCTATCATGGACTGTTCGTTTGCGGCGGGAACATAGGTAGGACACAAAAAAAACAAAGAGCGAGGACATTTGAAAAGGAATAAAAAACTTAACTCTACGAAATGAAAAATGCAAGAACCTTTTCAACAATTGTTCCACAAAAATTACGTGCTTCAACGAGAAAGGTCTAAAAATACGCTAGCATGATTTCGCTGTCAAGATTAACTGAAGAAATATGTTGTTTTTATCAGTAATATTTTTAAGTTTTGAAGAAATATTGTTATTACCATTTTTTTTCAGTAGTGTCGAACGAGAAAGTTTCACACAATTTTTTTACACTGTCTTTGCAGTGTCCGAAGCGACTTCACGCAAAATCTAACGGGATTGGCAACAGACTGATGAGAAAACTTGAACCAACACTTCCCCTACCAAGAAGACAAAATACTTTTAAATCACCTTATAAATGCTTAAAAGGGTTGGACCTAAGCGAAAAGAAGAAAGAAGAAGCACCTTACACGCAAAAAACGAACAACAAATTAGGAAGACAATGTTTCCAAGAAAGACATTCAAGTCAACATTGACTTACAACGAAGGGCTATTGAAATATGATAAAAATACAGTTGTCTCTTCAAGTAACGAAACTTCTATCTGCAATGCATCTCCAGTAAAAATACAACCTATTGACCCATACGAGTTTAGTGCGTTGCCGGCAAATAAAATAACCCCTGCATCCTTGGAAAATGTTAAGCTCACAAAAAAGACACACGAAAAGCAAGTACGTTTCATAAAACTTAGCATACTTTTAGGAATGTAAGGCATACCGTTTTCGTTCTCCTTTTAGAAAAGAGCAAATAGGGAAATGCTGTTGCTGATTAAAAATGCAGCCCAGGCAATAAGGAATATCAGAGAAGAACACGAGCAATGGATAAGAAACCAACGAGGCAAAAACTAAATTTGTTGTTGTGCAGTTCTGATGCAAAAACCTCAAATAAACTTCACCTGAACGTTAAGATTGAAATGTTTTTAGATAACACTCATGTTAAATTCACTTTTATGTAAATTTTTCATTTTCATTTGTGTAATTTTATACGTTGACCAGAACACGATTGGAATTTCAAATATTTTTTCACAAACTGCTTACAGCTACATTATATGGGCACATAAAGTACTGTTTTTACTTTATTACCTCACAATCAATTCACAGTTGGAGTTCCAGGAGTGTGTAAAAACATTCCTACATCAATTATTCAGCCAAAAAAAACACACTTTAACCAGGTCACACATTCAGTATCCATTTAGTAACTGCTGTGTTGTAGTAATGGCTAATAATAAGATTTTTTGTTGTTTGGTTTACAAGGAAGAATATCTCCTAATTAAATTTATGTTAAACTCCTTCCCTCCAAACATTTAATTACTTACTGTGTGAAAATTCATTAAGTTTCACATCAATTGCATAATCATTTGTAAGTTTTCAAATATGATATGAAGTAAAGAATTATGTATAATACAGAATAAACATAAACCACTAGTTAACTTAAAAAATTGAGCTATAAAATTTAATAAATGTTTACAACTCATTACATGTTGTTATCAAATAAATAATACCTAAAACATAATAAAACTTTGCTATTAACAGTTGTTTCAACTTGCACATCTAAGATAGTAATTTATGCACATGTAACCACTGGATAAAGAATATTTCCATGGCAAAGATGATCTTGAGCATGTCTATGCCTTAAAAATAGCATAAATTCAATTAAAAATACAATAATTTATTTTAATCTCATTATTTCAACAATAGTGAATTGTCATTTAAAATCCAAGGTTAGTTCTAACCCTCTCTAGTGGAAAAATAAATATCTTACCTCACACAAAACTGTCTATGACATTGATCACATGTAAAAGGAATCATCTCATGTTTTTTGCATCCTTTGAAAGAACATCTCCCCTCTTTTTTGACCTTTTGATTAACAACCAATTCTTTACAACCACTTTGAATATGATAGGCAACCTTTAAAGAAAAATGAATTGTTTATTGTAACTCACAAATAAGGAAAATTTCAACTGTAGCAAATCATGGTAGTTAAATCCATCTACCTGAACATTAGCATCCTGATGTCTTGATTTCTTCACCATCTGTCCACACAGTGGACATACTGGTACTTGAACCTACAGTATTAAGTTGAATGACATGTCACATACTCATTTGACTAAACAGTGGTAAGCAGAAAATGCACATTTCATGAAACTTATTTCTGGCTAAAACAATAGTTTTGTATTATTTTAAGTCTTACATCAGTGACGTAATTTCTAGGGCATTGATGAGAAGATGCTGTCCTGTGTTCAAGGCTGAAAATAGTAATATATATTCAAGATTAACTTCAAAATTTACGACTCGATCTGTGTGCCATCAAAGCGCCTTTTCCAGATAAATGTACCAAAATTTCAAATAAAGAAATGCCATAATCGTACCAGAAATATTCTTGACAAAAAGTACATTTAAATGGAAGAAAATCTAACTTTTTACAATCCTTCACATGACAATGTTTACCGAACGATATTAAATCTACATTTTCAGCCATAGTACTGAGTATAACCGCTTGATTTCTCCTGTATAAATATTGGCCAAACACAATCGCTACGAACATTAATAATAAAAATAAAAGAACGAGTCATGTTTCTATGTACAAAAAAACGCCAAGTCATTGTGATCTCATGATTTTTATCAGGCCATACATCAGACTCATCATTACACTAAAAAATAGGTACGCGGTACGCCCACGCCAGAAATAATAAAATATGCATTCGTTCGTCATGACATTGGGTATCTTTGCACCTACATATCTTCCTGCATCTTTCTACTATCAATACCGCTTTAATAAAGAACATGGTAACTTACACATGAATGCCAATCAAACCAATGAAACATTCTTACAGCTCAACGAATACACAATGTCACGTTTCGTTTGGCCATACAACCAGTATGCACAAAATATTCAATTCCGGCTTTACGAAAACCTTGACTTGTTAGCACGATAAGCGTTTCACATATTACTGCATACTAATCATAGCTGTCAATCAATGTTAATCAACAGCGTCATGTAAAAATTAAAATTATATAGTCATACTCATACACATTTATTTAACAGATCACCTTTAAAGTTTCTGAAATAAAATCATCACGGTTTACAGATATGACAACAATAAAAGCAATGATTCCGCGTAATAAAGACATAAAGTCATTGTTGCTAAAGTAACCTCACTTTTAAGCACGAGTTTCTTGATATTTGGATATGTTAAGGAAGGGAATTGCTGTATTATTCAAGTAAAAATGTAAAAGTACATACAACAAGAGATATAGCAACGATGAACTTGAACTGCGTCAGAAAATAAACTGCTGACAAATGTTCATAAATCACGATAAAAAAGCAACAGTAACAACACATTGATGAATAAAGCTACGATACTCAACATTAGTTATTAGATAGTAAAATTGATTCCATTCAAAATTGTATGAAAACTTACCATTCATGAAGTTTATCGTCAAGGCATTTATAAATCCAAGTTGAAAATCCAAAAAATGACACCAAGTTTTAGGCTGCAAAATAAATTTGAGGTTTAAACGTTATTTTTAATCATTGGAACTGTGGTATCGTGAATGCTTTTCGCAGTAAGATTTACGTCGATAATGACAGCCAAATGTTCTTTTAAAATAAACCAATGTGATTAATTAGCAACATATTCACTCAATGATTCCTGATTAAAATTGGTTGATTCCTCGCTAACGAGTGTCTACGGAATGTTTGTCACCGAAAAAAGAAACGAAACTCACCTCGACCGAATTTCCGAAGAGAATAATTTCAACACGACTTCGATATAAGCATTCACAGAGAACTTCGTCTATAGTAACTTCATCAACTACATACGTACATAACAACTTGTTTTGATATCATGTATATTTCTTGAAAACTTTTCGTTAATTGACGGGAGTCGCGAGAGAATGTGATTTATCAGCAATACTTCGTACTTGTCAAATCAGTAGTAAGGACGCATCAAGTTTAAAATGATATTTTATTAAAACATAAACCGAATACTTTGCTAATTGTCCCGGATAATGTACCATTACGGAATATTTACGACTAAGAGCAATGTCAAGCAGAAGACGATGGAAATATCTTGCTTTCGGATGACAAATGATACAGTTACTATAATACACGACAATTCAAAGCATGTTTTTTGTTTGGATATCTGAAGTAACCACGGCACCTTTCACCAATCACGGCCTTTGAAACAGAATGATGGAAACGTTAATTAACGGTGGACCGTTACGATGTGTTCAAACGTCTTATACTTAACATTCAATGGTTAACAAACAAAAAATTGTGATGTCCTAGATAGCTTGAATTTCTCTCATGTGGTTGTTTGCAAAATTCATGCAACAAAAAGGCTTAAAATATGTTTGACTGCAGTTGTCAAATTTAATAAATTATAATTTAAAGATTGTGAGGAAAATGTTTTGCCTTTGGTACTAAATGTAGTTGCAGTTTAATAAAGCAATTTTAACTTCAACCAGGAAATTCAGTTTGTCAAAATGCACGAGAAATTAAACATCTGGAATGTTGGTTGAAATTTAACAACAGCAGACCAAAAAATGACATTCCACGAGGCTGAAAATAATATTTGCCACATCTGTCTATTTTCAAATGTTTGGGCATTCTTTGTTATTTGTACTCTCTTTCAACAATATTTTCAAACATAAACGGCTTAGTGTGGTTGAGGCCTTAGAAAAAACATAAAATTGTTCAAGAGCACAAATTCATTAATCAATCTAATCATGCTCTCATTTTTTCTTAGTTGCCATAACAACTCCTTTACTTGTAATAAATTACTTCAATCATTACCTTGTCCAGCTCCGTAAGATCTTGAAGGAGCTTGCCCACCAGATGGAGGTCCACCATATCTGTCTGATCCACCTCCATATCCATCACTATATCAAAGAAACACTATTAAAATGTCTAAATTATCATATCATCAATATTTATAAATTGTGCTAACCTGCCACCACCATAGCCTGGATCATTTCTCTGATATTTATCCCCACCATAACCTCCACTATAACCATCGCCACCACTATATCCACCACCACTGCCATATCCACCACTACCATACCCACCACTATTTCCATATCCACCACTACTTCCATATCCACCACTACTTCCGTATCCACCACTACTGCCATATCCACCACCTCCATATGATCTGTCCCTTTCACCATAATTATCACGCCTATCATAGCCCCCTCCATATCCATCATTGTATCCATCTCGACCTCCATATCCTCTGTCATCTCCATAGCCATCATATCCACGAGGAGGTGGCCCTCGTCTATCAGGACCACCTCTACCTAGGACCACCTCTACCTCTAGGTGGTCCACCACGTCCACCTCTTGGTCCTCCTCGACCACCTCTAGGGCCACCTCGACCACCACCACCACCACCACCACCACCTCGACCATAACCGCCACCACCTCCACCACGTCCATAACCTCCTCCTCCCCGACCATAGCCCCCACCGCCTCCAAATCTGTTGTTCCTTTTTGCAGCCTCTCTGTTAGGATCTTTAGGATTGGCATATTCTATATTAATTTCTTTACCATCAATTGCCTATAAAATTTAATCACTTCAGCTTGTTTACATTTTCTACTAACACAAAACAAACAACACAATCAATTGTCTTACCCATCCTTGTAAACCTGTTTTTGCAGCTTCAGCATCAGTAGAATCAGCAAACGTAACATAACCAAATCCCCTGGAATTCCCAGATTCCTTATCCATAACAATGCATGCTAAAAATGACAATGTTCGGAATTAACACACATAGCTTTACATTTAAAAAAATTACATGATAAAATAAGGTACAATATAGAAAAATATTATCAACAAATATTCAAATTAAAACTGTATCACTTATTCCTCAACGCAAAACCAAAATTGTGAAACTGAATTAGTATGAAACAAAATATCTTAATGTTAAAAATAAGAAAGTAACTGTCTACAGTTATGTTAGTCAGAATAATCGTGAGATTTGCATTATTTAATCACTCAACACAGACACACTTTATGCATTTTCGAAAGCATGATAATAACGCAAATAAGGAACGGGCCAAAGGAAGCTGAGCTTTTCTTGAAAAAATACTTCTAAAATTATCGTATAGTAAAATAAATATTGTCGTCATCTATGAAGATGTTTCCATTAAAAAATTCCGTTGAATGTAGTCAACGTTTTATGTATCACATTCAAATACTTACCGTCGTCGATTTTACCGTATTTATCAAAGGTTTCGTAAAGCGTATCTTGGGTGACATTTTGGCTAAGTCCCCCGACAAAGAGCTTTGACTTTTGAGACATTCTTAAAACAACTCTGGTCCTGGATCTTTCTTCAAAATACTTTAATAAAACGCTTGCACTGTGCTAATTTCAAATCGAAGGAGAGTACTAAAATGGCTAAGTTTTATAAAAATATGCTTTCACTATCCACGCTCTCTCATGTGAGAACATATGAAAAGAAGTGCAGAATGACGCATGCGCATGAATTACTGTTGCATTGTGGGACCACACCCTCTAATCTCTTTTTATTTATTGCCTCCTCTACTACTCTCTAATTAACAGTTCTTTAAGTAAAGCAAACCTTGAATTGAATATTCAATTGAAACATAGGTATAGTCAAAGTCAAAAAGAAGAAATTACATTTCTTATAACACAACACATAGTTTCAAAATTATGAAATATAAGGAAAATTGATCAGCCTCTCATCACAAAATGATTTTGGAACAGATCGCCATTTGCTACAAAGTTTCATCCAATCACGCCATTATTATCCTTTACTCCATCACTCGCCATATTTCTGCCATGATAAATGTTGTCATGCAAGTTATAAAGACGCTCCAGAACAAATTCCTGTTGACAATGGAAAAGAAACTCAACTTGTATAAACTTGTTTTCGTGTAATGTCATACCCATTGAAAGGCTTTGTATTGGCAACTTATCTCATAAAATAAAAAAATACATGCAACATAAAATTACGACAAGATTTATGTACTCAACTCACTTCATAGGAAATCACATCATGTAAGCTTTTGGTATAACTCGATGCCGTTTTCTTTCTTTGGATTTTCCCTCTGAGCTTTCAGAATCACTGGATGTTGATTTGTCCTTCTTATGTTTTCTTCCTCCAAATCTTAGCTGCGCATTTGTACTTTCCTCATCCCGTAATTTTTCCCTATTGACACTAAAAATTTGCAGTTCAAAACAAACCATTTAATAACAACATACTTACATAGATATACTTTAGAAGAGTAAAGGTTTAAGTTAGAAGTACTTACCGTAATCTGGCAACATCCACATCAGACATGGCAGGTCTTCTTTCAACAGGAGAATGATAATCATCATATGAAGGTTGATGTCTTGGATATTGGTAAAATTCTCGACTTGGCAGTCTACTATAGGTATCTCTTGGATGATTGGAATAATCTCTTGGATGATTGGAATAATCTCTTGGTGATCGATTGTAATAATCTTCTGATGTGGGATAATCATAACCCCTTAAAGGTGGTTCATCATAAAAGTTTTTGGAAGAAGGTCGATCATAGTAATCATTGGCTGGCAGGGTCCTGTAGTAATCACGAGGAGGTCGCTCATAATAATCTTTCTCGTAATAGTAATCCCTCATTGGTGGTTTGTCATAATAATCTCTGGATGGTGGGCAATCATAATAATCATCAGGTGGGGGTCTTTCATATCTTCGAGGTTGAGGTTGACTATAATCTCTATCATAGTATGAGTCATTTCGTTCTCTTCGATGGTAAAAATCATGATCATACCGATAGTCTCGTTCATGGTTTCGACTTCGTTCAGGGTAACCACGACGACCATAGTCACCATGACGACCATAGTCACCACGACGACCATAGTCACCACGACGAACATGAAAAGGAGATTGAGATGATTTTGGTTCATCAGCAAATTCTACACACAGTGTTTTACCATTGATTCTCTGTAACAAATATACAATGCTACTGACATAATAACAAAACAGAAAAATGGTAATTCTATAAAAGCAAATTTTACCAAACCATCTGCTGCTTTTATGGCACCAGCAGCATCTTCTTGATTTTCAAATTTCACATAACCAAAACCTCTTGAATTTCCAGTGCCTTTCTCAGTCACAATGCAAGCTAAAATAGACATGACAGTAAGTCTCAAAAAGTCTCAGTATGATAGTGTGTCTCACTATATGATAAAGAAATTAATCATTATATATAATCATTAAGTTAGAACAATACCATCAACAATCTCTCCAAATTTCTCAAAATGCTTATAAAGAAAATCTTCAGTGGCATCTAAGGTTAACCCTCCAACAAACAACTTTTTGAGGCTTTCTTATGAAACTTTTTAGCCTTGATTTCCTTGATATATGCTGATGGACGAGCTTTCTCCCCCATTTCAGTTTGGTAGACTTCTCTAGCTGGCTTTCGACTGAAATCAAAAACTTCATTATTCTTTTCACAAGACTTAACTTGATTTTCCTCAGATGTTGTGCATCCAGCATCTAATGATGTTGGTGGTTCCCAATCCCAAGCCATTTGTGAAGTTGAAACATAACCTGAATATGTTGTCACAACAGACAGATAAAAATAAACTCATAATAAAAATTGTGAAAATATTCATCAAGGAAAAAAACAACAACCTTGTGCACCAATCTCATTCCTGTTGTCCTTCTCCTGTTTTATATTTTCTTGCTTTTGCTCATCTGATTTATTTGGTCCCAAATCTTGTACTTCTGATGGTATAAATCCAGTGGCATCAGTTGTTCCAACCTCTTCCTTAATGCTCAAATTAACATCATCCACATATTGGAGGGTGGAGGGTATAGTGGCACTTTCTAGTGAAACATCATTGTTAACCTCTGACAACTGCTCAGTACCATCATTTCTAGAGACAGCAAGAACTGTAGATTGAGACATATCTTCTTCTAATGCTATCGTGTTGGGAGGTTGAACCCTAGCATCATACTCAACAGAACTATGCAATACATCACTATTGTCTGGAGTTTTATCTGTTGACATATACAATCCCTCGCTCTCGTTTTTCACTTCTGATAAAGTTGAAACCATCACCCCTTCAAAATTTTGATTCTGCTTAGTTTCATACAGGAGCTTCGGATCGCCACTTTCATAACTCTGCATCTCCGATTATAAATACTTGTATCTATTATCTCCAAATTTTAATGAGCAGTAATCGGTCACACCGTCTCAAAAATCTTTTTTTGTGATTGGTTTCATACAAAATCAAATTCAAAACTTTTGTCCAAGTATGAAGAATGAGCATTCGGAATTCTGAATCGGAGCGTATCTTTAGGATTACAACCGCTGGCTTGCGAGACAAGAGGCGATTAACCTAAAAAACCAGTTAAACCTGATTGGCGAAAAGTTCAAACAAGTTGTCAAATTATCGAACGACAGCAGGCATTGGCAGCGTTATTCCGTTCCGTGAGATTCTTAGTCGGCGAACTTTCCAGAAACACGAGAATTTTGTTTTTCCATTTTCTCCATTCTCATTTACTGTTAAAAATGCCCGAAGATGCAAAAATACATGTTGGAAATCTGCCATTTGAAACAAGAGAAGATGATCTCATTTATGAATTCGAGCGTTATGGCCGAGTTGAACAAGGTTGGTAAAAATCAAAAACAATTCAACCAAATATCATAGTAAAATGCCTCATGATCATCTTCCATCAGGTATGTAAGTGTGACAGCGTAATCACAACTGTTGAGCCGGAATTACTATTGCTCCCAAACTGAGCTGTTCTTCACTTCTTTCGCTTCGTAATCTCTGAGGTCGTTTGTTTTGCCAGGCCACAGCTTGTGTAGACGTTAATATGTTTTCCAGCTACCATTATCAAAGATCGAGACACAGGGCGACCAAAGGGTTATGGCTTTGTAATGTTTGAAAATGTCGAAGATGCTCGAGATGCGATATATGGAATGGACCAAAAGGTTTGTTTATGATCAATTCAATGTTGGTTTACATCATTGTCATAATGGTTGAATGAACTCGCAGGAGAAATTGATCTGGAGTGTTTCATCATGTATACTTGCAATTGCTATGCCGTAGAAATTTATGGGCCGAGTTATCAAATGTGAGAAAGCCAAACCTCGTCGAAGTGAACTTGGGGCCTCCAGAGATTCATTTGACCGACGTGATGATAGAGGGTTCAGAGATGATAGGCGAGGTGAAAGAGAATATCGTGGTGGCCGGGATGATTTCAGAGGAAGTCGAGATAATTTTCGTGGTCGAGACGATCATCGTGGTCGAGACAACTTTCGTAACAGAGATGATCGTGATTTTCGAGGTGGGAGAGGTCGAGATAGGAGGTTCTAGGGTAAGTATGGATAGGCAGTGGATCTCTTGGATTTACTTAAATCATCAATGACAACACTGGAATGTGTGCTGTGATTTTCATCAGTGTTACCTAATTTCCTCATTTAACATCTGATACATCTTCAAGTGTTGCCTTCCTTGTGTGTTTGTTGCCAGTTTTAACATAACTGAGTTGTAGCCTTGTTACCTCACACACCATCAGTGGTTACCTGAGCCATGTTCATCATGTTACTTTGTTACCAGTTCACCTTTTCCACAAGTTTTTAACTAAACTAAATAATCTACAAGAATTTCGTTTTGAAATGCTACCTCAATTCATCAAATATCAACGAAGTTCCTTTTTGACCTTCAGATACTTGTACAAAGAAGTCAAGGAAGAATTTTGATTGAAGTATTTAAACCATCATAGTATGTACAATTCCAGGCAAGTTATGTTGAGATGCAGTTCATGACATAAGGTTACATTAAAGCAACATTGTTTATCTAATTTTAACTTTGACAATCAAGAACTTGATGTGGAAGATAGTGTAAATATAAACATTAAAGTTTATTGTAACAAAGATTTATTGATGTTTTTTTCATTTCTGACCAAAACCCATGCAACTTTGTACAAAATAAATTTGAGGTCACACCTTATTTGGTATCCTTTCTACAATATTAATGATTCAACATGGCTGATTTATCATATCATTGCACAATGTATCATGATTTTGTGTTGATTTCAGTCAAATACTGTCAGGTTGTGGTATGTCATTTTTCTTAACAATACTTGTGTCGTACATTGATGTTGACATTTCTTGTTCCTGGAAAAATTTTTTTAAATGTTTAGTGCTCTTGTCTACAGCAGCATTATGCATTTCAGATAGAGATATATTTATACAAAAATTATTACTGTCACAACTCAGGTAATTTAACACTAATTTTAGAGATGAAATTTATTCATAATGAAAAACCTGTGGAAAAAATGGAATAAGGCTTCGTCTACTGGTCTGTTGCTGTGGATAATAGTTGTAGTTTGGTTGGTAAGGCTGAGCTTGGTACTGGGGAAAGCCAATATTTGCCCTTTGGTAAATTGTTCCATATCCTGAATCTGAGAGATAAAAGAGAAAATTGATCTCTTATAATGAATAAAGTCCAGTTTTTGTAGTTGCTTACTTTGTCCTCCATATTGATTACTGTAATAGGCATAGTTTGGGTAAGCATAGGGAAGTTGTTGATGTGAATTTTCAGGCACTTCATATCTTTTGGAAGGTGGGTGTGGGATGTTGAATGAAGGAGTAAACTCATCCAAATCATCATAACTGGGAATGTTTGTTCTCGACTGACCTTCATAAAATAATTAGGAATTTACATTCTTCATTGGAAATGTCACTCTCTTTAATAAGGAGAAATTACATTGGTTGATATTCCAAAAAGAATACATTCTAAATTGGTTACATACGTTCTGTGCACTTCTTCATTTTAGCTTTGTACTCATAAAAAGGCATCTCTCCATCACTGTATTCTTTTACGATCTTCTTGCAGTCTGTATGTATTGACCTCATTTGTGCTAAAAAATTGACTTTCTGTTCAAAGTACTTTCCCATAGTTTCACAGCAAAAGTTTTAACAAGTGGTCACTGCTTAACACCCCCACCCTACTGGCACTTCAAAACGTGGGAATAGGTTGCCACTCCAATACACCTTGTGTCATAACAAGGGGATTTAAGCGATAACTTCAAGTGGATTTATATGGATGTGTGTGTGTCAAGATACCTGCTGTCTCCTGAGAACCCGTTACATTCTGTGAATTAGAGCGTAAAATAAATATCGAAGATTCAAAATTTCTAACGAAGCTTCACTAACACATTACCCCGTCTTACTCTTGCGTGTAGTACTACATTTTCGATGTTATAACTCGTACTAATTCAAGCAATAAACATGAAAAACCTCTGTAAAAACTTACGATCACCGTTTTCGATGTATGCCCATCTTTTTTCCACGTTATGTCGTGATGGTTTTCCGGACACAATGTAAATACATAAGTTCACGAAAAACATTTTTAAGATAAGAGACATTGTTAAAGATTCGTAGGTATTTATCCAAGTTGAAGTAATAACAACTAACAACTTGTCCTCTGACAATTACTGTCTGTAGACAAATGTTGCGTTGCTGATGAATGAGATCATGGCTCCGATGACGTTACGACATCGATAATCTAAAACCTATACACCAGCACCAAACTACTCCTTGTTAGTTACAAACTTCTTGCACGAAACAAAAACATTTGGCGACAATTGATCATTATATATTAGGTATAAGCTGTTAACATCACATGATAACGATTGTCTCAACAAACACAAGTGATTCAGGCAGGTTAATATCTTAAATGTTGTAAATCAAAACTCACAAAGCAATTATTTTTAACATTTATTAATATAGACATTGACATGAAATAAAACTTATCTTGTTAACATGTGCACAGGAGATGACATTTACAATTTACTTAAATCAACTTCTATTAAGAAATGTGTATGTATAAGAATTGCCACAAAATCTTGCTTGATCATACATCTAAAAAAATAAAAATGAAAAGGAATTAACATTAAATGGATATTATAAATGGAAAATTGAGAACACACAAAAAACCTGCTTAACCATAATGCCATCATTTGATATTTAATCAACAAATAATTTTATCATAATAGAAAAAAAACATTCAGAAGGAAATACATTTTACTTACTCGCAAACGAAAGATCAAAATTTTAAGGTTTTAAGAACCAGAAGCAAATGCAAGTTCACATCAAATCAAACACATAGCCTTCAACATTCCATGCATAACCAGATCATATCATGTACTGTACTATAACCAACAACATCTCATAACTGCAGGTATATGTGCGCAAGACAATCAGATGATACCCTGGTCATATCATTCATACTGAACATAACCTTCCCTAAGCGCACAAAGAACTCTGTTTAACATTATCAAAGCATTAAAACACATAATATTTACTGTGAAATGATATACATGCTCAAAAATGCTTATTAGACTTAAACATGCATTAAGATCTATAAGCACATTCTTACCTGAAAGTAGATTAATTTGGACTATTTGACTTTGGAGGTGGACTTGCACTAATTGAGCGACCACGCGAGGGACTGGCAGATTGCCTATCAGGACTTTGAGAGCCACGATTTGCAAGAGGTGATTTAGTTTGTGGACTGACTGAACTATTCTTTGCATTTACCAAATCTTGTTTAGGACTTGGAGAACGTTTCTCGGGAGTTAGTGATGACCTCCTTCCTGGACTACTAGATGGTCTTCTGCGAGGACTAGAAGAAGGTCTACGACGAGGACTGATAGAAGGGCGTCTACGTGGACTCCTAGATGAGCGCCTGGGTGGACTTCTGCTGGCTCTCCTTCGTGGACTGGGTGAACGCCTACGTCTTCTGTCATCAAATCTGCTTGACCGCTTAGGCAAAGCTCGATGGACGTTGATTTCTCTGCCAGCAAATTGCTAAAAATGCAGAAAATAATGAAGTTTTTTCAGCAAAATAGTTCCAAATGAAGTCAAACATGTATCACTAACAGTATTATTCGCAGCATGTATTGCATCCTCCGCATCATGAACATCACGGAACGTCACAAAGCAGTAACCTTTGGGTCTTCTTGTGTATCTGTCCACAGCAATAAATACTAAAAGATTGAAAATTTTTACCAAAAATTTTTGATAACAATTTGAAGATAACAAAGCATTAATCACGAAAGAAATTATTTATGCTTCACTATAGTATGGTCAAATTAGAAAAAATTGCGTAAGACTGTCGAAAAACACAATTTTGAGTTCCGTGAAGCTATGAGATACGCCAAGTTGGAGTTTTCTAATCTTTGCAGAAATTTAAGACATGCAAGCATTTTTATCAACAATTTTATCTTTGAGTCATTGATGACATGGCAATGGCGCTCGATTATACTTGTACCACCTTCGTCGACGTCGCCATATTTTTCAAAATGTCGACGAACTTCCCGTTCAGTTACATCATATGCCAAGTTCCCAACGTATATCTTGTAATCCTCGCGATCACTCATTCTTCTTTGAAGTATATATATTGCTAACGTTCACACTCAATGTTGTTCTTTCCCTATGAACAAAGACAGATGATATTTCATACAAAAGTCAACCCAACTCCTTCGAAGTTCGCACTTCAAACACGCGGTAAGGGGACAATGGGAACACTTACGGATACTCATGGGTCGTGATGACTTAATGGGAGTAATGTCACACTTCAAACCATTTCGTTTCATTAGAGATATTAAGTCTGCAGTAAAATAACTTATTTAGTCTCTAGAGACTTGAGGAGAATACTATTGGCAATATTAATATAAGGAAAAACCATAACAATATTACACAGCAAAGGGTAAAATTATGTACTCTAGCAAGGACTATTTTACCTTGTTAAATGATTAAATAAAATCATTGTTTTCTCATAATCTTTAATTAAACACATCTCACACCAAAATAATTTGTTACCAATAACTTTCTAAATGGAGACTATTGTTGAAAACGATATTAGGGAGTCTTAGTGACTGCTAATATCCATTGAAAATTGCAGCTTGCACTTAACTAAGACAAATTGAAGACAAATTTTTCATTAAAGACAACTTTAATCGGAGCTACGTTCACAGAAAAAATTTAGATAAAAAGTAAAAAAAAGACATAACAAGGAATAAGACATTGTTTCATCTTGCCAGGCCACCTAAGTATCATAATACTTTGAATCTTGTAATGGACCAGACCAGACAGACAGTCACGAGTGAGATATTTACAATCTGGATTGAACAGGCAGGCAGGTAATCAGTCAGTCATCAAACGCCTTTCATAACACAAAAAATAAACAGAATAAGATCAGATGATTGTAGACAAACACCAAAATCGTCCAAAAAATGTTTTTAAGATCAATGAAACAATAAGACTTTTGTTTAAATCAACTGAAAAGTTCTGCACAATGTAATTAACAAATAATTGAATTTTAATTTCATTAAGAAAATAATACCTGTTCAATAAGAACCATATTGTCCACCACTTGGAGGCCCACCACCTCCTGTGTTGTTGTATTGACCTCCATATCCATCATTGCCATAGTTACCACCGCCACCATAGCCTCCACCTGCTCCATAAGCACCACCATATCCACCAGCACCATAGCCACCAGCACCACCATAGCCACCACCACCACCATATCCTCCCCCACCACCACCATATCCACCACCACCATAGTTTCCACCACCATAGCCACCACCACCATAGTTTCCACCACCATAGTTTCCTCCACCATAGTTTCCTCCACCATAGTTTCCACCACCATAGTTACCTCCACCACCATAACCACCACCATAACCACCACCATATCCACCTCCACCATACCTGTTTCCACCACCTCTCCCTCTACCACCACCACGTCCCCCACGACCTCTTCCACCACCTCTGTTTTGGCCTCCGCCGCCACCTCCTCCGGCACTTTTAGGTTTTGCATCATTTACATTAATATTTCGACCAAAAAATTCCTATATTGAAACAAAAAAGTTTTAAACATAGTCATGGTCTTATTGATCATTGAGTAATGTACTAGCATAGCACAACAAATGTGATTATTAGTTGAGAGAAAACAAGAAAAGAAATGATATGTTTTAAAATTCAAGCTAAAAACATGCTTTTTTTCAACAAAAATGATAAGCAATTTCTTTAATTTCTGCCAAAACAATGTGAAACATACAAACTGATTATTTCAACTATAGGCAAGCCATTGGTTAAAGACGTTTACCAATAGCATCCATTCACATGTTGAATCAAAATTTCAGATATTTTGGTAATTTGGTTTTTCAACAAAGTTGCCTAGATTAAACCCATCTTATTAGCAACTTGTTTTAACTACATTTTGTTTATAAAAATGAAGTTATTATATATAATTTCAGAAAATATACAGCATGAAATAGCAACCAAAGGATATATTTGCACATTGTGAAACAAAAATTTGACTTTCACACATAAAACACTACTATGATACTACACTACTTTTGAAAAAGCAATAAACATTAAATTCTTGCGTTTTCTTAAATGATCTACCAAAGGCAACAAGTATTATACACATTTAATGAGCAAATGTTCATTATCTGGAAAAATATATATATTGTATGGTGCTATTCCTGCACATAATTTGCCATTGACTGCAGAATTTTCTTCATTAAACAAAATTCAACAGATTGGAAGCAAGCACATATAAGTTCAAGCTCTATAATGAATAGTTTGAAAACAAAAATCTGAAAGTTACAGAATACTGATCAGTTCATAAAATTTTATGTTAAATCTTCCTAGTTAATCTAAATGAAAAAAAATATCAGACATTTTAAATTTAAAAAGACTTAATGTACAAATATCTTCATTTTTAACTATAGCACTTACAGCATTATTTAATTTTTCTTTAGCATCCATTGCATCTTGAGCTTTCTCAAACGTGACAAAAGCATAACCTCGTGATTCGCCCGTTTCTCTGTCCTTCACAATGACAACTACATAAATATAACGCGAATAAAGATTAAGATCAACACCATAGATACCTTTCAAAGCAATACAAAATACTTAAAAATGAAACATTTCCTTTCTGCTATTAAACACCTATAAAAAATCAATATTTCGCACACAAAACTTCGTTGAATATTCACAAGATAACTCATGACAAAATGCGAGTGCTCAACCAACAGTTCATGCTTAAATTTTACTGCTTTGTTATTTATCCACATATTACAGGCTTTGAGCTACTAGTTTAACGCCAAACGTTAAAAAAATCACATAGCTATTGCTGGAACTCAATTTCAAAAACAAATTTACTAAAACTTAAAGGCTTTCCGTTAAACCACGAGGCACAAGTCATATTACACATAGCACTTTGGATTTTCAATACAATTACCTTCTTCAACATTGCCGTAATTCTCGCAAAATTTTTTCAAGTCGTCTTCACTGGCTTTAAAGGCTACGTTTCCAAAAAAAAGTTTGTTAGAAGTCTCCGTCATTTTGTAATTTTTTGATGAAGAGGTACAAAGAGCGATTGTCTAACAAGGCGCAAAATAGAAAGAAAGTCAGAAAGACTGCTGCAAGTCTCACGACGATTTACGGCCCACGACGACGAGCACAACGCCACGAGAACGAAGTTTCCATTTCAAATATTAAGCTTCCTTGATTCGCAACAGTACTTTACGAAAATACATCCCTACAACAAAATTGATTTTAGATTAGAACAAACACAGCATTTTCAATGCTTTAGCAAAATGCCTTAGTCAGGAGGTTGCTTATTAGATTACTTAGAAAACAGAATACGCATAGCACATTTTCTGTTCAAAAACAGAATGGAAAACATGACATTCTACAACCAGCCAATGAACAAGTGAAATAATTTTGCATTACTTGCCATTGTCATTGTTGCTCAATTATCCAATTCACCGACTTCTTCACATCAAAATATCCCACCCCCAAAACTCCTTAGTATATTATATATAAGAATTACTTCATTATATTGCAAATTTGAAATAAACTAGGGGAACCCTTATCAGACTCAGCATTTCTCAATAGTACCAATATCAACTCCAATTTTAGTGTTGCTTGTACATCTACTGTGGCAAATTAGTTAGGAGTAGCAAGTACAGACACCTTGCATCATTTTTTTTAAAAGAAAATGCATAAATCACATAAAATACTGCAACAATGTTATCAACTAGGTCACTAAATGTTCTCTCAACAACAAAACAAGTTAGCAGTGACTATCATGAATGAGGAAATAAACAAGTAATAAGGTTGTTTTAATTGGATTATATGTAAAAGTGAACAATTTAGGTAGACAACATAGTTTTTCCATCTCTCTCGCCTAGAAGTTCGATTGGCCTTGAATCTTTGTTGCAACAGCCAATGTCATAAATGATAGATAACACGAGTGTTTCACAGAGCATAATTTGATCATTTTCGAGAGCATCATGGGCCTTTATTGTACGAGAATAGAATATTCACATAATATCATGGTGAACCAAATCACAAAAAAATTTATTGCTTAGAACAAAAACATTACGTTCACAAGCAGTTTTTCCACATTCAATGTAAACCAAAAGGTTTGTATTTACTTTTTGTGACAATGTGAAAAATGAAATTCCAATGTTGAGCAATAAAGCTAGCATAAAACCTTCATCAGCAAATTAAATACACAAGATAAAAAGCAAAGCATTATAAAATTCGCTTATATTAAAAAATTTCCACAATGTACGACAACAAATATGGATATGCAAAAGACAATGATGTTTCAAAATGCCATCATGCAAAAACAATAAAATTATACAATGAAAAAAGAAGTGCTCTTATATAACAGCATATCCATTTTTTAATATAAAAGAATGCTTTTTAAACAAACAATTTCTGTTTGAAAAACACAATTTTTGTGTTTCATGTGAAAATACAAAAATTTATTTATAATCCAGCTCATATACATCACACAACACACATAAAAAATTCAGTAGGATAAACTTTCTTTGACACATCCATACACAAATAAAATATGAATAAAAAAAGAAATATTTACTCACCCATTCAATATCGTCCACCATCACCAGATTTATATCGGTCATAGCTGTAACCACCTCCACTTCCTCCATAACGATCACCACCAGATCTTCCTTCATACCCACCACCACCATAGCGACTACCTCCATATCCACGACCATATCCTCGTCCACGACCACGGCCACCACGGCCACCGCCGCCACCACCACCACTGCTCTGGGGTCTTGATTCACTGACACGAATCCGTCTTCCACCCAGCTCCTAACGAAAAACCATATTTCAACAGTTTATTAACCCCATTCAAACTCACTGCATACAATTACTACATACCGTGTCATTTAATCCCTCGATTGCTTCTTTGGCATCTCTTTCATCTTCAAATGTCACAAAACCAAAACCACGTGGACGATTTGTATCTCTATCCATGACAACAATGACTAGAAAAGAAAAAATATATGTCTATTGCTTATTTCCCATATCATTATTAACTTACAATACTTACCTTAATATAATGATAGTTTGAACATATCTTACAACATGTATTAATGCATTGTTATACTGATATTATAACACTCATTTGCTTTCTGCCTTTCATTCAACTCCATAACATAGTATTGTGCATGAGAGCATGATAATTTAATCACCCAAACCAATAACTTTCCATCGTATTAGATTGGTAACAGAGTACATAGTAGTTGCAAAACGCATGTGCAGTGGCTCCCTACGAAATTACTTCCCAAACTTGCCCATAGACACCTAACTATTGGAATTTTTACTTTAACAATGACTGTACAACGCAAAACCAGTAAACATATAATTAACACTCATATACACGGAGTACGGTAAAACATTGTGCTTGAGAATTGTGAAAGCGAAACAAAAGCAAGAAAATGTACACATCCGTCTGATTTAGACCATCTGCCAACAAAGCGTATACTCAAAAGTTCAACAGCACACAGTCTATAAATTGTAATTTTTATGTTGAAGCACAAAAACCCGTAAAAAATAAGTAAAATTTGGATCGAGAATGATCGAGCGCTGCCTTTAGTGATGAACTCGACACAACGTTATTTCACTAAATTCAACAATATTAAATCGTCGCCAATGATAGGTCTTAACACACTAACCCTGATCCAAATTGCCATATTTCTGAAATGCTTCACGTAGATCATCTTCTGTTGAATCATAGGACAGGTTTCCCACGTATAATTTGCAGTTATCTCCCATTTTTATAAGATCTATAATTTTCGAACACGCTTTCGTCCACCAAGAAATAGGATTCCGACTCTCAATCATGTGACATCCACTCATGCACTACTGCGCATGTACATACAGGTTTGAAAAACTAGATTTCGTTTTATCTGTTTGACCATGGTTAGATCTGTTTACACTTACCAAAATAATACCAAATAATACAATTATACGATTGCTCTTGGTCGCTATACTTTCTTAGAGAATTAAATGAAAGATAGAAAGCTAAAGAATTTACTTTCTTTCAAATCTTATAGGAATTACAACAATTATCTGTGTGGATTTACATAAAAATGACAATGACGTTAAAAGATAAGTCTCAAACTATAAGCATGAAATACAAATTTTACGAACACGATGAAAGTCATGTAGTACTTGCAATGTTTTTCGCACAATGTGCCTTCGCTTTCGAAAATCAAACATTTTTTTATATGTTTTTAAATGCTATTAGAAAAAATTACAACATAAAAAAAACACAGCCCGCTGGCCTCCAGCATCGTATGTATGTAAATCAATACATATTTGTGTTGATTTATCGTAGAGCAAGCGACATACACAGATATACACCCTTGATACTCACGTGTACGCACAGCGTACCTATTTTTAATAAATGATCAGATTGAAAGCATGTAATATATTTATATAATATTTGAATGTTGAATATTTCTTTGGCTGTTTCTCAAAAAACTATGCGATGCATTCCAAAACTACTCCACTGTAACAGACTTCGCCAGATTTCTGGGGCAATCAACCTGACAGAAAAAAAAGTAAGTATCTGCACTTTACTGCTGTTTTCAAGAACATAGGCTTCTAGTATCGTTAACTAAACGAATAAGTCAAAGTTAAACTTACATCATAACCACGTAGACATGCAACATGAAATGATAAAAGTTGTAATGGTATGACAGTTAGTATGCCTTGTAGACAGTCAACAGTCTGTGGTATTTCCAAATGACGAAAAGCATATTTCTTCACTTCGTTATCTCCTTTCGAACACAATATGATGGGGCGACCCTTGAAGAGATATGTATAAAGTAAAGTATCCTTTTATGAGTATCAATGTCACATCAATATTGAAGTACTAAACTCCTATTATTAAATCTAAAAAAATAGCATATAGGGACTGGCAACAAAGATCTTAAGAGATGATACAATGGGCATTTCTAGGAAGACTTCTGTGAATTAGAAGTTTACTAAGTTAAAATTGTCATAGTTATGCTTTGACGTAACAGATACAAGACTCGTGTGAAAGTGTTACCTGTCTGGCAGTTACTTCATGTAAAGCGTTCATAACTTTCTAAAAGCAAAAAGAAAAACAACGATCAGAGCTTTCAGTTAATTTTACCGTCACTTTCATGGCGATCACTGACTTGATAAAGACGATCCTTCATGATGATCATCACAATTGGTAAAACTTTATCAACCATTGCAAGTGGTCCGTGTTTAAGTTCTCCTGACATAATTCCCTCAGAATGCATGTAGGTCAACTCCTTCACTTTCTACACAATACAACGGAAAAATACGAAGAACAGCACTACAGTAAACTATTTAACAAACTTTAGCGCACAATGGGTGATTTTATTCAAAGAAAAGAACAATAAAGTTCACCAAAAAAAAATAATAAAAACAAAATTTTAACAGAGTTGACTCTTAATAACAATAAAAGTGAAGTAATAGCTTAAGCAGTTGAATAAAAGACCTACCAATGCTCCTTCAAGACATGTAGCAAAATTGTATCCCCGACCAAGAATCAATAAACTTTTTTGTTCAAATAACTCATTTGCTAATTCCTGTACAGCTTTATCCACAGCCAAAACTTCTTTGATCATTTCTGAAGATAAAATACACAGATTTTGTTGTTATAGCAAATAAAAGACACTCATCATTAGTATTCACTTCTAGCACTTTTTATGAAATTATAAACGACCAAAATGAGGAAGAAGAAACAAAGAAGAAGCAAAACCGAAAACATGAAAAAAGATAATAACAAAATAAAATATTCAGTTGAAAAAAAAACACCAGAAACTATAAATTTGTTAGTTTTCATGGTAAAAATAAAAACGTTTTTCCTTAAATTCATGGATATACAATGAAGACAACAACCAAAAAATTTTCAGACAGTTATTACACGTGACCAAACATCTTCTGATAAGTCGCCTATTTAAGGCTCAATTCTACAATTACATCACTCATTTTAAGGTCGCTCACTGGTAGCAAATGTAATGAAAAATTGATGTATAGTGTTTAGGAAAAAAACAAACCTGGTAGTTTTTTCATTTCATCAATGATTTCCTTCCTTCGTTTGACCTTTGACAAGCGATCATCACTCATCATTAAACCAAACATTACAAGCGTCAAAAACTGACTCGTGTAGGCCTGTACATAAAGAAAATAATTTTGCGTTTCAGTGAATATTTTACTTTCAGTTTCATTTGGAAAAGTATCGTGTCTCAGTCACAAGGAATGTAGTACAATAAGAAAAACATAGTGAAGATTGCAATAAACAATATGAAGATATAGCATGTTTGCAGATGTAGATCGTCCAATATAAATAAAATAAACATAAATAATTATCGAGTTATTTATCATTCAGAATTTGACGCTACTTCTAACGCAAGCTTCGTACTAAAGTAATTATAATTGTCATTTAGAACAATTTTACCTTCGTACTTGCAACACCAATTTCTGGTCCAGCGTTGATATGGCAACCACATTTTGTCTCACGTGACACAGTACTGCCAACTAAAATTTGAAATATTTATGTTGAGGTGATATTGAGGAACAAGATATTCCATGTCGAGATTACATTTATCCATACCTGTATTTGTAATTCCAACGCAAAGAGCGCCACGCTCCTTACAATAACGTAACGCGTTCAAAGTGTCAGCGGTTTCCCCTTCAATACAAAGAAAAATCAATAAAAAAGCAATGATTCAATAACATCATTAAAACAAACCCGATTGACTGATGAATATGCACACGTCATCGCGGAATATGGGCGTAGCCCTATCCAAAAAGTCACTGGCAAGTTCAACCATAACAGGAAGTTCCGTGAGCTCTTCCAACAACTGACGAGTCTATAAAAAGAATGGTGGTTTTCTTTGTGATAGGAAATTGTTGCTTCAAACCGTATGTACAGTACTGCTCAGAAATAACTTTACCGAAAACGCGTTCAAAACTCGTTTCAATTGCGTTCGACTTAAGATGAAACGTTTTTCAAAACGCGTTGTTAACAGCATCCGATCGTTGATCCGTAATCATCATTTATACTCGCTGTACAATTGTTCCATTTCTGAAGTTTTCGATGTCATACCGAGTTTTTTGACCAGTCGGGAGCGCTTTAGAACGTGTCCCCTAGTTTTTTGGAATGCGAACGCAGTGTTAAGTTACTTCTGAGCGGTACTGTACACAGCTGTCAAACCGAAAAAACGACACATGCATGTATAAATCAAAGCTTGAAAAAAAAACTGATACATCGTATATACTCACAGCCAAAGCACTGTGGTAGCTTGTACCACAAGCAATAAGAAGCAGGCGTCGACATCTTCGTATCACATCCACATATTTCAGCAAACCACCAAGTCTCACTGCGTGATAACAATCATATTGAGAAAAATAAGTCTATTATCGCCCTCTCCGGCCATGGGCCATCCTACGATCTCTGTCTCCACTACAAACCTGTGTAATTATCAAAATCAACACGTCCTCTCATTGTGTTGATAACACTCTCTGGTTGTTCAAAGATTTCTTTCTCCATAAAAGTACTAAAACCAGCTAAAAAAGACAATAGTTTAGTCAGGAAAATTAGAGAACGAAATTTCCTATAAATAATTTGAAGATAATATGACAAAGTTAAACTGGTGCTTTTGTCGTTTACCTTTCATAATCTGCTGCAATTCCATTTGTAATGTTTGTATCTCTCGATGCATAACACTGTCAGATTGCTCTTCCTTTTTGAGGCGATGAATTGACAGACCTTAAACATAGCATGTAAATATCACGAGTTTCAAAGAACAACTCACTTCTCCCAAGAAAAACAAACGTACTTCCGTCAACGACAGCTGCTACGTCATTATCCTCCAAATAGATCACTCTGTTGGTGTGTTCAATGACAGCACTAAATAAGAAAATATGTTTCATACTGGATGGACGTAATGTCATTGAACTCTTTTTATGCTTTGAATATTTCTTATGGAGATTCAATTTGGAGATTAACAAAGTATAAATCACCAACCAATTCAACTTTAAATGTTTATATATATGTGATATGCAGCTTTCCTTACTCATAATAATCTTACCTAGCATCCGAGGCAAAAAAATATTCAATAGCTGTGCCCTCAGAAATGTTGTAATACATTGAATTGCTACTTCCCATACTGTCAAGACTATCACTACGAGATAACTTCATAGGATTATCTTAAAGAAATATTGTTCAAAGAAATATCAGTATGTACATAGCAAATAGGTATGTTCAAAATATTGAACATAAAACTTTTACCTTCTGTATATAAAATAGGAACTTTATCTATAGTAAGTGGTGATTTGCTCTTAATAGCAATCAATAAGGACTGCCTCGTCTATATACAAAGAAACAAAGGTAAAATCCAGTTGGTAATTGAATAAAAACAAATTTATCTGTTGAATGATTTAATGCCTTCATACAGCATGCTAAATTGCAATGATTCTTCAACAAACAAAAATATTTCTAAAATATCATCAAGGATTTCCAATATCTTCGCATATACATATGTGAGAGCATAGAATTAAGAAATAAAAGATGTTTACTGGGTTTGCATAAGCCAGTGCAAACATGAAAAACATCTTTTATTTCTTTTATAAAATAACAGTAATGCAAAAAAGACAAACATTTTAATTTTTCCTCTAAAATGTATTCATGATCGATTTGCAAATTCTTTTGACTGATTGATTGTTTAGATTGATTTGATTGGTTGAGCTCAGATGTGCTTTGCACTGGCTAATGCAAACTCAGCTCTAGACCAATCATTGCACGCATTTCATTGTGTTTATTTTATATTTACAAATGATACACCACAAACCTAGCAACAACACACTGTCCTGGAAAGAAATGACTTTTAAACACCAAAGCAAATGCCCCTTCCTAGGAAATGATCACAATTTATATGAAATACCACAGTCAATATTTGTATTCAATGTTTTTCACCCACCAATTGCTGAACAACAAGTTCAACCAGTTCACGAAAACCTATGGTTACTTCATCTTCTTTCTGCAAAACAAAAACACACATTCTACATGATCATAAAAGTATCAAATAATACAACAAATTAAAAAATCACATCGTCAACTTACTGATTTCTCAAACAGATATTTGGCAAGTTTAGGTATCACTTCTGTGTCTGTTTCAGACTCAAACTTATAACCTTTGCTTTGCTGTTTCATAAAAAACCAACAAAATAAATGATCATTATTTTTTGTGAAGGTGTATGGTGTGCAACAAAAAGAAGATTTTATATAAACTTACTAAGAAAGTTTTGATATCTTTAAAGTTTGTAATAATGCCATTATGGATGACAATGAACTCTAAATATAACCATTGTAGAAATGAAATATTGATTACCACAGCCACCATTAATCCCCCCACCCCCTCCCCCCAAGATAATTAGTCAATGATCAAAATAGCATTAGCAAAAAATACCATTTTCTTTGGAGGATCGATGAGGATGGCTGTTGACTTCATTGGGAACACCATGGGTTGCCCATCTGGTGTGAGCAATACCAAAATGAACATCAAACTTTTCATCAAAATTCAAATCTTGTAAAGCTACAAAAAAACATTTCATCATTTAAAGCTGATGAACACATCATGTGTTTCTAAAGGACAAATTCAAGAAACCTACAGCTAATTTCATCCTTTAATGCTTTCACTTTGCCACGTTTCTTTACCAGCCTAAAAAAATGGAATACAAATAATCTTGTCGGATATTCTTCAATGTCAAACACAATCTTCCTGACAACAAAGACAATATAAGATTTCTTTATGTGAAGACTATGTAATGATTTAATGTTAAAGGTGATTTTGTTCCAGGAAATTAAAAAATATACTGTTATCGGGTCTTCCTAGTAAGATGTTTGTACCAGCATTTCTGTAACATGATATTGTTGTTGTTAGAGTAATATCATTGACAATTTTGTAATCAACAAGATCATGTGTCATTCATGTGACTTCAAGAAAACAATAGCAGAAAAGGAGACAAAAAAATCTAAATATTTAATGACAAATATTTTAGCATGAGTTTAATATCCCAGCAACTGACACATGTTCTAAAACACAAGTTTCTATGATCTAAATATCAACACATATGTCCAAATCGTAAATGTTACCATTCACTTACTTTATTTGTTTCAATTCAGAACCATGCAAGCAAATATCACTGTCAATACCAACTCCTGTGAAGCAATAAACGTACATTTAATAAGTGTCATGTTGAATTTTTACATTAGCACCGTTTCATGCAATATTTATCTCACCAGTTGAATCATAGCCTCTATACTCCAGTCTTTCCAAACCTTTTATCAACGTGTCTAAGATGAATTTTCTATCACGAGGAACCAAGTAATTTAAATACGCAAAAATACCTGATAAAAATACCAATCAGTTAATTACACAAGAAGCAATAGCCTTTAATATAATCCTTGCATGAAGTAATAACACTGTAGATCAAATTGAAAGAAAAGGACAAATAAATACAAACAAAATTCATACCGCACATTTTGAAATTCTTGCGAATAAGCTTCTTATTTCCTCCACAACAGCTGAGACACAAAGACAACACTCAGTCGGTCACTCTCACTAAAAAAACATTTGAGTATATCACAATATGTGCCACGTTTACCTTCCATAAATGTTGTTTCAGCGAAATTAAATATGTATTATGTTTCTTATGTGATATTTGTGAAGAGCCCGAATTCCGGGAAGCACGTTTTCCTTCCGGGCTGAAGCGGGCAAACTTCCCAATTCTATTCAGCAACGGAAGAATCCGACTTAATCGTGTAGAGTTGTGCAACGGTTTTAAGTCGTGAATTTTTGTAAAAGAAAGCTTATGTTAAAACATGAATGGTGAGTACGACGCGATTATTTTAGGAACAGGTCTTAAAGAATGTATTTTAAGCGGTTTGCTTGCGTTGAAAGGAAAAAAAGTACTCCATATTGATCGTCATGAATACTATGGCGGTGAAAGTGCGTCTGTCAATTTAGCTAAACTCTATGAAATAGCGAGAAAAAGTGAGAATTTTCAACAAATTGGAAAATTAAGAGACTGGAACATTGATTTGGTGCCGAAATTTATACTTGCAAACGGTATTTTGGTGAAACTTCTCGCATATACGGGCGTTGCAAATTATGTGAATTTTAAACTAGTTGAAGGAAGTTACGTTTACAAAGGTGGGCAGCTTTACAAAGTTCCTTCGAATGAGAAGGAGGCGTTGGAATCAAATCTTATGGGATTCTTTCAAAAACGAAATTTTCGCACATTTCTTGAGTTTGTCTCAGCATTTGATTTTAATAATCCTGCTACTTGGGATGATGTGGTACCTTTTTCAACAACAATGTCAGATGTTTATAGTAAGTTTGGTCTCGATAAAAACACGATTGATTTTACTGGTCATGCTCTAGCATTGTATGTGGATGACAAATATGTTGATCAACCTTGTGGAGATACTTTAAAACGAATTAAACTCTATCGTGATTCCATTGCCAAATATGGGCGAAGTCCTTACATATATCCAGTGTATGGTCTGGGTGAATTACCACAAGGATTTTCTCGACTAGCAGCCCTTCATGGTGGTGTCTTCATGGTGAACAAACCTGTGGATGACATTCTCATAGAAAATGGTGTTGCTATTGGTATATGCTCTGATGGTGAAGTTGCAAAAGCCAAGTGTATTGTGGGTGATCCGTCATACTTTCCACAATATGTTACACAAGTCGGTAAAGTTGTTCGTTGTATTTGTGTGCTGTCACATCCCATAAAAGGAACTGATAACTTATTGTCTTGTCAAATTATTTTCCCACAAAATCAACTCAACAGGAAATCAGGTACTTTTATGATATATATTATTGCACACCCAAAGTTTTTTAACTACAAATTTTTACTACTTTTTCAACAACAATACCCTATACTTAAAGTTCTATTACATCATTTAGACATCTACATATGCTTCGTGTCAGACACGCATAAGGTTGCAGCTAAAGGAAAATACTTGGCTATGATCAGTACTAAAGTGGAGACCACATGCCCTGAAGATGAGCTTAAGCCCGCATTGAATCTTTTGGGAGAGATAGATGAAAAATTTGTATTTTTGTCTTATCAATTTGAGCCAAAGGAAGATGGTGCTGTTAGTAAGGTTTGATTGATCCAGCAACTATTTAAATGATTTTGTTTCTTGAAACATCCTATTCCTTTAAAGAAATTTTCAAGATTTCAGCAAAGTATGCTTTTATGTTTTTAGATATTTATATCCAAGTCCTATGATGCAACGACACATTTTGAAACCACATGCAATGACATCATTTCAATTTATGAAAGAATTACAGGGGAAACATTTGACTTGAATTCTGTGAAACGAGAATTAAATGATGATGAATGCTAAATTTGGAATTTTATATTTTATGTCTCTATATTATAAATTTTTGTGTTTATGTCTTACAAGAAAGCACTTTCAATATAAATCAGTTTCCCATTACATTATTCGCGTTATGTTGGGAAGTTCTTTCCAAAGTCAAATCTAAAGCTGAAATGAACCTTGCCAATGTCAGAGAAACTTGGCAACTTTGCCCCTCAAAAAAGTATGTATCGTATGTAATTTAAATTCAGAAGTAAAGTTTTATGGTCAAGAATTATATGGCAAGTTAAGACCCAAAATAAAGCTGTTTGCTTGTATCAAGAAAATTTAGCCATAGACCTAGAAACCATGTTCTCTAAACATATAATTTCGTGCACCCTAAATAAAGCGGCAAATGTAAGTTATTGCTATACGTCATAAATAAAATGAATCATTGTTCATCTTCGTTGAAGTGTCAAATTATATTTACGTACAAACAAACAAACAAACAACATTTGTATACCGGCCAGTATTAATCCCCGCCAGGGGGGTTGACCGGTCCAAAAATTCAAAAGATACAAAAATTTGCGACCGTTTCGTGCACGAGCCTGTGACACTGACATCATGTTCAAATCAAAAGACAGTAGACACAGCAGTCAGCAAGTTCATAGATAGTAACAAAGACAACAAACATTCCCCATTGGCGACATTGGGTAACAATGGCAAGTAAAGAGGTACTGTATACACTATTTAGAATGATGTTTTCAATATTGAATTCGTCTCACAATCAATGGTCATAGACGATTTTTTCTTCACCTTGTTATTAAATCAGTTCAAAGGAAAGCTTTGCAGAAGCTTAATGTGTCCCTCCATAAATTCAATTTAAATTGAAGGTGTAGGATAATTGAAACATTTAATGGTATTTTAGTACAAAGTAAATGGAGTAGTGTGCAATGAATCGCTCCTTATGATAAAGTTCATACGTACCACAGTTTAATCACAAGGCTAAATAGTTGGAATGTTATTAAACAAAAAGAATGATAGCACAGCGCTATAACCAACAACTACAAACAATAACGACCTTAACAAAAAAAACCTTTCAAAAAAAAAAAAAAAAAACCCCTAAAAATTAACCTAAAAAACCTTTCACCTTTTAACTCTGCTATACCGGTCACAAGCCCGGGACTTGTAGCGTATAAGGCTCTCTGCTTTTGAGTAGACTTGTCTGGTTTACAAGGAAGAGGAGTGGAAGGTTATCTCAAATGTTGTTAGATACGGTCGTTATTGTTTGTAGTTGTTGGTTATAGCGCTGTGCTATCATTCTTTTTGTTTACCACAGTTTACTTGTACAATATAAGTTGATTACGAACCTCGAGTATGGTATAGATGCAATGCATGAAAACGACGCGCACGAGATGTTTTTAATTATAGGTTAGATAGCGCTATGATAACTTACCTACAACGTGGAAAATTACAATTTTTACATGTATAAAAATTACCGTGTTATATTATTATGAGTTACTGTTTCTGATTAATTAATGATGATTTTGATATCTATGATCCATTATACTGCTTCCATATTTAATCTATAACTCAATAATAAAAATTTATGTTATTTTGTTTTCATTGTATAATTAAAAAAACAAAAAACGGACGATTGCCTAGCATGCACGACCTCAAGGACCAAATTTTAATAATTTTAATTTCTATTGTCGATTTATGCCATGATGATCACAGACATCTGACTGGTGAAAGATGATATACAAAAGTTGCAACACATTATGCATGAGTCAATTCCAAGAGTTACCATCCCCGGAATATGGCCGGGCATTTGATTTTTTTCGTTTTAATAGTTCAATTTCCCGCTGCCGGGGAAAGGCAAGAAGGCAAATACTCAGCCCCCGGGCAAGCTGCCAATGGCAAATGCCCCGCTCCGAGACCAAGTAATTTTAAATTACGAAAATTAGGAACACTTTTTAATACTTTATTAAGCAAGATATATGAGAGATCCTATAAAAAATAAATGTAGTAAAAGAAATTCGTTCCTGAGTTACTTTCCCTTGCTCCGCTTTTCTCTTGTTGCTTTTGCTTTTCCAGCACCTCTTTTCCTGTTCACAGAAATTTGCGTGAAGTATTGAAGCCACAATTTAACATCCTTGGTTGACAGCAAACATTTCTTGGCAAGCATGCTTATGTCAGTATCCTCTACACATCCACCACTGTGATTCTTATGAAAGTCTGCCAGTATTTCAGACGGCGGCGGGTTCCTTATAGCTTTGCCAACTGCATATAAATTTAGCAGCTCTGACACATCGGTGACATAATGCCCATAGCAAACTCCCGTGCATGTTTCGCAATCCTCCCCTCCCCAAGGTCTCTTTACATCAGCAACTGGGTAAGGAAAAAAAGTACACGATGGTCCGTCTGGATAACAGGAGATGGGAATCGGTACTTAATGTCGCGATTAATAGAAATCAATAGTCGCGACTCGCGTAAACAAATGGTATCAAATCCCGGGGTATTATTGCAGGAGTAAATACCCATCTCCCGAGCATCTCTTTTACGAGCAAGTTCCCGACCCCCGAGAAAGGTCTCCAGGGCAAATGCCCAGGGGTATCTCGGGGGGGGGGATGGTAACGCTTGGAATTGACTCATGCATTATACACATAGGTTATGACCTGCTTCTTTTTACTCAAATGCTGATGATGGATTTCAAAAAATTTTGCCTTTTGCACAGCTTTCATGCAATTTCTCCAAAATTTGTTTCTACATAGGTTTTTTGGTCACTACGTTAGACTGTCACACTGCCAACACATACTTTATCAACCGTCACTGCCAATGCCTTTTTTAACATTCGTTACACTGCCAATGCCTTCTTTAAACCCAGTTTCATGACTGTCTTTTAGACTGTACTTGAGCGTCTAAACGCTGGTAAACTTTTGATTGGAGATGGCGGATATATAACAGAAATGGAAAGACGAGGTTACGTAAAAGCAGGACTATGGACTCCGGAAGTAACAGTAGAACACCCTGAAACTGGTAATAACTATTACCACCACAATACACTTTCATCCCCTATTATCCATTCTTCAACATTCAATTTGAAAGTTTAATGGTGTCAAATTTTTTGTTCATTCTGTGAACTATGTAAGACCTCTTTTTCAGTTGAGTGCTTACATAAGGAATTTGCCCGTGCAGGATCTGACGTTCTTCAAGCTCTCACATTCAATGGCAACGATAAACTAAAAATGGTGTGTTTGACTCTAACTTACTTAGCAGTCATAAATTACTATTTTCCCAACCAGTTCGCAATGTGATGTATAGACTACAGCACAACTTGATGAAGTGAATGAGTCTGCCTGTAGGATCGTGAAGAAAGTAGCCACAGAATATGGATGTTTTTGGGCTGGTGGTGTTTCTTCAACAAAGATTTATGCTAATGGTGGCTCAAAAGAAGAAGTTCAACAATGCTTCAGAGCTCAGGCTGAAATATTTGAGCGACATGATGCCGATTTTCTTATAGTTGAAGTAAGTGGATTGTTTGGTTATATAACCTGTTGATAAGTGAAGATTGTCATGGAGTATTTATTTTCATGTCGTATCTTTAAGTACTTTCGCGTTTGTGAAGAAGCAGAATGGGCGGTTGAAACTTTGAAGAAAATAGGAAAACCTGTAATGGCCAGTCTATGTGTAGGACCTGATGGTGATCACAACGGTACATCAATAGAGGAATGCGCTGTACGCTTGATCAAAGCTGGTTTGTGGATAGAAGACATGTATAATTGTTCATGTTTGCATAGAAATCAAAGATTCTAAATGAATTTATTTCATTCAGGTGCAGATGTTATTGGCGTAAATTGTTTATTCGATCCACACGAGTCTTTAAAAGCAGTAGCTAAAATGAAAGAGAGTGTGGAAACTGCTGGACTCAAAACTCATTTCATGTATCAGCCTTTAGGATTTCATTGCCCAGATGCTCATAAAAAATTTGGTTACGTTCTACTTCCAGAATTTCCTTTTGGTAAGGAAAAAATATTTCATCATAAAATATTTCTTAAAACATTATAAAGTTTAAGTTGTAGCTACTCTCAACCAAACTAATCCGTATTTATTTTCCAACAAAGCTTTAGAACCCCGACAGCTGACCAGATGGGATGTTCATAAACTGGCTCGAAGTGCTTACAACATGGGAGTGAGATACATCGGTGGATGTTGTGGATTTAAGGCCTATCACATCCGGGCAATCTCAGAAGAAGTATAATAATGAACTACGTAGATATCTGGAGTGAAATTTTTCCATTTTTATTTTTTCTTCTTGTCAGTTTGAAATGGAGCGAGATAAGAGAGCCAGCAATAGTGAAAAACACGACCCATTTGCAAGAAAACTGTTTTCAACAGATGCAGGAAGGTGAGAAAGCCGATTTGGACGATGTATTATAAAAAAAGACTGCGAAAAGAATTTTTGTCATGGAAAGCCAGCCCTTTTTTATTTTCTACTGAAAATCTTCTACTGGCATTCTTGGTTTTACCTCATTCTTGACGCAACTCGTAAATAAAGTTTTTGTAAAAAATTTCAGAGTTCGCGATAAAGACTATTGGATGAGAATGAATCCAGCGTCAGGAAGACCATACTGTCCATCATATAGTATACCATTTCAAAATTAACGATATAATCTGTTGATTTATGAATTAGTTAAAGTTTGAAGAAAAAATGTGCTTTTGAAGATCCAAACATATTAACAGTCTAGTCTAGGCAAATTTAGTCATGCTATGTAAATGTCAGAAAATAACCGTTTAATTCATTTTACTACCGACCTTCAAAATGTTTAAAAAATGAGGCAAAATGAGACAACTAAAACTAGCATAGAGAAGAAATAAATACCTAGCGATATGGTTCTTCTACCTCTGAAGGTTTCACGCATAATTCACGTTTGATGTCGGTTAAACGCAAAAGGTGATGTATTACATGAAAAACGTAGTTCTGCTTCATAACCCCACAAAAACAGATGGGAAAACGGTCCAGTGACGTAAATACCTAAACATATGATTCATTTTATCAACATATGATTGATAAAAAAAGGTACTGAATTCGTATTTTTAAGACCGAATAAAAGCACTTTTCATGATTGGAATTCATTATCTCGTTTGGTTAAAAATTAGTCGGTAATAACGTAATAAAAATAATTAAAGAACTCATGTGATCAACATCGCGTAAAGTATATAATAAAGAACAAATTATAGTGACAGTTCCATTCTTTTAAAATTTGAGTGTGAGACAAATTTTATGACCGCAGTTGGCATCTCATTAGTTACGTCACAAGCGTAAATGAAGCAGATGGTAAAATTTTTGATAAAATTATTGCTACAATGGCAAACGAGGTTAGTGTGAGTATAGTAAATAAAGTTTGAACGAGGTTATGTTTTTTAGATTACATATTTCTTTTTATAAAACACGAGAAATTTACGTATGCGTATATATTGACAAGGAAACGTCACTTTAGCGTAAGATCTATTAAACTACTCTCATCTACGTATTGTAAAAATATGTCAAACATGAAAATTGATGTTGAAAATAATTGATGAATTGAGAATGAGGCTGCATAGCACTTTGTAATTACGTTGCTTTCATGGTTAAATTAAATACCTGAGTTTGAAATAGTAGCATTATTTTGACAAAGCTTTAATTAAATAACAGAATGTTTTCAAAAGTAAAAATCCTTCATAAAATCCCAGTGCACCATATGGGTAATCACATTCATAGAAACTAACAAATAAAAATTTGTCATGTACTCTTAATACCTGTTTAGGTAGAGCTTGTGCAGATTCGTTCCATTATGGATGAAACGTCAACAGAGGTCAAAGTTAACAATATGAATGGTAACAAAAGACCATGGCCTACAGATCTCATTATTTCCACAGCATCAGCTTTGTTATGTTTTCCTCCACTTGGGATTCTAAGTTTATTCAAAGCACATAAGGTAGACTAGATAAATTAACAAACATGATATGAATTTCTAAATAAAATAATACATGTACTGTTATACTTTATCATCAAGCATATGAGGACTTCCCAAAATGTAGAGCAATCCCTGCTGCATGAAAACAGACAGATTGCATTTATTTCCATTATAATGGGGATAATGTTTATCGCATCAATTACTGTTGTACTTTTGTTGCTTCTTCTACATTATCAACAAGAAGCTGATGCAATGAAGCTAACATGGAAAAGAAAGTACTATCATACGACTTTAAATCTTACCATTGGATTTCACAAAAACTGAATAGATTGTATGCTGTAAACTTAACATATCTTTATAGATAAAGATATTAAAGTCTGTAAAAATAAAATAGTTAAACAACCCACTGTCGTCATTTAGTAAGTAAACATCGATCAAACTATTCAAGTTATAAAGTCGTTATACATTAAATCAAAATACTTATACCTTATTCAAAACAGAAAACTCTCAAGAAGTATAAGAAATCACCAGTCACCACTGTCCACTTGACATCTACAGACACACAGCTCAATTTTTTTTTCAAAATTACCGCCATTACAAACATTTTGTATGGTGTTTTGTAAAAATTGTATTGTATTCGTAATAAGTGTATTAATTTCCTGCGAGGATCTCGCGTGGACACCACGCTACCAATACATTGCAAGACTTTCGCGAGTTGATAAACATGGCGGTGACGATGAGAGCAGTCGAGTTTTATAGTGGAATTGGAGGGATGCATTTAGCTTTAAAATGTGAGTTTTTACGAAAAGAATACAAGAAAATACATATTTTTTATAAATATATCATACATTTGGCATGTTAAAGAGTTGTCACTACCTTGACAACACGACTGAGGAGTATAGATCGTCAGATCCACAAACGTAAATTTTAATATACATGAAAATTGTCTTTCTTTACACTACAGCTTGTGGTTTTAACGTCCAGATTGTTGCAGCAATTGACATAAACACGATAGCTAACGACGTTTATCAACACAATTTCCCCGAAACACCGTTATTAAATCGAAATATTGAGGTGGGGAAAGGAGTTTTCACAATTTCCAAATCCAATTATCAGTAATAACATAACAAATATTTAGGGTATCAAATTGGAAGAGATGATGAAATTCAAAGCTGATATATTTACAATGTCTCCCCCATGCCAACCATTCACACGGTTTGTAATTATTACAAATATTGCAGGCATATGTCAATGACATTATGTGAAACATTTGACAACAAACATTTTCTCTTTTATTAAATTTGAAGACAGGGTAAACAAAATGCATCAAGTGATCCAAGAACAAAAAGTTTTTTACACATTCTGAGAATCATTAAGAAGTAAGAAAATGTTCAGGCATAGGTATGCAAGAATGTGTAATGGATAAAATGTAATTAAGAACATATTTCAATACATGTATTTGTCAGATTACCTCTTCCACCAACTTTTATTTTTTTGGAGAATGTTAAAGGCTTTGAAGTATCTGAAACCAGGTAAAAATGTTGATTTCTAATCACATAAGAAAAGTACAAATTAAGGCTTCTGCAAAAATTATTCTCTCACATACAGAGATGAACTGATCCAAACTTTAAAAGAAACCAATTACAGTTTCCAGGTTAAACTTTAACTTGCATTGGATAGTTTTATTTTTGCCATTAATAAATTTAACTAAAGCTATTTATTCTTGTGTCAATTCAAACAGGAATTCTTGCTCACTCCTTCTCAGGTGAAATTTGAATTATTTTTCTTATGAAATATCAGCAGAGTTTCCAAAAGGGGTTTTTACGAAATCATTTTCTTTTTAAAAGTCATACAAAAAGTACGAGGAGATCAAACTTCAAATCAGCTAATACATTGATCCTTTTTGTTTTATAGTTTGGTATTCCTAACTCTAGACTTCGGTATTTCATCTTTGCTGTACATGAGCCATTTAAACTGCCATTCAAGTTGAATAAATCAGTGAGTGATTCCTTTCATGAAATTAATACATCACAATACAACTGTTTTCTTTAAGTTTTCTAAAGGAATTGAAAGATCTTTTGTAGTGTGCATTGTCTGTAATCTAACAGGAAAATAAGATGTTTACTTTGCTTTAGATAATGAAAAATCTTCCAAGGTTTGAGGATTTGGCTAACAACGAAGTGACAAGTAAAAATCCGCGTGCAAATTGTCGGTTGTGTAATAAACAATGCCTAGGATCTTTATCATCAAAGGTTGTTTTAAAGAAATTGGATGAAAGAAATCATGAAGGGAATATTGTAGAAAGAGAAATTTCTGACCACAGTATAAACAGTGACATTGGATGTACAGGGACTGATAAAAATAATGATGAAACAAAAACTAGGAAAGACATAACAGAAACAAAGAGTTGTAATGATTATGAAATTAAGATCATAGAAGATTATCTGGAAGATGAAAAAATAAACCATCATGATTTCTTATTACCACAAAAAGTTTTAATGAAGAAAGTTCTTTTAATGGGTAGGAGAAGATTTGATGACCAAGATGAGTAAAGCATAAATACATAATTTCGAATATTTTCTTTTTCATAGATATTGTACAGAAACATTGTAATCATTCATGTTGTTTTACAAAAGGGTACGTCTTCTGACAAGACCATGTCATGTTTTAGATGTGGAGTTTTTTTTTGGTATATTGGGATTAGTAAGAAATCCCTTTGAATGCTCAAATTTCTCATACTCTCTTTAACAAATAACCAACCATGTATTATTTTCATACAGTTATGGTCATTATGTTGAAGGAACTGGTTCTGTTCTTCAAATGACAACTATGGATGTGAGTTTATACTTATGGTATATGTGGTGATTCAAAGACACACTGATGTATTCATTTAACATATTTCTACTTTCTGAATAATAAACAGTCAAGCAAGTTATTCTTGGAATACAAGCAGAAAACGGAAAAAGATAGAGTTGATATTTTAGCTCCTCTTGGTCTTCGCTACTTTACACCCAGAGAAATTGCAAATATTTTATGCTTTTCATCAAAATTTGGTAACTAACATCCACTAACAAAGATTTTAATTTCATTTTTTCTGTTGTTGAAAATCATTTTTTGTCATTGTTGTAGAATTTCCTTCTCATATAACACGAAAGCAAAGATATCGCCTGCTTGGTAACAGTGTTAATGTTTTAGTTGTTAGAGAACTCATGAAACTGTTGTTTTCATCACAACATGACTAGCATTAATTATTTACGAAATTAAAGATTTCCAAGTTCAAATAAAAATGTTAACATTTGACATACATGTTTAGTTCTTTCCTTCTCATCCTCATAATAAATTGAATTTTTTTCTTTTCATTTACGCAATGCATACCTACAATGATGATAAGGAAAATGTTCTTCATTAACTAAAAAATAACTTCTGAAAACATCTGTTTTCAATTAAAAAAAAAGTTTATGAAATTTACACCTATACTAACATTAATAAAAATCATGCATTAAATTAAAATGTAGAAAACAATAAAAACATACATTTTTACTTTCAAAAGTCCAGCAGGAAAGCCTGTTTGAATAGATTGTTTCACTACAGTAAGACCAGCTTTTGTGATAAGTTTCTTCAACCTTTTATCTGTCCTTTTAAGAAGTAAATCCTTGTAAAAACACTTTAGTAAAAACACAACAAACACTTTTGTTTACATTGGAATACTATTGAATACCTTGTCAATACTACTGTATACCTTGACAATACTACTGTATACCTTGTCAATACTACTGTATACCTTGTCAATACTACTGTATACCTTGTCAATACTACTGTATACCTTGTAATACTACTGTATACCTTGTAATACTACTGTCTTCTTTATCGGTCAGTGAACGCTTCAACAAAATGTTCTCTTTCAGGCAAATAAGACCATTTGGCAACAAAGCATTTTGACATTTTAATAAAAATTCCACCAAATCATCTAAGCAACAAAACCATCATGAAAATTTGAAATAATCTTTCTTTTACTTTGACATTGATATAACTAGAGAAACATCAAAAAATCAAAAAGTATCATTTTCTATTTTTACCATCAGTTAAATAAAGCAACACCCATTGTATCCATATCAAGTTATAGCGTTGACTTGGTGGAACAAACTCCTGAAATTGAAATGGAACTTAAATGATGACACAAACAGTAAACAACATTTTTCAACAAGTAGATAACAACTGTTTGAACAATAATTTACTGTACAAAGCACACCTGTAATCCACAACAAAATCTTTCTCCTATTCTGCTGGAATTTTCTTCACCCTGCACAAAAAATTACCATCACAAATATACATGTTTTGGGTAGTTTCTTAATTTTAGCCTTGCAAGGTCTTTAGATTCTTATTTTTTTCACAAAGTTTTTTTTGTTGGACATAGAGTTGCTTCTTTTGAAGTGAAATTATCAAGACTATTCATAAAAATTTAATTTTAACATAACTAAGAAAGTTTTAATATATAATCCATTGAATGCCCTTTATCAAACATGGACGGTAAATTGCAAATTGTTACTCAGTTAAACTAAAAGCTGGTAGGCTGGTTATACTACAAAAAGGGAACTCACCAAAAATACATTTGACTTCTCAACAAAACTTTTATCTTGTTCTACCATATCAACTTTCTTAAACAATGGCAAAAGAAGATGTTTTGTCACCCGACCAATGCCAGCACCACAATCTGAAAGATGACATGAAAGATAGCAATCATGGATTATTGTTCTAAATGAATGCACCATTTATAGAGAGAATATTTGAATTACCTAATGCATAGTTGTCTTTTAAAAATCCATTGTTTTCCTACCAAAAATTGACAATAACACAATATAACACCATGATTATGCTTTGGACCATTTAACACCTTTAGAGACTTGAACTACATCATCATGAAGCACCTCAAAAAATTCCTTTAAGAACTCTGTTGATCCCTTTATATCGACAGGACTGATGTAAGCGTGTCCTCCAAGCATGCCATCAACTGTTGGGGAAACATTCTTTAAAAGAAAAGCATTACGAATTAAATTAATGCAGTTAACAATTGTAATTATAACAGCAGAGGTTGAAATCAATCAATCTTATTCGAAAACCAGTAATCAGCAGTTATATGCAGTAACTATAAAATAAGCAGTATGTTATAAAGTATAAACTTTGGATATTATACAATCCTTACTTTCCAAAATTCCTGTGCGTCTCCGTACCATTTTTCACGATTATCCATACAACCTCTGTTTTCCATTGTTACTTTCAATGTCTATCTTTTTTTCTCCGATTTGCATCAGTTCATTAACAAAACAACTCTGAACCTGTCTTCTAAATATATAAATGTCCCGCCATATTACTATTACGTAAAATCGTTCACCCCTTCTTTCCATCCGTCGTTACGACAGATGATAACAACATCGGAAATAACCGTCAGTAATACTAGTATGGTCCATGTATGGCGATTCCATTTTATTTACAAAAACTGCATTCTAAATATTATATACTTATTTTTACAAGTGAAAATATCTTTCAAATGTCAAAACTCAAATGAAAAACACGTGTTCCAGATTTTTTAGGGCCGTTTAGAGAAATTAGGGGACCTGCAACACAATCAAATTTTGAACACTTTGTTCGTGAACTATAGACACATTTTCCCTTTCTACTTCCTTTGGGTCTTTTTTAAAAATTTTCCCACTTCTACACCAGGACGATCCTGTAGATTCTCATGTTTCTATAAAATACCAGTCATGTGACACAAAAAAACTAGATCTTGGAAAATCTTTCCACGTATGTGGAAGGAAAAATTCCTTCACCATCAACCGCTCGTCCAACCATCCAACCGTTGCCTTCATCCTCTATAAGCACGAGTATCTGAAAAATAAAAACATTTTTATGAACGATCAAAATCATCTTAAAGTTTAGGAGCAACAAAAACAATTAAATCAATCACCTGTCCTTCTGAAATAGATAGTTCATCTTCTTCCTCACCATCAAAATCGTACAGGCATTTTAGAATAACTTCTTTTTCTCGGACTTTCTACAACAATATTAATAAGTAAGCAATCTTACATGTTCTATGCACCACAATATAATATATACATAAATTAAAGGCGTGTATACCAACCATAGCATATGATGCTGGAAAAAATCCAACACTTCCTTTGTATGAACCCTTAAAGATTTATTAAATAATGTTTGTCAGTCTCGGTTAGCAAAGAACGTTTTTCGATATTATATATAAAGACAAAAAACATATTCACCTCCCACCAATCTGACGATGAGCTGTTGATTAAAGTCATCCTTTGTCCAGCTCTACAATTAAAACACATAAAATCATGTTAATTACGTCTATTTCAAATAACTTACTGCATCCATTACGTTGTAAAAGATACGATTTAAAAATAGTGAGTTTTAAGTACTTGAAAGCTAACAACAACTATATCCAACAAACAATTTTACTTCTACAAAAATACAAGCTGCATAAGTTTGTTTTCTCTGAAAATGAACAAAACAATTCTTACTTTACAGTGAGATCTCCTTCTGATGTCGCGTCATAGTCATATAAGATCACACATTGTTGAGGTTTCTTCTTTAACGGCGGCTTTGCAGGAATCTGGAAAAAACATTGATAAATAACTGTTTGTGAAACATTAGTTAATAAAATATTTATGAAAATAATAACCGTGATATCAGTCTATATAATTGCTGAAAATTAAAGATTAGTAATTTTGAAATTGAAATTCGTAATTGAAAATTTGGAAGCTTCGGTTCTTTTTTACAACCATTTGACATGCAAAACAAAATCATTATCTCTAAACGTCAACATGAGAAATTCCCCATTTTTAATTTTAGGTCTAAAAACTGGCAATCTTTAAAACATCATACCACAGGTGGTGATGGAACAATATTAGCCGATGAACCTGCAAGTTCAAATAAATATTTATTATATAAAGAATTTTTGTTGTAAAAATTATTGATACTTTCTAGAAATCACTGTTTACCATAACTTCCGTTAACGAATATAGATCTTTCCTCAGCAATTTTACCACTGTGACGTCGTTTTGGCTTCACTGTTACATGTGCTGTGCCAATGTCTGAGTATAAATGATTGTCTTCATCGTTTTCTTCTTCATACACCGAAGTTCTTGAGTCGATTGATTTTGATCTTAGCGCAAGGAATTTCGAAAGTGGACGCTAAAATTAAAATAACAAGAAAAATAAAAAACTTTTCTGCAGATAAATAAGAGATTTTTCTCACTGGAAATAACAGGAAAAAGTTTCAGCAAGAAAAAAATTCTAAATCAATGGAATGATTTACCTGTTGGGGAGCACCTGTACAATAAGGCATGTTAATTTCACATTTTTGATGAACGATTAATTTACAAATTTTACAGCGTACAGTAGGTTTTCCAATACCTAGAATTCAATAAAACAAAAATATGATCATTGACTTTCTTTTTTCAAAGCAAGAATCTGGTCAAATTCAAATAATATATATATTTTACCAAAAAGAACTCCTTTGCAATAAGCACATAAACCAGGTTTTTTCACAGCATAAGGAACAAATTGATGTGCTGCTTTTTCATTCTCTCTTTCAACAACAGAGTAGGCATTTGTTTCGTTTTCCTCGCTATCGATAGCGCTTTCCATGGGACCCATCTCTTGAACCATATCATTTGAAAATAACTTCAGCTAAAAAATAGTTTTGCCATCACCACATGAACTAGAGTTAAAACATGTTAAAAGGATTACCTGTGCAGTAAGAACAGCTAGTTGCAATCGTTTCTGTTTTAGTTCAAAATCATTTTTTAAAACATCTTCGTGCATTCCATCCGGATTACCATAAGATGGATTATCAATATAACTAAAAAAATAACAGAAACATTATGAGATATCAGAACTTGAAGTTTCCATTAAAGTTTTACACGACCACCATACAATCATAAAGCAAAACACACGGCTAGGAAAGAAGAGTAAGTAAGTAAGTACGATAAAGAAAAAAAAGACGAAAAGAAGATAAGATGATGAAATAGAAAAAATGTAAAGAAAAATATGTTAAAGTTTATGTTAAAGTTTTGGAAAAACTGAACAGTTGTAGTGTCTTAAATCGTTACAAAATGTAAAATAAACGGATACTACTTGTACAAATGTGGATACTACTTGTAGAAATGTGGATATTACTTGTACAAATGTGGATATTACTTGTACAAATGTGGATATTACTTGTACAAATGTGGATATTACTTGTACAAATGTGGATATTACTTGTACAAATGTGGATACTACTTGTACAAATGTGGATATTACTTGAACAAATGTGGATATTACTTGTACAAATGTGGATATTACTAGTACAAATGTGGATATTACTTGTACAAATGTGGATACTACCTGTACAAATGTGGATACTACTTGTACAAATGTGGAGTAGATGAAAAGATGGTTTTGTGATAGCCAACAGTGAACAAATTTAACAAATAAAGCTGACTATTAAACAAAATCCACAGAGTTTAAATCACCTGTTCTTTAATTGCATGAGAGATTTCAAAGCTGTTTGGTCTTTGTCAACCAGATTGACAACATCTGAAAGCTTAAAAAGAAATGACGACAAATCATCATGACATTTTAATGTCTTAGTATATTTTCATTGTAAACTTCACATTGTTTATCTTATAAGTTTACCTTTTCACTCATTAAATAATATTTTCGTTTCAAAGCAGGTTCTGTCAACGGATTTAGTAAAATTTTTACACCAAGTGGATCCTAAGAGAAAAAATATAAACATACAGTTATCAATACAAAGCATTTGCAAGTGACTATGTTACTTCTTCACTGCTTGAATGCAGTCAGTAAATATGTTAATGAAATAGAAAACAAACCGTCGTCTGTGTGTCATCAGGGCTGTCATGTGATCGAAAAGGAACTTTTGATGAGCAGGAATCAAGTGTTTGAACATAATTTGAAATGTCATTATGTGCATTGATGGAGGAGAACATAGCTTTAATTACTTGCATATTTTCTAGACGATTTTTTAACTAAAGATTAAATGATAAAAAATGATTTATGCAAAACATTATACAAACTATAGTAAAAACAATTATACATGTTTCATGTTAAATGTCAGTTAATTCCTCAAACTAAAACAAAAATAAAAATTGGAAATTAATAAATATATTGAGCTTACTTTTTCTTGTTGTATATCATTGAACTTCAGCATTAGAGAAGAATATGAAACACCAATGTCATTTAAGGTGTCTTGACAATCCTGAAATACAAAAAAATGCTGTGTGTTAAAATAAACCATGAATAATAAAGTTATTAAAACCAAAATATAACAACTAAACCTTAAGAAGTTCAGGTATGAGTATCTCATACAAAACTTCATTTGATTTATTAAATCCTGAAAGTTGCCACACATAATCATTGTGACAATTAAAGCAGATGGTTGACACATGTTGCTCCTGTCAAAAAAATAAATTTTCTCCCTTTTGACTCAATTTTCAAAATTGATTTCATATAAAGTTTCATTTCAATTACCTTTTGTGGATCTTTAGAATAAAGTTTGTACTTGCTCCATGATTCTGTATAATCTTTTAAGCACTAAAAAATACTTCATATTGATATTGACGAGTTATAAAATCACTCTCTTCATTGCACAATTCCATCTTTCTTTCTTCATTTCAAGATTATATATCCCCCTCATTGCATATTTACATACCTTACATTAGTATAAGATTAAATTACCCCGACAAGAAAAAGTAAAATAACTTAAATATCCAACCACATTACCTTATTTAGTGAGTCTTCTTTCTTATCAAGTTGAATTTCAAGATTTTCTCTATATGTAAATATCTGTAACAAGGAATTTGGATGTGAAACTAACAATTAAAAACTAAAGAACAACTAACCATTAAAAATTACCTTTTTCAATAGATTTTTTTTCTTGGATGCTCGATCAAACAATGGAACACTGATACTACTCACAAGTTTCTGGGAAATTTCTAATAATTCCTATAAAAATAATAAAATATCTCATCAAAATAGCAATTTATCAAATATTCACAATGTTCAAATGAAATGACAAACCTTAGCCTCAGCCTCTGTGTCTTTTAGCAAAGAATCCCAAGTGTTGGATATACCACAGAAGATACCTTGACTGAAAAACATATTTCAACATCATTTATCGCTTTTCTTTACAACATAAACACCAAAATTTTTAACTTCAAAAGAAATTATTCAACATGGAAGAGGAAAAAGGGTGGGGAAGAGGAGAGGAAGGTGATGATGTAGGGGGGATGTTTGATGGTGAATGGGAGAAAGTGTGGTGGGGAAGGTGGATGGTGGAGGGTGGAGAAAGGTGGGGAAGGGGGGAGGGAATGGAGGGGGAAAGTGTGGGGGAAGGGGGTGATGGTGGAGGGGAGAAAGGTTGGAAGAATGGATGGAGGGGAAAGTGGATAGAAATGAAAGTATGATAACAAACAGGGTGTTTGATAAATAAAAACAAAAAAATCTATAATAAACAATTCTATATTTCAGCACCTTTCTTTCTAAATGTCTCAACTGTTTGAAGTATTTGTGTGGCTGTGTGTTCTTTAATCAAACATATTTTATTGATGAATTCGGCAACTGTAAATGTTAAAACATTTTGTTCATTTATTGGGTCAATTGCTAGACGAATTTGAGCTAATTTATCGTAAATCTTAAGCAAATAAAGTGTTTTATCGTCCTTCTCATCATCGAATTTCACAATTCTCATCATTATTCATTATGGTGAAATACGATGAATGAAATACATAGTACAATATCATACAATTCTTACATGCCATGGTGCGAACCTTGACAATATAGAAAATTCTCTGGTTTTTTCTACGTAAAAACTCCATATAATTGATTGAAGCATTATTATATTTGAAGTTATTAAGAGTAGGACAAATTCTTTTCACAATGCTATCATTTAAAACGAAACTAGTTCACTGTTAATACACGAAGGATAAAAAATAAAAAATACGAAAAAGTTACCGATCTTTATTTGTTTTATAGTTGTAAAAGTACTGCTCTTTAACGTCTCGTTCAGTGATCGATGTGAAACTACACTAAGACATGAATTCCCTTCGTTCATTTTTCGTACAAATTTTTTTCGTTTCGCGATGTTATTTGTTGTGAACTTTAAAGTGTTGAAATATTCTCACATGAAAACATTCACGAATTCATATCCCGTGACGCTCCGTATAAGAGATAAATGCCCAAATATGGGAGGCAATAAAAATTTTCAAAAAGATCTTATTGGAATGCTATGACTTTTGAGATTATGAACAAACAAATGCAATATTAAAAAATTATCGTCTATTGCATAAAAATGACTTAAAAAATATTTATAATAGGATGTTTGACTTGTACCTCGAAGAAGTTTATTATACGGAATCTTCCGACTGATACGAATTACTTATTTCGAAAGATGGTAAATCGTAAGTTGAAAACTTGCCAAAAATGGCAAATACAACGTGAGGGAATAAATCTGAAAAAGAAATATTTTGTTGAACTATATGACTATAGCAACATCGTAATTTATCGACCTCCTATCTGCAATATTATTAATGCAATTAATATTTGTGAATATATTTTTTCACGCAATTTCTACAATCTTTCATAAGAGAAATAAAACAAAAACAAATCAATAAATGGTCGAAGAAAATTCTAACTTCAAAACAAATGAAGTGGAACTTGGCAATGTGAAAGCACCTTATCATGAGCTGGAAAAATCAAGAAACATCACTTTACTGGATTACAGGGAAATTCCATTTTATCTCCGTGGAAACCCCTATATAACTACCGGATATAGGTCGTTTTTATCTTATGGAAAATGTCTTAGAAGGTGCTTTGCGGATTAAAAATTAACTATTAATGCTCAGAAATATCCGTTGTCATACTTACAAAGTACGCACATTTCCTTTATGTTTAGTTTGTTGCAGTTGAATAACGAGACAATAAATATTTGGACCCACCTGATTGGATTTTTGATATTTTTTATTCTTTTTCTTTACACCAATGCTGTGGTTATCCCTCAAGCTGAAGGAAACCATGCTGATCACATGGTGTTCTCATGCTTCTTGCTTTTCTATCAGGTTTGCAGCATATAGTCTGTTGGTGTAATACAAATTATTATGTGGTGATATTTTTTTGCAAAATAAGATGTAAATTAGTTTTATGGAACATTAATCAAATGTGTTTATTTTTTAGTTGTGTATGCTTTCTTCTGTTGGTTATCATATGTTCAATTGCCACTCAGAGAAAATCTATAACATTTCTATAAGATTAGATTATGCCGGAATCTCATTGGCTCTTTGTGGATGTTATCTACCCAGTTTATACTATGCTTTCTATTGTGAAACTGTAAGATTGATTCAAATACATAGAAAAAAAAACCTCTTCTAAACTCTCTTTAAATCTTTCATAGAATTTACAATTGTTGTACCTGTTTGCCATCATTATCATGTCAACAATGTCCTTACTCATCCAACTTCATCCTAAGCATATGTCAAGCCTTTGGAAAAGAAAAAGGATTATGATCTTTTCCGCTCTAGGAATATTTGGTGTGATACCATCAACACACTGGTTGTGGCTAAATGGAGGCTTTACACAGGAAATTGTTCAGGTATGAAAGTAGTTCAATGGCATCCAAGTCTAGGTATCATAAAATGGTATGTATGGTATGATGCAGTCAGTTTTTTATTCTCTTTGTCCAATAAAAACATAGTTAAATGGTATACCTGCCATTGTGTGGTATATTGTAATGATATGTGAGAAGGCATGGTTGTGTATTGTATGGTTGTATAGTATTGTGTAATGGTGGGACAACTTTTTAATTTTTTTAAATTTTTTGACAGATTTTTCTTCCAAAAGTGATGATTATGTATTTTCTTGGGGTAGTGGCATTTGGATTCTATGTCTCTAAGTTCCCAGAATCAATATTTCCTGGTATAGATTCTTATTTTTTTAGCATATAAAATCATAAAAATAGAAAACAAAATATTAACAAAAAATTTGTTCTTTAGGACATGTTAATTACATTGGTGCAAGCCATCAATTCTGGCATGTTTTCATTGTCATTGCATTTTGTTGGTGGTACAAAGCTAGTGTCAATCTTTTTCTCTTTCGCCAAGAACACAATTGTAGCATACAAAATAATTTTCCAGACATAATGGTAAATTAAAAATCTGATTTGAACACTGAGGAATATATAAAGTAAATAAAGAAGAGACAAAGTTGGACTTTGGTAAAATGCTTGTCAATTAAGGAAAAACATGAAACTAAAATTTTTTTCCATGGTAATTATGATACTGAATATCTGTGCAACCTCCTAGTTTCAAATATTTTTTTAAATTGTGTTTGTTTTTATTGTGTCTGTACAAGTATGATGTAAATTGTCCTTCTCTGTAAGGTTAATTGTTGCATATCAATGATAATTGTGGAGAAATTTCTGGCTTTTTCAAATTCCTCCAATGCTACCAGATGCTGTAAGTTCCAGGTTTAAATCAAAAAGATTCAAAAACTTTCACTATCTTTTGCCACATCTTCAAAAATCTTCAAAGTAAAAAGAAAATAAGTTTCACCGAAAAGGTTACAAACATTCATCATACAATTATTTAACATTATTTTATATTTACATCAACAGTTATGGAGTGTTCTGCAAATTCTAGACCCTGATAAAGACAAAATTGTCCTTCCTTCATTCCAGTCATCTTTGACTGTACTTTAGTTATAGTAATTTTTTCTGGAGATTGTTGCAAAAAACTCACTCAAAAATCGCGTCATTTTATCTACCAATCGGTCATGGCAGACAAGGAAAGCACGTTATTTTCACTTATATACCTCCATCAAATTCTTAGGTCCAATTTGGCTCTTTAAGATGGGATCAATTCCACTAATATACTTTGCTGATTCAGATGGTGGAGTACAGTTCATTCGGGGACTGCTGTTAGCTATTGGTGGAGTTATGCTGAAATTGAAAATTAAAAATACTAGACAAAAAAAATGTCTGAATATTAGCTTACTATTGGCATCAAAGATGAAGTAAATGTTGATAAAGTAAATGGTTTGAACATTTAATAACATTTCACTTCATTTCATTTCATTCACATTTACAAACATGTAAATGTTGATATTGAAGAATAGATAAATAAAGTCGCTGAAGATAAGACGAGCTCACATGAAAACGATTATTATGTAAGTAAATCAACGATTCTCTAATCGTGGGTGAAAGTTTGCGCTATGTACAACTAACATAATACAACGAACTCAAACGCCATACCACAGTATCTTGTTACTTGATAGCGTTTATCATTATTTCCCTTCTGTACGTACCTTCCACTCGCGTCACGCCATGGTGAGTGCTTCGATAGACATGTATGAAATGGTGATGTTCTTCTGGGCGAGTCTTCATCGCTAGAAAATTTATGAATCACAAACTAATGTTGCATATCTTATAAAAACCGGAGAAATGTAGCAAGCATTCACCTTAATAAGTATGATCTTGAAATATTCCTGGGAGAAAAACTATTCTTTAATGAGAGTTTTTCATCAATAGAAGTCGAAAATGAGGTCATACCAAAAACACTATCTTTAAGGATAAAAAGATAGCAGAGATAATTAGATAGTTGCAATAAAACTTTAAAAAAAAAAATCTGACGCTCATCTAGAACAACACCAAATCTCCCACAAATACGTGATCTACAATAATATACAATGTACTTTATAATAATGAACAAAGAATGTACGTCATACCTTCCGAATAGTGACTGTAGTCAAACATGTTTTCCTGAAGCAATTCGGTCGTGCTAGAGACTCGAAAGTTGTTACAATCTAGGAAACACATTAAAAATCAAATCATTTTCGAGTCATAATTTTCCATTTATATACATAACATTGCTAAAGAATGTGGACTTGTAATCAGACAAAATTTACCGCATAAAATATGAAAAGGTTTCACCACGAAAGTATACCAGATCCAAAACAGGAGGAACGTGAAAGGAGAAAGAATAATTTTGAATTTTGCACTCTATCAAAGAGAAAATGAACAAAGTAGTAAATCTTGTGTAAATTGATTTTGCTTGCCCTACCCTACATACATGTATGAAGACGTTCATGCAATTATTAAAGCTAGAAACTGTGAATTATCACATTAACTTCTAACAAGTTTAAGCGTAACTTTGAAATCCCAAAACAAACACTTGAATCAAATGAAATAAAAAAATTGCAAAAAACATACGTTATTTTAACTATAATCAAACCGTTGTTATACTTAAATCAATGCTTCGACAACCCTACCGCTGCATTAAGTAACTTTAATCTTTTCCTTCGTGCGTTCGCCTGAGAGAAAAATCGGGGTGAAAACTAAAATATTTGGGTTTTTTGGGAATAGGAGGGAAAAGCTCTATCATCGATGTTAATTACAAGTAAAAAAAAAAGATTTTTTTAATATTCTCAGCTCAACGTCACAGTACCTTAATCACGACAGGTTCCTTTAGAATATCGTCAACTGTTGGTCTACATTGAAAAAACAGAACTAACATGCATGATAGATTTTCTTAAATCTTTCATTTACGTAGATTCAATGATTCAATCTTTCATTTATATAGATTGAATGACATTTTTCCTGATTGGTCACTACGCCACTACCTAATTAGTCTTCTTTCTACGTACTGACCTGTTTCCAGGCAAAGGGTCCATCATTCTGCAAATAAGACAGGATAATTCTGCCGATACGCCTATACAAAAAGGTGATTTATGAACAAAAACATAACTATATATAAATGTGCTTTCTCATTCCTCTACCTTGAAGAAAGGACATTGGAATCCGTTTTTCACGAAGGTGATGCCACGCATCACCACCACGTGGTAGATCAAGATCACATGCTACTTCAAGTAAGCTTATACCAAGGCTAAAGATGTCAGCTGCCTTGGAGAATTGTCCTTCAAGCAGTTCTGGTGCCAAATACATAGGATCACCTTCTTGACCCTCGCTGAAATGATGCTACCAACAAAAGATCAAAAGAAATTTCTACACAGTGTTAAACAGAGTGTTTTGAAAAAGTGGATTTTCAATGGATTCACTAAATCATGCAAGAAAAGAATTTGTTTTGAAGGCTCAATTATGGGTTTGAAATAGAATCACAATGAAGTAGAGACAAAATGTTAAAAAAAACAAGATAAATGCTAAGGGTTTCACCACTCAATCTTCTCATTCTTGAAAAATATACAACAATGGGTTTTGAATTACATTATATAAGTCAAGAACAAGCCCAAAGTCCGCAATTTTATACAGGCTGTCCAAACCAATCAATACATTTGATGGTTTTATATCCATGTGAACCATATTGTTGTCATGGAGATGCTTCAGACCCTAAATATGTGAAAACAATAAAAAAATCCCAGATCACATGTATCAGTGGAAAATTAAAAAAGTGAAAAAAAATGAAAACGGTTAGGTAACCTGTGTTAGATCAACAAGAATATCCCAAACAAATCTCTCTTCAATTTTTGTGTGTTTGTCACAAAAATCTGTCAAACTACAAAATTGAACACTTGATTACATTATAAGAAATAAAATACACAAAAGGACAGAGTGTTACCTCATATCACAAAGTTCTGTTTGAATATACAATTGACCTCTGTATTTTTATTAAAATAGTATTATTGAATGATCTTGACTAAAACAAACAAAAAATGGTTCACAGAGATAAGAGAAGATAAAACATACCTTTCTTCCCAAGCTTTGATTAATTTCACACAGTTTGGGTGCTGCCGTAATTTTTCATGCTTTTTCACTTCATCAAGTCTCTGCTGTCTAAAGACAATGACTTTGTTTGAAAAAACATTAATTGACATTTTACATTTAGACATAAAGGAAAGTTAAGAAAAGAAAATAGATAAGGTGAATTGATGAGCAAAAAGCTTAAACTTAATGCCAACACAGACACATATATAGACAAAACGTTTATTCATTGAAATGTAATCCAAAGAGTTATATTACTTTAAACTACAGGGGAGAAGAAATTTCATTTAAGAAATAAAGAAAGGAACCATGATTGTTTACATGTATAATCACCTGTCGTACTCTCCTCTAAATCGTACTCTGGATTTCTTGACAGCATACAGACATCCATCTTCCTTGCTTTCAACTTTAAATACCTAAATACATAGAAGTGTTCTCAAAAGAACAAAAAAACCATTGACAAGTACTTCAATGTGATTATACCTCACCAAACGAGCCTTGACCCAGTTTGCCAATAATTTTAAAGCACTAGACGAAAATGATTCAGAAAGAAGAAAAATGCTTGGTCTTTCTAAGTTTAGTGAACAAGTTTACTTGTCATACCTGTTCGAAGTATGGAACATGAGACATTGAGTTGTAACACAGATTATCCAATACTAAAAGGCAGTAAAGGATGTTTAAAAAATGTTAGCAATCTAAGTAAAACGATACAAATATTTAACGATAACTGTTAAAAAAAATGTTTTCAAAGGATACCATCTTGTTTTGAACCAAAACTAACGCGTTGCGGTCCGTCAGAATAACGTCGAGTATGCCTAAAAATGCGGCTAACAGGAGGAGCAGATTTAACAGGTGGTCTTGGTGGTTGATGAAAGTCGTCCAAGCGGCTTCGAGTTCTAGCACTTTTATGACTAAAAATACCCTCGTTTCCGAATACAGGCGTCGGCATGGGACTTTGTAATCTTGGCTTCATCGTTCCTGATCCTTTCCTCAATCTATGCGGCGATATATTCATAGTATTATTTGAAAATGCTCTCAAAAACTTCGATATTTTATGTTTATTTTTCAACCAAAGTAATGCATTGTCATCGAACTTCCCGCCAGACCTCGTTTTGGTGAGATAAATTACCTCGGAAAAAAGTCCCTTCGAGTTATTATGACTATACGAATTTAAGTCCAGGATAATATTTAAGTGCAGACAATAAAAATAGGTTCGCTGCGCGTACATGTGGTAATCGGTAGTCAGAAGTAGTTACATGTAGTTTTGTAGATATGTGGTCAAACTTTTTTTTTGATAAAAACTTTCAACTTAATAGAGAAGGTTCATATTTTAATATACAGAAACCACAAGTTGTGTCTATTCTATCAACACTATTTTATCAATAGTTTACCTATCACACACATATTATGAGAAATGTATAATTTTCTACATTGCTCTGTTGTCCAAAATATAAAAAATGCACAAACAGGCAAAATACAATGAGCACATAATAGTTAACTGAAGAAAAAAATACAATCTTGCATATATATCCACATATATTTTTTCTTACCACAACTTGAATCCAATCCTTCAAATCTAAATCCTACTTATATTCCCAGTTCTAAGAACTCTATTGTATATGTTTATTTCTTTAATTATTGGGTTGTCTGTGATACCATTTGTTGAATAGCCAATAATCACTTCTGGTTCTAACAGAGCTTGACGATAGGCAAAGAGTAGATATAACAGAAAAAACATATGAAATGCTGCAACAATACAACCAGCAATCAATCCTTGCTTCTTTTGCCATGTTCGGCTCACAAAAATGCTTACCTATGTGAGACATGAAGAGAATTTCAAGTATGCTGCATTGCACATGTTAGATTGTCATAAAACTAAAATATTTACCATTCTCACTGATGGCAAACCACCAAGCAACAACCAAAAAAGATAGAAAATTGAATGAGTATCACGGTGAATAAAAGTTGTAACAAACAAACATAGACATGGACCAAACAAAGCATAACCCTATATAATTGAAAAAATCCAATTATAAAAATAACACAGATCTCTATAAGTAAGCCTGTAAAATTACCGTCAATGAAATTGTTTGCAATAATGTAAGATGTGTATTACAGATGTAGGCAACAATTTTAAAAAAACATGAAGCACCAATCCAGTATCCAAAGCAAATAGCAAAGGCTGTTCCAATTAATGTTCCTTCTTGCTAAAATATGAAAAGTTTGATAAAAAAACTAAGATTATATTTTACAAAAAACTACAAAACTGTTAAATAAAAGCAGACTTACAACAGTATGTCCTGAAGACTTCATTGAAAACAGAAGAATGGCAATCAATGTAAACACAAGCATCAATGGTCCATAAAGTTCACCATTCACTGTCTAAACAGAACATTTCATTGAAGTGGGAAAATTTTCAATTGAGACATTTGACTCTTGATTGTTGTGAGTTGCTCAATGACATATAATACAACTATACTACATTTTATAACTCAACTTTCAACTATGAAATTCAACCTTTGACTAAGTTCACTTACAACAGGAGAAGATTTTTTAGGTAATGATGGCAACATTGAGGCAATCAGTCTGGAAAAATTAAAAAAATCTGTAAAAATGTAGGGCAAATTTGTACTTTCTCATAAATAGTTAACATACCTTTCTCTAACTTCATGAGGTTCAACATGAAAGTATGGACGCAAAATATCAATATTGGCATAGAGATCAAATGCTCTTTTTGCAGTCTGTTTACTAGCATTCCAAACCTTAATAAAATAAACATAACAAGAGAATTAAAAAGAAAAAAATAATATGAATTTAGGTTTTAAAAGAAAATCAATCTTTTGTCAAATATCAACACAAAATAGGAGCCATGCCATTAATCAAGCTCAGATAAAGACAAAGATGTCTTTCAGCATTTATGCAAAGCTTTCTACAATAAATGGAAATTACGGAAAACAGAGAACTAAAAATGTGATGTAGGAATGTTGCGTGTTTCTTTCAAGTTTTATTGAAAAAAATATGGAAATAATGTAAAGTATTTTAGTTAGAAGCGAAACTGAACAGTAGACAGGGAAAATTTTTAAAAAATACATATTAACTAACATACATAACCTCCCACTTCTTCAGCCATGTGTTCTCTCATTCGATGAATGAACTCGTTCTCTGACATGGCTGACTGTGGCAGACCTTGGTCAGCTGAGCTATAGAAATGATCAAATCATAGTAGATATTATAAAATTAACCATATTAATATTGAAATAACTGCTGTATAGTGTGTGCAAAAATTACATATACTTCTGGCTGTTTTTGGAAGGACCAAAGATAACTGAGAAATGATGAAATAATTTATTAACATTTACATAAACAATTAAATCTCCACAATTAAAACAAAACTGCAAACTAGTTACTATCTAAAAAAATATATTCAAAGAGTTCTTAGAGTGGCAAATCCCAAATTTTTTATCACACATCTGATAAACAATGTGTCTTAGTCTGTCACCTTTTACGTCAATAACTGTTTTTGATTGAAGATCTTCTGCATCTCCAATGTCCACAATTGACGAGGACTCCTGAAAACACAAAAATAAACACCTCTGAAAACACTAAATTAAAAATACTTTATGAAAAAACCCAATAAATGATCAATTTTAAATCAATAAATCTAAAGATTAGATCATTTAAAATTTCTATTTTGCGTACCTGAACTAAATACCAGCTCGATGAATTTTGGCTGTCACTACTAGAACTTTTCTCAGAGCCATTTCTGTCGTCGATGCTCTGCCATTCATCAAAACCATTAATGTTAAATGACGATATTTGTTCATTACGCTCAGAAGACATTGTTATTTGGTTTGATTATGGATCGTCATTCGTCATTTTGTATCTTCTTTCTTCGTTCTCAAACTTTTTGCCACGTAAAATTAAAGTCAAAATACGCCACTGTTGTAATTTATCCGGATAAAAATAGCGCTAAACACGCTTCAGTTAACAAGAAAATACTAAGATCAGAAGAGTTCCAATAAAAGTATTGTAGTATTAGTGTTGCTATGATACAACTGAATGGTATGGTTGTATTCAATGTTTTGCCACTACACTGGCTGTTGGGTAGTTTACCAAATGACTGAAACATACAGATTGATAATCTTATCATTTATATTGTATGAAAGCTATCATTTTGATGATATGCTTAGCCAATGTGCGATATGAATGATGCTCAACGCACTTCTGCCTTACATTCTGCATGTAAAAATGGAAATCTAACTTTAGTTGAGAAGATTTTATCTTCGGAAAATGCTGACATCGATGCCTTAAGGACAGAACATCAGGTGTCAAGAACTGCATTACATTTAGCATCTGCATATGGAGAAATACAAGTGGTACAGTTGTTATTGAAGGTAGTAATGTAGTCGTTGTGTAAAATTGTGTTCACCTAGCTTAACGTTTTGAGGCTATAGAGATTGATGTTTCCTTTTTTTAAGGTTGGTGCTAATCCTCTTAAGGAAAATAGTGCGGGTAGAACATCTCTACATGAGGCATGTACTGGTGGACATACTGAAACACTTCGTCAACTTCTTAAGTATACAGAGAGTGTAGACCAATTTGACCACCAAGGACAGACGGCAGCTCATACTGCTGCCTACCATGGAGAAAAAAAATGCCTTTCTCTTCTTATTGATAAAAACTGTGATCTTAATGTTGTAGATTATCATTTATGCACTCCAGCTCATTTAGCTGCAAAGCAAAACCACAGTGACACACTAAAGTAAGCCCTACATTACACTACCAACTATTTGAGATTTAGTTAGCCAACTTACTTTTGAAATATACTATTCTTTTAGCTGTTTGCTAAAATCTGGAAAAGTAGACATTATGAAGTCAGATAGACATGGAAGAACTCCAGTTCATTTTGCTGCCATGTTTGGCAGTCTTGAATGTTTAAAGGTTTTTAAGAAACATGAAGTTGACCTCTTGGTAGTTGACAATGATAGCGCAATGGTTCAACACCTTGCTGTTGCTGGAGGACATCTTGAGTGTTTAAAGTACCTCATGAAACTTGGGATACCATTAACAAAGAAAGATAATGCTGGAAGAATCAGTTCTCACTATGTAAAGGATAATTTTTAATGTTAATTTCTTTATGGTACAGAAATAAACAACATTGTTTCACCATATAGGCTGCTCAGAAAGGATCATTAGCATGTCTACATTGGCTATTAGATCAAGATATGGATGCAAATGCTACAGATAGTAAATATGTTTAATTTACTGGTATATTTATACAACATTTTCTTTTCACATTCATTATCTTCTGATTTAGATTCAGGTAACACACCTGCTCATCGAGCTGCATCAGGTCATATGTCAGCATTGGCATGCCTTATCAATCATGCTGCAAATATATCCCTGACCAACCATCAAGGAGACACACCTGAAGCACTATCAAAAAAACAAGGTCACACTACTGGATACAGGATGGCTGGTTTGTTAGTTTACTAAAGCATTACTAGCCTTCGATGAAATTGTTATTTTTGTGAATTCTTGTTGAGGAAAGTGGATTATTTTTGCAGTCACTGGTAAAATCCAATGCTCATTTTGTGTGAAGCAAAAGGAACAACATAAACATGATGTAGACCATCAGCATTCATTTGCTGAGAATTGTATTGATTTGGAAAAGACAACTATTTTTAAAATGCCAATAAAAAAGTCAAGGTACAATGATTCTTATCATTCCTTGTTTGAAAAATGGATTTGTGTTTGATACACAAAGTTTGTATCATGTTGTATACTGTAAAACACCATCTATCAAGGAATATTTAATTATTCTACAATTCACGATTATTTCATCCTATAGAGCACCAATTAGTAAAAAGATGAGTGAGTCTGGACAATGTGCATTGAGACAAACCATCAAAACAAGAAACATTTCCACACAGTTTTATGGTGAACATTTGTTAACAAATGAGTTCTTTTAAATTATTAACCACCATATATACCATTATTATAACTCTAACAATTGTGCAAAGATAGATTAAAAAAGTTTTAAAAAAACCATTTATGACCTGATTAATACACCAGTAATATAATGACTTGTTTAGTCCTGTGTATTTTATTATACTTTGCTGCCCTAGTTTTTATATAGTTAAGCAAAATATGAATCAACCACCAACTTCTTCCCTTGAGCTGCAATTTATGGCTTGACATCATTAAATTCCTGTTACCACACATGTTTGTCATGTGAAAATCACAGATTAATATTTTCACCATATAATGCAATTACCAACATAACTCCATATCCAAAAATTATTGCAACATTTACAAAACATAACATCTTGATTGACTTTAATTTTGAATTGCCACCAATAACATATGCCATTTCCAAAGCTTCAGGAAGCTAGATTGAAAAGAACAATTATCATGTTGACTTTTAAATGCAATCACTACGACAAAATATAGATATGAACCAACATACCATGTCAACCAAAGATATATAAAGAAACATTCCTCCAGCTATACCATAAATATACTTTACAGTTTGTTTGATATAACCAAGAACTAAACCAATCACTAGACCAACATAACAACAGCAAGCCGAAAGAAAATTTGCCAACATTGCTTCCTTGTATGTAAGGCCAGATTGAAGTAGAATGGCAAAGTCACCTTCAAACATAAATCAATCTTGTAAACGTTATCTAGCTTTGTTGATGGTTCATCTGCAAAAGGACTATATTCTAGTTACATGTCCTACCTAGCTCATGAGGTAACTCCTCACATATCACAGCCACAGAAGTGCTGACTCCAATGATAACTGAACCAGTAAATGATGCACCAATGGCAAGACCATCAATAAAGTTATGTAATCCATCACCAATAATGATCATCCAAGCTACAGTAGCTATAACTCGTCCCTTAGGAGCATCTAACATCTTTCCTTCAGCATTGTTTTGAATTGCATTACTTGTTAGTTCAATTCTACTGTTTTGTTTTTTATAAGTATTATCTGCAATCACATCAGTAGCAAAGTTTTCATCATTGTTCGGAATAAAGTTATGACCATTACTTGAACGAATGAAATTCAATGTCTTTGCCTCCACAGCATCTGGTTTGAATGTTGTCATCTCTCTATACTATATAAGGTAGTGCAAACAATTTTTTAAGGTAGCTTTATGTAGAAATAATAGATCAATCAACAGTAATTTATTACTAATCAAAAAATAACATGACTGTATTTACCAACTGGTGTTTTCCCTTATCTTTGAACCTGATATATAGCTTCATTGAGCACTCAAGAACAAGAAAGACATATAATCCAAGTAGAATCATGCAGCACTTCCACAAATAATTAGCACCAATTTCATCAACATGCAAATCGAGAGCCTGAAAAAAAAATAAAATTGCACTTTTGTCTCTTGAAGCTATAGTAAAAATAATTTTCACAAAATATAGCAATGTCACATCATAGGTAAAGTCAACAATATAAAAACTTACATGGGGTATTAAATGAAATATGCCACTACCACCTAAAACACCAACAGCTAATGACACCATACACATCAGTAACATCTTGTAGATTGTTTTGTTCATTAATGGCTTAACAAATGCACCAATTAAAGACCCCAAACTAATGATAGTCACAAAGAGAAAGCCAAAACCCCAAGCTAAAAAATAAATTTCATGATGGGTTAAGTGGCAGAATATACATATATTAATGGTAAAAATAACTGTGTTTGTTGATAATCTTTCAGAATGTGTGTAAATACCTCTTGTAGGCTTCTCTTTTCCTTCTTCTTTCTCTTCATCCAACATTTTAATACTTTCTGAATTACATTCTTTTTTAGTCATCTGATATATCATGGCAGGACATAAATTGATGAGATCAGTCTTGTTTATAGTCCCATCATTTCTGGAATACATGCTAAAAAAATGTCTGCTTGTGAAACATGCCTGCAGGTGTAAAAGATAAACATGTGTCACTCGGGTTATTCAAACAGATTATCTTTTGAAAATTTGTTGATTGCAATTAGTCATCCAAATGTATCGGTCTTTCAGTTATAAGATTAAAATAAACTTAAACTTTAATGAAAAAAGAAATTGCATAAGGAATTCAAAACAGTCCTCGGCAATGTGACCAAAATTGCAAAAGGTTTTTCAGTAATAGCAACTTATAGCAAAACATTTAAATTGATTGGGTGGAGGACATAGGTATATATCTAATGCTTTGGTAATTTTTCGTAAGTTTATCCCGAAACTGGCTTTGAAAAGATTTGGTCACATTTCTTTTCCTTATTTCATCAATGGGCAGCACTTCAATGTAGTTGCAAAGCACCTGACTAGTCAATGACTCAAGTGCTTAGCAAATCCGCAAATCTCGCCTGTGCCTGTGCACAAAAATTCAAATAACAATCACATTGACATTATAGCCGATATTAATGAAAATGACAAAGTTCTTAAGTCCATGAAGGTAAATTATTCGTTACAGCCATTTTTACTGATCGTAATTCATATGAAAACCATTCGCTCACATTAATGTATTAAAATGAGATTTTACAATGGCAAAATTCTTGTTGGAGCTTGAGAGAAACAGTTCATTTCATATCCGTTGTACAGAGTACTATGTATACAGACATAAGTGAAATTATTCATTATTTCTCCGAGGCACGTGTTTAAAATAGAAAGCATAAAAAACAAAATTGTATTTTACCTGAGATTGCAAACTTTTCCATGTACTGTTATCATCCTCTATCAAAGCTAGACCGATGCTTTCAAACAAAAACTTCATATTCGTTAGATTCATGTTGTTTTTATCACCAAATTTTTCTAAAATTTCTTCAGCAGGATCAAATGATGGCGTACTTCTGATAACAATTCTGTGTTTTGCTGACACTCTTGGCGAAACGATTTTCCCTTGAATTCTTACAACGGAAAATATCAAAAACAAAAAAAGAAACCACACCGACATTTTGCAATCTGGACTTCCTCACGTAAGAACAATCGTGTGATTATGTGATATTTTTAACGCCACCTCCCAAGGTCTATACTCTACACAATTAGATGGCACGCACGAGTTACCTGAGACGAAAGAAAGGGAGAGAAGGGTGCAATGTACATAACACGAAAAAGCTACGATAGTAAAGCTGTAATTCTCCGATAAAACATTATATTTGTTAATATACTCACAACATCTACAAATCTGGTTGTACTACGGACAAGACAACAAACAATATTTTGAAAATTTGTGTGTGAACTTTAAAGCATTTGTAATTGCATATGTGACGCGCAACGCGCCCCTACAGTCTATTGTTATTTTCTGACCAATAGGAACACTGAAAAAGCTACCGTACACGTGGTAAATTAAAATATGCAGAACGTATCGGGAAGTGGTCCTCTCTGTGTATAACCATACGTACAGTATATAACATATAACCAGTACTGTAGAACGAAATTTATCAGATGGGGGGCTCTCTTGTCAATAGTGCCCTTCAAAGTTACCCACTTCAAAGGTAGAAGGGGGCTCCTCCCCAAGCGCCCCCACTTCTACAGCACTGCTTATAACACTGTATTACCTTACACGAACGAAATGAATAATCACAAGACATTCATGAAAATTTTTGTCACTTACGCAACCATGTCGCAATATACTCTTTCATAACTTTTATCACGGTATTAAGGATAGTCTGGTCATCAATGTGGCATGCTCATCTTTCATAAGGTTTATCACCCACACGATTAAGTTTGCGTAATAATCCCACCACATCAACAGGCATTGAATGAATAATGCCATATGGGACAGGATCAAGCCTTAAAAATGATGCATTGTCATTTGAGAAATACAAAAATAACGTATTTACCAAACGTAGATATTTTTCCAAGATAAACCGTTTATCATTATGCACAACTTGGGAAAAATATGTTGATTGTATTTTAGGCCAGTATTCGTTTATGTGAAGAAAAAGGAATACAATTATGGCATACACAATCATTGAAACAGTTGTTATTTGTATACAAAGTCATAAATAAAAAAAAAAAAAGAATTAAAAAAATATTAAAAACAATTAATTTAATGTTACCGTAACTGCGTAATAGCACTATTGATATTGCGCATTTAATAAAAGCGACAAGTTTTTTTAAAATAAACATGTTTCAACGTCTCATGACGCCATCTTAAAAGAACTTCAAAACCATTTTAATAATTTAAAAAACTTGTTGTTTTTATTAAATGTGTAAATTAATGTTGTAATATGCCATGTATCAATTAAGGTTTAATTATTCTTTAATTCATGATTGTTTCATCCTGTAGATTACCAATAAGTAAAAAGATGTGGGAGTCAAGACAGGTGCATTGAGAGGAACTATAACTACGTAGTACATTTTCACACAATTTTATGGTGAACATTAACCAACAACTAACTACAACAATCATAACAATTTTACATTACATAAATATGAATTAAAAAAGATTAAAAAACATTTATGACCTATTTAATATATTATAACAGTAATACAATGACTCTCTTAATCTTGAATATTGTGTTATATTTTACACCTTAAAGAGTTGCAATGATAAATATAAGCAGCAATAAATATTTGAGCAACATATGACACAACTACCAACCACTTCCCTGAGTTACAATTCTTTGCTTGACTTGACATCATTCAACATTCAATTACTGTTATTTGTCATGTGACAATCACAGATTAATATTTCCAGCATATAATGCAATGACCAACATAACTCCATATCCAAAAATCATAGCAACATTTACAAAACATAACATCTTGATCAACTTTTGCTTCGAATTGCCACCAATAACATATGCCATTTCCAAAGCTTCAGGAAGCTAGATTGAAAAGAACAATTATCATGTTGACTTTTAAATGCAATCACTATGACAAAATATAGATATGAACCAACATACCATGTCAACCAAAGATATATAAAGAAACATTCCTCCAGCTATACCATAAATATACTTTACAGAATATGTGGTATAACCAAGAACTAAACCAATCACTAGACCAATATAACAACAGCAAGCCGAAAGAAAATTTGCCAACATTGCTTCCTTATATGTAAGACCCGATTTAAGTAGAATGGCAAAGTCACCTTCAAAAAAATTGATGTTGTAAATACTGTTCTTCTTTACTGTAATAACATAGTAATAACCACTATGACTATATTCTAGTTACATGTCCTACCTAGCTCATGAGGTAACTCCTCACACATCACAGCAAAAGAAGTGCTGACTCCAGTGATAACTGAACCAGTAAATGATGCACCAATGGCAAGACCATCAATAAAGTTATGTAATCCATCACCAATAATGATCATCCAAGCTACAGTAGCTATAACTCGTCCCTTAGGAGCATCTAACATCATTCCTTTAGCATTATTTTGACTTCCTTTACTTGTTAGTTCAACTCTACTGTTTTGTTTTTTATAAGTATTATCTGAAATCACATCAGCAGGAAAATTTTCATCATTATTCGTGTTAAGGCAATGACCATTACTTGAATGAGCGAAATTCATTGTTTTTGCCTCAACAGCATCTGGTTTAAATGCTGTCACCTCTTCATACTATAAAAAATATTTACTGGGTAATGCAACAACATCCATTTTACAATGTATAATTGAAAAAAAGTTAGTTTATTTTAGGTAGATTCATGTAGTAATAAACTAATAATGGATTAATCAGCAGTACTTTATACTTAAATCTATCAACTAAAAAATAACATGACTGTATTTACCAACTGGTGTTTTTCCTTATCTTTGAACCTGATATATAGCTTCATTGAGCACTCAAGAAGAAAAAAGACATATAATCCAAGAAAAATCATGGAGCACTTCCATAAATAACTAGTATCATTATCATCAACTGGCAAACCAAGGGCCTGGAAAGAAATGAAATATCAATGTTGTAGCTTATAGCTTTAGTAAAAATAATACTTACAAAACATAACATGACAATTTAACTTAAGTTTAAATTCAAGAAACTTACACCAGGTATTAAATGAAATATGCCACTACCACCTAAAACACCAACAGCTAATGACACCATACACATCAGTAATGTCTTATAAATTGCTGTGTTCATTAATGGCACAACAAATGCACCAATCAATGACCCAAAACTGATGATAGTCACAAAAAGAAAGCCAAAACCCCAAGCTAAAAAATAAATTTCATGATGGGGTAAGTATTACACTACTAATATGTAAAAATAGTTTGTTAAAAAATTTTTCAGAATGTGTGTAAATACCTCTTGCTGGCTTCTCCTTTCCTTCTTCTTTCTCTTCATCCAACATTTTAATACTTTCTGAATTACATTCTTTTTTAGTCATCTGATATAACATGGCAGGACATAAACTGATGAAATCAGTCTTGTTTATAGTCCCATCATTTCTGGAGTACATGCTAAAAAAATGTTTGCTTGTAAAACATGCCTGCAGATGTAAAAGATAAACACGTGTCACTCAAGTCATTGAAACAGATTATCTTTTGAAAATTTGTTGATTGCAGTTAGTTAGTCCTATGCCTAGTTTCATAAGTGGCCAATACAAATTGTAAACACAATGCATTAGACATGAGACATAATATTTATATGGCAATAACTACTGGTGCAAAATCCAGTGCACTAAATGCAGTTAAGTTGCTGTCTTTTTGGTTGATTAGGAAAATAAAAATTTTTCATTGGCATTGAGATTTTTAATTTGCAAATATTACCTTTTTATAGAAATGGTTTCATTACAATATTATATACAACTAATCTATCATGAAACTTACTTCTCTTATATCAAATGCTTAATCCAACAGTAGTAAGTACATGTAGTTCCGTTATATCAAGTTTAGTCATCTCAACTTAATACTTCATACCCCTCAATCCTATCTTTCTGCCATCACTTTAACTCACAAGTTTTAAATAGATTTTTACCTGTGACTGTAATTTTTTTTTTGTATTGTTGTCATCGTCTATCACAGCTAGGCCGATGCTTTTAAACAAAAACTTTAAGTTCGTTGAATTCATTTGGTTTTTATCACCAAATTTTTCTAAAATTTCTTCAGCAGGATCAAATGATGGCGTACTTCTGATAACAATTCTGTGTTTTGGTGACACTCTTGGCGAAACGATTTTCCCTTGAATTCTTACAACGGAGAATAGCATGCACGAAAGAAGAAACCACATCAACATTTTGGCTTGCATACGGAACAACAAGTGTCCAATTGTGTTTTTTTTCACATGCCACGTCTTAGGCGAGCTCATATGCACGCATCACTGCATGTGTTACCTGTGTCGTATGAAGGACGGTCTTAGGGGGAGGAGTCTAAGATCGTTGAGAGCGAAAAACACAATTGACAAGTTTCTATCACACAATAACGCATACAATATTTAACCAAATTTAGCAGCAATTCCCCAAAAAACCCATTTTACTTGTCAATGTACTAATAAATCAGCAAGTCTGGTAATACCATACACCAACAAACTAAATAACCACATGACAGTCATGATAATTCTTGTTATTTACGCAACAATGTCGCAATTAACATTCTTTCGTAATTCTTAAGTCATTTTTTTCACAACAGCCTGGTCATCAATATACCATGTTAGTGTTCCAGAAATAGGTTGTAGCAAAGTTATGGGCAAATCATCAGTTTTTATTGGGTCATCCCATAGTTTTTGAACTATTTCCTGTTTACTAATGCCAAGAATGAGTACTGCAATATTTTTTACTTTTTTGTTAAGAAACTTTAGGGTCATTGTCATTCTAGAGCCATAGATCACATGATGTAAACTCAACTTGATCCAAGCAGAGCTTGTTAACTCAGTTGATCTTGCGAATAAAGAGGCAGTGTGGCCATCTTCACCAACACCCAAAACAACAAAATCTAGCATGTCATTACCAAGATGATGTTTCATAAGTCTTTCATAGCGTTTATCACCCAGATCATTTGGTTTGCATAATAATCCTGCCACATCAACAGGCATTGGATGAATATTGCCATAAGGGATAGGAAGAAACTTTAAAAAATTTTGATACAATTGATGAAAGTTGGAGCGCTCATCACTTGAACCAACACAGCGTTCGTCAACTTGCCAAATGTGGATATTTTCCAAAGATAAATGCTTCATCATTATGGCTAACACTGGAAAAATATGTTGAGCAGTTCTACCACCAGATAATGCCAAGTGAAACTTTTTTCCAGTCTTAACTTTCTCCTGAGCTGCAAGAAGTATTTCTTCAACAAGTTTATTTACAACACTAGTTTGATCACCACTTAAAAGCCTTTTGCCACGAAAACTGGAAGACTTGTTCTGATAAATGTATTTTAACTTTGCTGATAGTTTGCAATCATGATTTTGCTTCTGATATCTTATTTGTCCATTGATGATGTCAAAATCTAAATCCTGCAAAGATTCCTGAGAGTAAATTCTTGGTTGTGTTAATGATAAATCATTTAGTAATGGTGTCCAAACTTTCCATGACATGAGCAAATCCTTCAAAGACACAAACATCTCTTTATTCCCTAAAAATACTTCATGAATGAGTGTGATATAAGCATTCTGCTCCGTAGCTTCAGGTTTCATGACTACATTTTCTCCATTTATCAAATCTGAAATTTGAGAGTTCAATGTAAAGTTAACCCAGTTGGTAGGGAATTTTATGTTAGTTATTGTCTTGGTTACAATTGTTAATGGAACTTCAATTATATCACCTTGTATAAAAAAGGCAACCTGTTCTGGTAAACAGTCTGTTGAATCTTTTCCTAAATTGGATTTAACACAAAATTTACGATGTTTAAACTGAATTCTTACAAAAGCTTGCCTTGAATCTAAGCTTTTCCCAGACATAACAATAAAGGAACATTTAACCAGCGTTTGTTCATGATCTTCATGACCACAGCAGCAAATGTTGCTGTGTTACTGCTATTTTCTATGTTAGGAAGTTCTTCTTTCAACTGTTTATTATAGTCTTTGTACTGCCCAAAAACTGCATCGTGTATAGTGATTGGCTTAATTGCATTTAACACTTTAGATTTCTCAGAACTTTCTACAGGTTTATCTGAATGTGATAACTCCATGGCAAATAAAGCAAGAATCTCAGTAAGATGATTCTGAAATACATCTCTTATGACACCATATTTATCATAAAATGCCATCCTGCCTTTAACATCAACTTTTTCCTTCACAACAATGCTCACTTGTTCAATGTAATCATGATTCCAAAAGGTTTCAAAGAATTCCGCATTCTCCTTTTAAACTGAATTATTTGTTGAATGCCAGCTTTTCCTAAATAATGATCAATCCTGTATATTTCTTCTTCTTTCCAATACTTGCTTAATTTATTAGCTAGATCTACTGCCGAGTTCAAATCATGACCAAACGGTTTTTCTAACACAACACGCGTCCACGTTTGTTTTGATTTTGGACGCAATTTTTCGGCGATATTCTTACTTATTTCTTCATAGGCAAATGGAGGAACAGATAAATAAAATATACGGCCAACTTCTCTTTCTTTGATAGAACTACTTTCAATAACAGAACTCAGATGTCCATAATCGGTCGAATGTTTCAATCGCCGATATTCGCTTTGATTTATAAATTGCATCTTTTTCTCATTACATTCATCACTCATACACTTTACTGAAGTTCTTAAAATTTCATTTAAAGAAACGCTTCCTTTATCAGGATCTAATCTTGAAGCGCCGTAGAAATGTAACTTGGTGTTTGTCAAAGTTCCTTTACCAGATGTTAAAAATATGTCAAAAAATCCCTTCCATAAATAGCGTTTGGCTAAGTCACCCGTCGCACCAACAAGGATGACATTGATTCTTGGGGTCAAGTCACTTTCAGATGAGTTTCGAGAATCAATATTGCTGAAAATCAGGAAGAACGAAATTTTTATCAAAAAGCTCGAACATTTCACCGCCATATTTGATTTATGAAATTCACCAATAGCAATCATTTGATTAGCATCGTACTCAACAATACTCCTGGAACAATAACTCCCATATTTTAAAGGTTTATGATATTGTTTCGACAATCTTTCTCAAAAATTAGATAACTGAGGTAAAAAAAAAATAAACTCTTACCAAACGAGAAAGCGTATGAGATGAAGTGGAGTTGAGCTCTCAAATTCATTTCGAGATATGCCAGTAGCCAACCTTGAAGATTGTGAAAATTGAATGACAACGCATGTAGCTACACAACTTTATGGAATGTCAGGCAACGTTAAGTGTTTAGGAAACAGAACTTTACCACACATACACACACATTATTCTGGTTGCATCCAAAGACCATCTAATTGGTTTAAAACTCTTTCACTTGAATTGTGTTTGTTACGATGTTAGTGTACTACTTTCCTGACATATTCAAATATCTTTAGAAGACATTATCTTTCACAATTTAACTGAAAAAGCTATTAATGGTCTTTAAAAAACAGAAAACTGTGTGGTAAAATTCCTTCACGAACATTTTGAAGATTTCACAAGACGCAGCTCACAAATCATTAAAGGCAAATCTGCTAGACATATTTATGTAATATTTATATAAAATTCAAAATTTAAGCAGGTAGTTTATAATATAACACTAAGCTACACGCATGCATGAGAGTAATATCTAGATTATATCCAATGTAAAAAAGTCACACGAAACAAAACAAGAGCAGTCTAGCAGTGAAAATGAACAATGTGGTTTTCACTTGAAACACGGCAAACCTGATTAACCAGCTGCATCAAAAGGTGTATAAAATGTAAAAGATAATGAAAGATGTTCTTCACTATTCAGATACGCACATCAAGGACCATCAGAAAGAAATTCATACACAACACATTCTAAGAATCTTTTACCATAGAAAAGTACGAATCTTAGCACAAAGTCCTAAATCAGGCTGGAATAGTTTTGGATTACTGATTACAACATATCATAAGAAACTTTTATCCTCTTGGAACCAAAACAATCCCTGTCATTAAATTGATGCTGGAGAAAGAACAGGACGGATATTTTCCCTCTAAAAGCAAAAAGAGTTTTTAAAATAAGTAAAGATCTTAGTTCACTTTGAACAATTTATAAAACAGGGCAATGAGCCAACGAACATCTTTTCAAACACACTATGTGAATTTTTTAAACAATATTCTTATTCATTTCTTCTCAAACTTATAGTTTCATTCATTGTCTTCGCAGTGAATAAGCACTAAACATTTCCAGGAAAAAAAACAGTATGTCTTCGCCAAAGTATTAAATGATGAAAAACACGGCACAATATAATAATCTTAAATCGCTAGACTTTACAATATGACCACACAGGCAAATATACTTCTAAGACAACAAAAAACATACAAAACTGACAAAGATGTATTATCAATTATTAACACATTCAAACAAAATGAAACACAATGAATTTTTATGGGTAATAAAATAGACGAAAAAATTAAATCACCAGTATGTTGTACTTATACAGAATGGCTTTAAAATATATTTACCCTCGAGACGATGGCACTAGTTAATTATATAACATCAAGATCAAAATTCTCAACTTTTTGTAGAGGATTTTTTATTTCTAACTGTTAAAAAATTCAATAGTTATAGCCAAAAGTACAAACTACTGCTTATACCTTAAGGTGATACAGCTAAATATTACTATGCGAAAACTTCAAAATGCTCTCTAAATCTTAGACGTAAAAAATAGATTTTCAATCCAAATACAAATGAGCGTCCTAAAAAGTTAAGCCACTGATGACATATTTTGACAAGCACAAGGGCTGCTAGGTTGCAAACTAAAAATTACAAGCGTATCAAAAAGAATTCTCTAGGAAACAAAGGAAAACAGAGATGAATTTTCGATCTACAAATACAGCCGCTTTCCCAGATGTGCTCATATATTTGGTTCATTTGTTCATTCAACCACAAAGCCATGGATACGCAGAGCTTTCAAAAAACATGTTTTCACAAATCGAGTCTCGCCATTCATTGGCTCTATTCAAGCCATATCTACTGGTAAGCACGTGCAGAATAATTCAGCTGCTGTTGCTTGCTTGATATGAACAAATTCTACATACAGCTGTCGAAGCATTTATAATATATATACTTCGTTTAAAACACAAACATAACATAGGTTTAGCAAATCTTGTACAATTAGTACGTTTGAGTCATTTTGCATGGGAATTTTGCGTGCGCTAGTAGTGAAAATGTTGAAACAAATAGCAAAAAATGAAAACGAAATGCCTGAGTGCGCCATGCTTTTTGGAATAAAGCGCTTTCACGGTGGCTTTGTTGTTCTTACAGAAAGAACGTCATGATTGGCCAGGTTACAGGTGACTGCTTATATTACTGCAGCGTGATTGGCTGCATTTTAAGACGTTTCACATGCATTTTCCCGCGGCAAATGCAGCTGTAGAAAAAGTTTGGAAAAATTGCATTCGAGCCGGCTGCGATAGGAAGGACGCAAGAAAAAACGAAGAGAAAATTACTAAAATTCAACATTCTTTACATTGACAGTTTGGTTTCACACAGAAGGTAAGCGAGATACTTTCTTTGAGCGTAAAATTCAAAATTGCTGAAAAATTCATCGTTTAACTTTTAAATGGGGAAGACAAAATGCAAAGCTTTCATTCTGCTATACGCTACATTCATCCAATTTTTGCATTGAACTGAACCAAGTAATACTAATCAAACAAGCAGAACGATGCAAACGATTGTTCATGTGTATATAAAATAGATCTACATAAAAATTATCAACTGTCTTATCGTGTCATCATGCAAACCTAGCTCAGGTCAAAAAATATTTAAGTCAAAGTAAGCGATGACACATTAAACTGTCTTTACTAAGTCTTAAGAAGACTTATGCATCATAAAACGATTACAAGTAGCAACGTGTTTAACGGATCATTCTGTTCAGCAGAATAATGGGGCACATAAACATCGTTGATACTTTTCAGGATTAAAAAAAATGAAAGAAGAGAGGCCTAAGAGAGCGCTGGAATACATCATAAAAAGAGATGATTATTCGCAACTAAGAGCCGTTCTACCTCCGAACTCCGAGAAAAATTATTTTTCTCCGGTAGGTACAACCTCGTAGATGTAATAATTATTAAAGCATACATAACATAAATAAGCAGCTGTGGAGTGAATTTTTTTTAGATTGACGTCATTGAAGGAGCCATTGAGTACATAGCACATCTACAAGCAACATTGCAGCAGCACGAGAATACTTCATGTAAGGCTAACGCCGAAGTACATAAAAATATTACTACTTATTACGAGTAGAGGACATTTTTCCACAACTGTTTTAATGTCCTTTCACAGAAAAAGAGAATCGGAATTGAGGTTTTCTCTTTTAGCTCAGAATTTAAAATAACTTGTTGGTTTCTTTGTATAGTGTCAACAGTTCACGTCCAACGGGAATCTCACGATGGCTCGCGAAGAACACAGAGAAACAAAAAAGTCAGGAAGATTGCCTCGTTCCACAACAAACTGAAATGTACACCAAGACCACGTAAAATGAAAGGTAAACAGAAAAATGACAGAAGAACCAGAATTTAAAGACTGTAAGAACAGTAGCAATAGTTCATATAAATGACTTTGAAATAAATGAAACGTAAAAATAAAAATTTTTTTTTGAATTTTTTCAGGTCAAGCAAAGCCACACAAAAGACGCAATCAAAATGGATGAATTTTAATCAAACCATATTCCATACCATAAAGACTATCGAATTTTACTTACAGCAAAAACATAGGCTATCATTGTTTTGAAAACAATGTGGATTTTAAAAAAAGTATCAAAGACCAAGCAGCAAAATAGGAACAAACTTCACACAAGTATCGTGAACATAAGACTGTAGGACTGTGAGTGTCATTGTAATATAAACTATAATAACCTCATGAATAGTAGATATAAAAAATGATTTTTGATAGGCCTCAAAAAGTTTCGGCAAAATAAACGTGCAAATTAAAAGGAAAATAGCTATATTAAAACACCCACTGAAAGAATGAAGTCGTCATTTCTAATCATGTCAGCTTCTGAACTACCACAGCATTTAATAGTTGAGCTTCTTCTAGAGTAGTAGTTTCATCTTTTAGTTCTTTTTTTGGAAATGTTGTCAGAAAAATATAATCACGAGAAGTCATTTGGGGTCTGGAACTGAGCACAAAGTTAACGGAAAAAATTTTAACGGAAAACTCATTTGAATGAAAAGTAAGTTTTTCTACAAATTATTCCATTATTACTGTACGCAGTAAAGTGGTAAAAAGGATACGCATTTACAAAATGTCTGACATCAGCTATAGAATTGTTGTAGTTAAATTTACCGACCAATCTAAAGTAAAAATACAGAACATTGTTAAGTTGACGAGCACATACAATTGCTGTTCGTAGACGATTATGTTTAAAGTAAAGTTTGCGAGGTGGCCTGAAGTCGATAACAGCCGAACAACGAGGAAGTTTATTCCCTTTTCGTTTTAGCGCTAGACAAGGCAGATCTATGCTGAGATGGAACGTAACACCTACTCTCAAGCTCCCTGCTATTTTACCGTGCAGATCAGATGACCTGATTTGCGCTACTCATAAGCTGAGTTGGCGAGGGCGGACATCGAACCTGGGACCTTGCAATCATCAGGCAAACGTTGAAAATATATGTATAGAAAAAATGAAAGGAAACACAATAGCAAGAGAAAGAATGTAGCTAGCTAAAACAACACCTCAATCTCACGACTTTAACGATGTCTAAAGTAAGTTAACAATTTCAATTGACTAAACTACCATGATATGGGATGCCAATTTCAGCTTTACCTTGTTCCATCAATCAAGCGTATTTGGAGACTTGTTATTGGTTGAGCTTCGTCAATATTTGGAGCCTGGACCGAACTTGTGATTGCGGTGGAAACGCTGGGAGTGACGACATTGGGAGTAGGGCTAGGAAAATATTGGATAGTTACTAAACTAAGTAAATAAAAAAGCAACAGAAATACTTGGTTGTTTATATAACACGTCGTAATATCGTCAAGACGAAACATGACACATTGTGTGTTAGCTTGCTATAAACTAGTAATTCAGTATTTAATTCTCTCTTTTACTTCAACTCAAAACTGCACTAATTTAAATCAACATGAATAAAATCCATTTATTATTTGTGATTTTGTTCTTCGACAATTGGGACCTCACTACATTATATCTAAAAAGTAGGTAGTAGTTCTAACCTTCCAAGATAATGACCTTTTCCTGTAAACGCTTTCATTGTTTCCTTACGTTTAACATAATCCTCGTGTCTTTTATCGTTCATATTTACATGTACTTCACCTCCACGATTTAAATGAAGAAGCTCGCGGGGAATTTCTCTAAGTAAACATGAATTATAAACTTTCTCAATCAAAATATTTTATCATTAAAAATTTAACGATAAAATAAATGAACAATCACCCTCGTTTTATTGAGTCTAAAAATTCCATGTTTTGAGGATCATTAAAATCTCTTAGTGGACCATCGTCAATGGAGAAACCATTTGACCAGAAATATAAATTAACATTTAACTGAAATGAAACGTTGAAAACAGATGAAAAAAATATATTAATCAATCAGATGATAAGAATAAATATACATTTTATTATTCTCTAAAAATTACAACCAATAGAATAACGATCGCGAGGAATTTTTTTAAAAAGCTTGTGAGCATCCGGATGTCAATTAAAGTTTAGTTTTTCATAGAAAGGTTTGAGGATATTTTCCGCCAAGTCATATTTGGATCCAAAGCTACGTAAAGACATCCTCAAACGCAATTTTTAACGCAAAAGAGAAATTTGAAAGATATTGATCATTTCGACAAAATATACATCGATGTATTTCAATTCACTCTTTATGGAATCATGCATATTCTCTGATGATGGCTTTGGAATAAAGTCGAAACACGGTGCCATCCAGTAAACTGCTATAGTGGCGAGAATCTCTCGTCCATACGCAGTTTAAAAGCGATTTGACTCGTCTCCAATCCCTATGGGCTTAGTACCTCAACAGGTAGAGCGGACTAGTATCCCGTAGGTGCGAATTCAAATCTCGTCCAAGTCACATGTTTTTCATGTACATATAAAAACCGTGTTAGGAATAATATTATGTACATTTCATAAATATACGATGAAAGTCACAGGAGTCACTATTTTACTATGGTGATAGCCGGGAGGGCACATTGTAATACACTTTGTATATATATATATATATAGCTGCACGTTTAAAAACTTGTCTTCTGAAAGACACAAAAATACTGCTGTATTCTGTGAGTAAATAACGTTAAGTAAGACTAGTCTGAAGACTGACCTTGACGCTTCAATGTAGAATCCACCTTTCCGACGGTAGACACACGTGTCATAACTACGAGATCTAATTACAAAATTCGGACAAGTATTGTTTATGTAGAATAGTGGCAATAAAATGGTTAGGAGATGCTCTTGGGGCATTTGTAAATCTTATTTTAGAAATACAGTACGACTAATTATAAAGGCAGAAGATTTAAGAGTGAATAAAAATTATTTTCCGTCAAATCAAAGGAAAGCTTGGATATGACATGTAATATGCAGACACAAAGTAATGGAGAAAAATAAAAACATTTCTCACGTTGTCGCGGATATTACGAGTGCCGCAACAAAGTGTTGATGAATTTGATATGCATTTGTCAAAACAAGCCTACGAAGACAAAGAGCATGCCAAATTATATCTACAAGCACGAACGTCAGAGCTCGCTCTATCACAAATTAATTGCGAATTAATCTGAGCATGCGTAGTGAACTCCACCAACTTTTCAAGTTAATGGCAACGACCAACTGGATGTACTAGTACCGATTATGGGCTAATCAGCTGGCTCAGTCACAAATTTTCGGATAAATCATCCGTGCATGCGCAGTCTTCTTGAGCATGCGCATTCCCCTTGACCCGCTTACTATATGTATTTGCATTACATTTGTGGCAATTAGCTCACTTAGTCGCAAATTATGAAAGAAATCATCTGCGCATGCGCAGTCTGATTGAGCATGCGCAGTCGAATTGACCAGATGCCAATGTTCATGGTCATCGCAACGACCAACTGCATCTACTAGCACCGATTTTGAAGTAAATAGCATGTTTAATTACAATTTAATATATAAATCATCTGCGCATGCGCTCGAGTATGCGCAGTTCACTTGACTAATTGTTCATAGTCATGGCAACGACTAACTATATGTACTTGCACTACATTTGTAGCAATTAGCTCACTTAGTCGCAAATTATTAAAGAAATCATCTGAGCATGCGCAATAGTGACTTTAATAATACCACAACTTTCTTAAGCCTTTGAATTTTTGTAGATATATATAAAGCCAATATTGGATATTTTAGATGTCAACTAGCAGTGGAAGCTGGGTGCGATATGTATGCAGGGGCTTAGGGGTCCAGACGTTTCGGGTCGCGACCGCACTCTCCCCGCGTACCCCGAGCAAAGCCTATCGCAGGTGATCTCGGGGTCTGATGGGCGGAAGCTTGCTATTGCATCTCCCAAGTAGGATAGCGTGGAGGGGCCGAAATCTCCTACCGAAACGTTAACATGCGGCGTTCTAGTGCCTTACGCTTAACAAGGTATCGGGAAGCATGGTCCGAAAACGGGGTTTTTTGCTTTTGAATTTTATCTTTTTGTTTATCTCATAAAAGAAACTAGAACATCCAAGGATACTGGATGAAAGCTAGGAAGATTTCATTCATCAATAATTATATAGCTTGCTTTTTTGCGCTTTATGCAGCTCGAATCCGTCCTGGGTATTCTTAAGTCACGCCGTAAAGGCCCGTAACAATCCTTACAAAGAAGTCATTAGCGCGACAACTTGCCAGTATTCAAGCTTTCCTTCGATTGTTACTCCTTTTTCTAAGCCCAAATTGGTTAATACTTATTGTTATGCCTTCTGCCTTTATCAAAAATCATTCTGAATAACTAGAATCAGATTCACAAATGCCACAAAAGTAAAAAGCATCTCCTAACCATTTTATTGCCACCATTCTACAAAAACGATACTATGTCGGAGCATTTGATTGTACAAATTTTGTAATTTTATCTCGCATTTTTGACACGTGTGTCTACCGTCGGAAAGGTGGATTCATTCGTGAAAATTAAGGAAATGAATGACCCCAGGAAATGAACCTTAGTATTGCGATATTTATGAAAGGCAATAAACAAAACACAAATACAATCTTACAGGTTCAGGAACATCTGAATCATTTGATGATGATTGTACAGTAGCAGATAAACCCTCTGAAGCACCCAGTCGAAAACCTTTAAAGATACAAGTAAATTTTATTAGATATGAAAAGGAAGTATTTATATGTATACATCAATTATTGTATTCAAACCATTCTACTTAAGGTATATCCTAAATCTTAAACTGGTGAAATATCAAAATAAGAATGGAAGGTAAAAACAGTGTATTGCTGACAATGCATATTGTAAATTGTTGACAATGCATATTGTAAATTGCTGACAATGCATATTGTAAATTGCTGACAATGCATATTGTATCTCCAGTCTCTAAACCATCATACACTTGCACTATACCTGAACCAGCAAAAGCTGGAATTTTTTTCTTCCTATTTTGTCTTGTTTCTTGAGACTCATTCACAACTTCTGCACCATGACTAAAATTTCCATATTTCTCATCATATTTTGCGCACTTGAGGAATTTTATAATTCAAACATTTACGTAAGGCTTTTTTTCCAATCTGACATACATACATAACACAATTTTTGTTGAAAATACTCTAACCTTTTTGCAGCATTAAAAATACTTTGTGTTAAATTACGATTCTTTCGTGATGGACCAAGAATCTGTTGACCACTATGATGAATAAGAAATTAAAATAGAAATTAAAGTGAAAAATGTAAACACACATTCATACCTTGTTTCTGAGCCTCCTGCATAGAATGTTTGTCCTTCCTCATCACTACTGTCATCATTTTCTTTATTTCTGTCAGTAATGCCAGCTATTGTACCAAATCTTGCCTTGCTACATAGAAGAAAAATAGATAATACATTCTCAATAATTTTGATGAGACATCTCGATGGTGCATAGAACAAGATTGTATAAAATGTTATGAAAGACAATTTTGAATATGATTATAATGCATTTCATGTATAAATATGATGAAGTCATGATTCTCACAAATAGTCATGAATCATCTCATCACAAACAATCACAACACAATATCAATACAAAATGATGATTTTCTTGATCCTCTAAAAATAAAATCAAAACAATATTACCTTTTCGAAGGAGGCGCTCTCTCCGGAGACTTCGAATGCATCTCTTTTTGTTCATATTGACTTCCAAACAAATCCTCCATGCTTTCTTCGTTGTCGTTGTCGTAAAATGTGCTCAACGCAAACTAAGAACATTTAAACCTAATTAAATGCACCATTTGGCAATTCAACTCCTAAAGCTCACCAGAAAGACATGAAAATGTCAATGCACTATTAATGTAAGGACAGAAATCAAGACACTCGTGCAAGGTGAAAGACTAAAAGACAGTCCAACACACTATTTATGGCAAAACGATAACATAAAATGTTTCATGAAAATCTACTTGCCTGGATATTCCATCCAGATGCCTCAAGATAATGTCTACTTCTTTCTTCACCGGATCCCGTCACTGATGTGAACTCATTTATCAACGCATTTTGATCAACTTCGTCCGCCATCTTTGTGGTTCCGAAGACATGCGAGGAGTCTGGCACTAGTCGACGTCATTTACAATGTTCACAATGAATGATAAGGATAAGGACGTCGAAGAAAGACAGATTTGTCATTGCAACTAATGGCAAGCAAACAGCAGCTGTACGTAACACTCACTTCCCCTTAAAGAAACAAAGTTATTTCAAAACCGTTCATGAGAAGCATTTGCAAGACAACATTTTAAAACATTGTCCACCGCATAAGACGACAGTTGAGGTAAGGTTACGTAGAACAAATTAAATTTATGATTTTCTCGAACTTTTTAGGAAAGAAAAGGCTATGGAGTTCGTCACATACCTAAATCCTCAGTGTATAGATGATTTTTTCCTAACAAAATACTTTAATTTCGGGTAGTTTATTGCATTGCTGGTGTTATCAGGACTAGGCATGTATGATACAGACTTGACCTCCAAAAATTAAAATTTGGAAGGTGACCTAACGTGTTATCTAGTAAATAAACAATGATTCTAAAGAAGCAAAAGTAAGCCTCAAGGCAAAGGTGAACAACGTAGATTGACTTCGCGCAAAATATCGTAATCAATTAAAGGCCTTTCTCTGCCGTGAGAGACTTTCCTAAATCACACATCTGTTGCCCGCAAATATTCGAATATTGATGAATAACCAAATGAAATAGATAAGTCGTGGAGTTCGGATAAACATGAAATTATGGCGTGAAAATTAGTTCAAGAATAAAAAAAATTAAATTTTTGCCGGTAAAACTAGTGAATAACAATATACTAAAATTTAATTTACTAGAAACGAGACATATCCCTCGCTATATAGTCGTGAAATGTTGTTTTTTTTCACAGTCATGTCATCGCGTTAAAAATTGCAAGGAAAAATAATGATTTTATGGAAGTATCACAGCATGTATCCGTCCTTGTTGTAGAAAAACAAGAAGACCTTTTAACCTGGAATGTATTTACCTAATTACAAATTCTTCATCCAATATTTCAGAATATCAACGATCTTTCATTCACAATGACCACTTTAAAATGATTGAGAGTATAATATGCATTGAGCGCATATGAAGTTTGCATTTTACGAACAATAGATAAAGCTAGGATGTACTTATGTAATATCGCCTTTATGCTCATGACATGGAAATGGAAGAATAAATTAAATTAAATCACCCCGGGATATGGCATAAGCTCAATTACTTTATCATGAAAGATGAAAATCCTAATCACAAATTATTTTATACATCTAGAAAAAAGACGTATATTTATGAAGTATGAGATCTTGTAAGAGTGCTTAAAAAAAAATGTAAAATTTTCTAAAACTCTTGAGATACTTCAAATGCCATTTAGTAATTTTCTGTTGTCAAATTAACAACAGCTGATGAGTAGCGTTAAAGACAGCTAGTCATGAAAGCTCTATCAAAAATTAACATGCAAATGTTGGTAAAAATGATGTTTTTAAGTAATTAAAAGCTAAAATCATATAACAAAAAATCAAAGCAACATTTTACGAGTTCATTTGTTCTGTGGTACATTACACGCGTCGTCGTGGTTATGTAGACCACCAATGACACATCATAACGAACACACCACCTGTACGCAGGTTTTATTTGAGAAGCTTTATTATTAAGCTCTATATCGATGATCAATCATTTCAACTTCAAATGCATAAAGTTATTCATTATCGCAAAGAAAACGAACGACGGTCCAATGTTGTAAAACTCTCGTTTCAGTGGTCGCACGACCTGAATATAACACATTCATGTAGCATTTTTTTTTCATGCAAGGTAAATATTCTCAAAATCTCAGAATGGAAAGCTTTTCTTAAAACTATGTTGACTGTATTGAATGGCTAAATCCCATTGTCATTTTAGACGGTGGGTAGCAAACACTAAAGTCAAAATTCGTGTCTCTCTGATCTGAATGATTTCTATGTTTAGACATATGAGCGGAACGTTAAAAATGATCCTGTCTTTACCGATAGTACTATTGGCTGTGGTCCTGAATTTTAAACTTACTCAAGCTATTACAACGAAACACTGCAAACCAAACGATCTTAAAAGTACAGGTATGACGTCACATATAGAGAATGTATGTGTGTGTTTTATAAAAAACATCAATCAACTGTAGGACACATTTATCTCATAATCTTTGTTGCATTGAAAAGTTTGCGTGACTGTAATGTTTGTCATTTGTCAAAAACATGCTAAGGATTCTCAGGAATATTCATGGATGTCGACGTTGATATAAAACGTCTGTTTAAAACTGCGACAGAATTATTTCAATTTACAGTTTTTACCCATTAAATCATGATGTGTATAATTTGGAGAACACGATTAGTTTTGTCGTTAGCTGCATATACATCATTGTAAATTTTATCGATGATAAGCTAATATATGTCTCAAAGATAAATCCTTTGATAACAAGAAGCAGATAAAACTGATTTCATGCAAAGCTTGGTATGAAATTTCATGCAGCGATGGTTTTGACTCAAATTATAAAAGAGAAAATGTAAATCCTTAATCATTCTGTTTCCTTAATATCGTGAAATTATTTCCCTTGGAATTTAAAGTAGCCAAAAATTCATTAAAAATATTTTTGTGCCATTAGACCATAACAGTGAAAATAAGTCATTAGTTTTTTCAAACCCACGCATTCGACATTCAAAATTTTCCACCAAAACTTTGGGGAGTAGCGCATGATAATTTGCTATTATGCCCACACTAAGTTTCGCATCTTGACCTGATGAATGGAGAGAAAAAAAGGGAGGGATGTTTAATAACAAACATATGGAACCGCAGTATAATGTTCTGATAAAATTTGAACCTTGTCATTATGTTTGGTGATTTGAATTCTAATGAAGATTCAAACCACCAACGTAACGTCTCTTGTTGACAAAATTTAATGTTAGATACATGTTTATCGACGATATATTATCAACCAACTAACATGACGTTTCCATTGACAGACACTGAAAACTGAAGGCTCGGAACCCCCACTACAGTAGCTACGTTCCTGACCACGCAACTACTCATAACAATGCTAAAAGTTAATTTAGGTGTCTGCTGACTCATGATGGGAGATAAAAACATACTATATCCTTATGAAGAAGTCACATAAGATATAAACTAAAATATTGTTAACTGAGTAGTAGAAATACAAAATACAAATTAGGGTTAATTTCGTAAATCATGCGTAATGGCAATTTAAATATCTGATGGTTCTTATTACCTTTTTATGTTGCTTTTGAACGATTGACATTGACAAAACTAAATTTCCAAGATATGTTCACATGTAGCCCCCAAACTATACAGCAATTGAAATCTATAAGAGAATATTACAGAAAATGATGACTACATAAGAAATATTTATTTGTATTATAAAACAAATAAACAAGTTCATTAATTAAACAAAAATACATACAATTAACCATCATTAGAAAACAAATTTCAGCAGGAATGCTTTCCAGAACTCCTTCTTCTTGTAACAGCATCAATTATGTTTAAGATGAACTTCATTTGTTACATGTTTACATAAGGAAGAAACAAATGGCCGAAAACGTAACGAAAACCTTTATAATTGTAGATTTTAGTCAATGCGGTGTAAAAATCGTTAAAGGACGATCCAGAGTTCGAAGGGTTATAGGTGGAAAAGAAACAAAAGAAAATGACTGGCCTTGGATGGTGATGATTATGAATGATACAAATTTATATTGTGGTGGTTCCATCATTAGTCCTACATCCATACTTACGGCGGCCCACTGTGTAGATGAGATAAAGAAAAAAAATTTGATATTCTATGTTGGTAAACACAAGGTCAAAGGTATTGATAAATATGAGCAAAAACTTATGGCAAAACATATCAAAATACACGAGAAATACAAAAGAGGTAATGAGACAAGTCCTGGCCAGTACGATATAGCGATTGTCCAATTGAAGGACACCATTCAATTTAACGAACACGTACGACCAGTCTGTTTAACAACGAAGGAGCAGTTTGCAGTAGGACATCAATGTATACTTACAGGTTGGGGTATCACCAACAAAAATAAAACATCTAATGTATTAAGAGAAGTGACACTACCTTTGGTTTCAAATAAGGTAATGGAGAGTTTAGTCAGTAAATTATTGGCATCACAAACTAGTTGACTGCAAATCAAATTCTGGTTTTACCTGTTGTCGATTAATGGATAATTAAATTCTATTCTATTAGATTTGCAACAGCAATAAAAGTTATGGCGGTGTCATCCCCCCGCATTATTTATGCGCGGGTTTACCCCAGGGTGGTAAGGATGGTTGTAACTACGACAGTGGTGGACCTCTGATGTGCGCCAACGATGAAACTGACCAGTGGTATCAGGTTGGCGTCATGATTTGGGGACAAGGCTGCGCCTTGGAAAACAAATACGGAGTTTATGCTAGTGTCTCATCAGCAAACGATACAATAGAAAAATATGTCAAAGGTAAAAGAATTGAAACTACGTGCTCTGATAAAGATTGGCAAGTATCAAATTGGTCATATTTTGCTTTTAAAATATTATTTGGACTTTTTTGGAAAACATAACTGTTGTATAGAGTATTTTGAATGTGAAATTTTTATTTGCGAAACTGCCCAAGATGAAGACAAATGAAAGTAGGAAGGTGTCAACGCATTTGTTTTGCAAGTTGTTCTTCTTTTTAGATCTTCCTAAATCAAACAAACGCAAAGATTGTTCAACATATTCAAACGAGAACGAAATGATGAACGAAGACAAAACTAAAGAAGGAATTCTTATTTCCATCATTGTAATATTGTCTGTGATTGTCATAATACTATTGACGACATTATGTGCCATAAATTTCCACACACGTAGATATCTATGTTGTACAGTGGCTGGGACAAACACGTCTAAACAATATGTACAGACTAGAAACTCGCATGACCAAAACGACAAATTACACAGTGAAATTAGCGTCTGATCGATAGTTTAGTAGGGGGAAAACTATTTTAGCTGTACAATGAATGTATGAAGAATTATAACTAAATAATGTAAATGTAGATCATCTTGTATTTATAGCGAGAGAAAATGTAAATAGAAATAAAAAAATAAGAGTAAGTATATTATTGAGCATAGATAATGAGGTATAATGGTCGTATTTCATAATTTTAATTGTGTTCTAATGGATTTATTATAAAAGGATTTACCACAATATTCTGACTAAACCACACACTCCATGTAATTGAACTCTGTGTAATTCAATCAAATTAAACGATAGTTAGAAAAATTTGAACATTTAACCAACTAACGTACAAAATGAAAAAATATGTAAGGAAGTGTAATATTGCCACACCTGATTAAAGTAAACCTTCTTCAATTCAATTAAATATTTATTAATTTACAAAACACCGCTACCTAATTAATAAATATACATTGGCACTACTCGTTCTATGGAAACAGCTAGATTTGATGACTGACTTCAAGTAAATATGGAAAAATCCTTAAAAAGAATGCAAATACTGAAGAATATAAAACATATCAATGATGGCAATCCTAGATTTTCAAGGAAAAAATGTCAAGATTTATAATCAAGGAAAATAAATACCAAGAAATTGTGAAATAAATCAAATATGTTTTATAAGAGATATGATTGTATCAATTACTCAAGACTATTGGATCGTCGAGGATTTCTCAAAAAATCTCCAAGTCCTTCTGTTTTAACAGTGGTTATGATTTCTTCAATGTTTATTTGTTCTTCAAAATACTCAACCAACAATGGTTCCGTGTGAATCGAAGCAAAAAACTGTTTAAACGTGATGCACCAATAAGGATCAACGTTACCTGACGATCGTCTTCGCATCGAGTTACTTCGTGAACGGTGAGAAACATTTTCCACACAACCTTTTCCAAAATCATCTCTTTTAAGGAATCTAGCGTTGAATTTTCACAAGAAGTGATGTTATGGGATGTATCCGTGTTTGTTTGTGAAAAATTCAATATTTTTGAGGAAAGATCTGAAGTGGTTTGTGATTCAGACTCATCAGCTAAAGCAATAATATCAGAACCACTGAAGTGACCTTCATCATTTCCAATTGGAATACGTTCCACGTTCATCGTATCATTGTCGTGAATAGTCGTAACAATGTCGGTAGCTGCATCAGCCAATGCTTTGCACACTCTTTGCTGATGAATATCATCTTCTGAAGACAGGTTTTCATTGCAAAAATATTCTTCCTTTTCACGGGCAGGACCTTTGGAGTTTTGCACTTTGTCTTGATCATCAAGAGACAATTTTGATATATCCTCTGAAACACATGGACGTTGATTTGATGTCAATTCAACTGATTTTTCCGATGAGATTTCTCCTAAATTTAGAAGTAAAGTTCCTACAGAAGCAATTGCTCTGTACATATCTTGTTCATTAGGTAGGTCTCGAAACAACGAATACAAAGTCTTCCACATATGAATAAACTGTTTCTGAAATATAAAAACAGTTTTATAATTGGATTGGAATTGAGAGTCAAAGATCACAATTCCCATTCACATAATGAATTAGTAAAAAATATTCATTTAAATACTATAATATCAACTCTTTTTTTCTCAAAGTCATTAATGTTTCTTATTCAATACTTTTAATCAATATAAAATTAACGTTTGTTAACTCACTTGGTTCATTGCTTTCTCTTCGTCAACATCATCTTTAGACATTATTTCACATTCATCTCCAAAACTAGATGTTGATCCTTCGACAACATTATATACACCTGTTGAACCCTTACACACATCATCATTAATGGAAAAGTCTTTTCCTGACTCAAGATTTAAATTTTTCATTTCGGAATGAATCGTATGATCCTCGTGTGTTGGTTTCGTATGATTAGGAAATGACGAATCAAAATCCTTGGTATTGGCGCCATCCATAGAAGTTTCGGAATCATGCGTTAAAATGTCTTCAAAATTTTTGGAAATTTCCCAAAACTTTTTGGAGTTTTTTAATTCAGATGAATCATTAACCGAGTCCCCCACGACTGATTCAGATGATTTTACTTTGGATTTAAATGAATAGTAGTGAGATGAAGATTCATCGTCAATGCTGTTGTATTGTTTACTTTCCTTACCGTCAATAACGACAACACCTGCTCCCAATGGATCCATTAAAATATCACCAGTACTGTTATTAATCCCATCATATTCACATACGTCATCAGATTCATCGACTTCAGTACAGCTATCCAATTCTTCGTCCTCCTCCTTTGTGTTGCTAATGTCCAGTTCATAAAGCGGTAGTGCAGGTGGAAGATGAAGAAGAAACATGAGATTGAGACGCTCCTGAAGGTTACCACGACAAATCAATCCAAGAGTTGTAGCAAATTCTCTAAAGTTTATCACACCATCTTCATCTCTGTCCATAAGCTGAAAAGGAACATTGATGTTTACTATACTTATGTGAATACTATCCTTTATTAGCCTTTATCATCAATTAACATACATTATCACAAGACATTGATTAAAAAAGATGGGGCTACTACAAGCTACCAAAGTTAAATAAAATATTTGTAGTGGATCAAAAAATGTTATCCCTAGAGATCTACTGATCATTATCTGTCATTCATGTCATCCCTAGAGATCCATTGATCATTATCTATTACTCATCAAAGGAAAAAATCAATCTGTTTTATTTCTTCTTCATAAAACTTAGTTACTTACTCTGAAAGCTCTAACAGACAAATTATTTCCAGCTTCAGTACGTCCCCACTTAGTGAGACATTTAAATAAAATTTTAAACTGGTCATATTCAATACGCTGTAGTTTACTGGAATCGATTTCAAATTTTGGCTCTGTTTTATCACCCCATGAACGACTTTGAAGTTGACCATCCTATTGTTAAGAAAAACATAAATTATGACAAAATAGCATTATCACTCTTCACTTTATATTACCCTGTTCAGCAAATGCACACTATATTATTTTACATGAACTGTATCTGCAATCATTAGCTACCAGCGGTAAAGTAGCAGTGATTTACATGATCAGCATGAGTAATGTCAGAAACCAAGATCGAACTATTGCAAACGTGAAATATATTTAGACATAATTTTTTTCTAATATACACAACGTTACAGCAGCATCATTACTTCAACCTTCAAACTCGACGATAAAACATTAAAATGAAATCAAATAAATAAAAACATACTGTACCTTAAAAGACGATAGACTAGATCCAATTCATTCACGGTAAATTTTGATACTTCAGAAACATTACGAACCACTGTTTTACGCACGTTATCTTCCATTCCCTAAATAATTAAATTTTCCTCTTATTAATTATTAATAATAAACGGTCTTTTTAATCCAAAATTAGTGATAGAGATACATCATTAGTGGAATTATGGTCTATGTGTGCGGATGATAAAAGGATTCCTGTGGATAAGTACGGTTGTTGGAATACCAATTTTGAGAGGTATTCTACAGAGGAGTGTGCGTAGTGGATGATTAAGTATAGGTAATGGAGTACTAATTTTGTGAGGAGGTGTGTGTGTCGTGGAGAAAGAGCAAGAGAAATGTGTACCTAAGTACTATACGATGTACATCACCCAAACATCACGACACAAACCTGAACAACTTAATGTGTACCTAAGTGCTGTATGATGTACATCACCCAAACATCACGACACAAACCTGAACAACTTAATGTGTACCTAAGTACTATACGATGTACATCACCCAAACATCACGACACAAACCTGAACAACTTTAAGTCTTTGTGTGTTACGTAAGCGTTCAATTTGTTCTGAAGTAATGAACCCAAACTTTTGATATGACTCCAAAATAAGCTGTGAAACATCCATTGAATAGTTCTAAAAATATATCATAGTTAGAATCACACTCCCAACAACATTTTCTTATGTATTTACACAAGTTCTATGACATTTTACGACGAACCCCAGGGGATGGTCCAGAGTTTCTTATGGATGATGCAACAGATTTAAAAGGTGAATCATATTCCTTGTTCGTAATATTGTCAAGAAAATTCGAGAGAATCGTCATAGCTTCACCATCATCGTCTGTGGAAAGCAGTTTCGTTCTGTTTGCATCCAGAATAGCTAATGCCACTTGAAATATTACCTGCAGTGAAAACAAAAGGTATGTAGTCAAACAAAAATATCTAATTGATTACTTTTCCCATTTCCTCATCAAATAAAAACTTATATCATTAGAACATAAAGTCTAACAAATTACCTTTGCTCCATCATAAAAAAAACAATCAACAACATTGACAGCACTAGCAAAGGGAATGACACTAGACAAAGAACACCGGTTCAAATGTAAAAATTCTGTAAAAGCACGTAAACATTATAGTCGCTCTAAGAGTAAGAACAAGAAAAATTTCATCATTTTCTACTAAGAGTAATTAAATTTATTGAGCATTAAAATGTCACCTTAAAAACAGAGTGAGAAACCACGAGAGTGAAATCATATGAAGAATACCAAGTTCACGTAAATGATCGTAAAGTTCAGAAATATTTTCACGAATAAGTTCCTCAAAAACACCTAAATTTAAAATGAAACATAACATCAAAGGAATTCTTTGCCAAAATTGTACACTTAGCAAGACCATAGAACGATTTTCTAACAAAAGGGAATCAGATGAAGTTGGTTGAAAATATTACACGACAAATGTTCATACGTCATCAACTAAATCAGTATACATACCTTGGTCAACTAAGGCTCCTACAACCTTGGTATTATAATAATCCGGCAGTAATCTCTCACAAACTGCAACTAATAACCAGAAGGCTTCTTCTTCGTTACAATAAAGCAACAATACAGAGGCAACAATATTCATTGCTTGACAATATCCTAAAGTAGTTCATAATAAATAGCAATGTAAAATAAATGTCAAACCAATCGAATCTTTCCACATTAGAGAATTAAAACTACAATCACACGATTTTATCAATGTTTGACAGTTCTAAAAAGTACGTCACACAAACAAATCCAGACTACTTTTCATGAAAACAGACAACATGACTAACCTATTGTTGGATTTCTCCATGCATAAGCCGTTAAAACTCGACGTAAAGCATTGATTCCAAGATTAGACTGGAAAGCAGGATGCTCAGGAAGAGATCTTCAAACAAATAAGAAAAAGATTATACATACAATGTTAGTGGGATACTTCATTTAAACATTACATAAAACCTGTGTAAGTCTCTCTCAATTTCCTCGCTAGCTATTGTCAGCTGACCAGAACTTTCATCGATCAAAGACTGATAATAACCTGGATGGCTCACAATCTGCACAAAAAAATTATACAATCTTATTTACAGCTGTAATAAATGTAAAAAGCAATTAATGGAGTTAAAGTTTTACATGCTTCACATCAATTAATACCATATGTATAATATGATAGAGACTTTCTTCAATAAATATTCTTACATGCAATTGCTCCGTGTTGTACGGTACATTATGAATCACATAAACTTGTTGAAGTAAAACTGATAAACAATAAAATATAAAGTGTGCGAAACGAGGGTTACATTTGCATGTAGAATATTTATCTACCTCTGTCACAGCGCCTGAGAATATTAACCAGATTTCCGCGCGTAAACTGTCCGGAATTCCCTTCAATACCAGTTCGTGGGTTTTAACAGTTCTATACATACACACACCTCTATAGAAAAAAACAAAACAAAAAAACACCCAGCTTTATGAAGGATCAGTGACAAGTTATTTCAGTAAGTTTGTTCAAAACTACTGCATGATGCACCTTCCAAATTCAGCAAAATGTAAATCCCAAAGATGTTCTTTAACAGGTTCTTTGACATTTACTTGACTTGAACAACGATGTGAGAACATTTTGGTGAGTGGTGATTGTATTTTTGTCTTTGGATTTGCAGCACTGTTCCTGTACGATGTGGAGAGATTTATGAAATGAAAAAACTACTCTGACAATGTCAAAAGTGGATACTTCAAGAATAATTGCATATTTATATTCTTTAACTCTTACTTTGGAGTGGGAATACGAGCAAGAAAATCAGAGATCCTTCTAACAAGATAATCACAATCTTTGAAAGTTGCAAACGACGCAAATAAAAATGATGCCTAAGAATGAGAAAAAAGTATTTTTATAATTTTCATAAAGCACCACAGGTAGTAGTGTAAAGATTGTTCTCGTTCTCTGTTGTTCATTCATCACTACTTACACTGACACACGTTATCTTAGTTTATATTTTAGTTAGTGTAAAGATTGTTCTTGTTCTCTGTTGTTCATTCATCACAACCTACATTGACACACGTTATCTTAGTGTATATTTTAGGTAGTGTAAAGACTGCTCTTGTTCTCTGTTGTTCATTCATCACTACCTACATTGACACACGTTATCTTAGTTTATATTTTAGGTGTGTAAAGACTGTTCTTGTTCTCTGTTGTTCATTTATCACTACCTACACTGACACACGTTATCTCAGTTTATATATTAGGAAGTGTAAAAACTGTTCTTGTTCTTTGTTGTTCATTCATCACTACCTACATTGACACACGTTATCTAAGTTTATATTTTAGGTAGTGTAAAGATTGTTCTTGTTCTTTGTTGTTCATTCATCACTACCTACACTGACATATGTTATCTTAATGTATATTTATCTATTGCTGCCGCACTACTTAAATAATGCTATCCATACTTTGGACTTTGTAGTAATGTGCATGGCGTTAGGTAACGAATGACTGTTTGCTTTCTCTACGACATTGATCTCACGCATTGGAATGACAACAGAGACCAAATGACGGACCTAGAAAGAAGAAAGCATGAGAGAATGTAAACTTAGCTACAACAGTGTAATGTATTCAAGGCAGATCTAACGTGTATTTAATGTTTATATTCAAGGTACGTAGCAATAACAGTATACCTTACTAGCGAAACAAATGAAATTCGATGAGCAATACAAATTTCCCCAGACAGTCGACTTGGAATGAGGACTCCAAATGGTACATTCACAATCACCGTCCAGTTTTTCGTCGCTCGGTAGACGAAAAAGAATTCTTAAAGAAAGATGCTTAACATGAGATGAGATGATTACAAGGTGAATTTTAGAAACACACAACTAAAACTACACATGATTTCTAAGTTTCTCAGAAAAGAGAAACATTTCATAATCTCGTGAAATCGTGTTGTAACGAAAGTCAATGACGTCATTAAATACGTCATTAGATGCATCTTACATGACGATACGAATGACGTTGACGACGACTATAAAAATTCCTTTACCGATAATGTTCACTCCTTGCTCTCGCATCTAAATCTCTCTTTAACATAGATACTGATTTCTTTCGTCGTTTTTTCTGCTCTCTTCAGCGCGAAAGCAACGAGAAAAGTAGGTTTAATTGAAATATTCATAGAATTTTGTGGAAATGAAATTGACATGGAACAATTTGATTACCAACGAAGAGTCTTACTTGGTACTGGGCAGTGACATCATTGACTCTATATCATATCCTTTCTCTGCTAGCAACCTATGACAGAAAAAAAGTACATCATATGGTATTTAGTCTTCCCTGAAATAAAATACAGTATCTACGTACATACTGTATCTCACTTTCTCCCATTTCCACTAAAATTTTTCTTACCTTCTCATTGCAATGTTTGCAAGCTGTTCCATCAAAGAAAATGTTTCTGACAAATGCATCAATAATGTAAAGTAATGCTGAAATATACAGAACACATCAATGATGACATAAAAATAAGAAGAAACAAACACAGAAATGGCATAAATATTCAATACATTTTCAAGTTGACAATGTTGAAGTTAAAATTGAAAAAATCTTTTATCAATCATTTCTTCTCTCCATTGCCACGGCAACAATCACAAAACAACATGAAACTTAATTGACAAAAACATTTGTGAATCATAGAGACTTTTTTATCAAGTCATGGAGTAAAATTTCATTTTCAACATATTCTCTAATTTTGATGAAAAATTCTTTTAAATACAAATAGAAGGATTGACGACACATACTTGAGAAGAACGCATTGAAACTTTAATACCATCAGGTAAGAGAACAGTGTTCATTTTTTCTAATTTCTATAAAAAACCCACAGCATTTGCATTGTGCAAGACTGCTACTAAAGCAACTCAGTCAACAGAAAAATAATGACTTACAGTCACATCAGTCCAGCGAATAACAAGTCTTGCTTCACGTCCCATAAGGAAAGAATAAAAACATAAATGATTTATAGATAGATACATCCAACCTTGACGAGGAACAACACCTTTCCAATAGCTGCATGAGTAATCTGAAAAATGTAATATGAACATACAAACCGAAATTAGATGTGTTAGCATAAGAATTGCTTTCAGTTAACATGTGTAACTATTGATTCACATACAATTAACTAGTTTCTCCTCTTGGTTCATATGAAATAATCTTTGGAATTTTGCAAATGCTGACTGAAACTTTGCTGACTCGGTGTTTCTACAATAACATATTACAATTATCTTTATCATGACAATCATATTACTTACTCTACATAGAGATATTGATATTGTGTTATTTCAATACATACTTCAAGTGCAACTCAGTCACATTAAGTACCTTTGGGTCCATTCTTTGCTTCATTTTGAGCTACTAAGCTTTCGATCTTTGCCTTCACAAACTCTTTAGCATCATTGTCATTATCAAAGGATTCTTAAAATTTAATGCTCAAACAATCAGTAAAAATTTGATTTTTTAATAAAATTAAAAAAATTGAATTCATATATGCTACCCAAAGTTGGAAGCAAATGTTTCTCAAGCCATTTCCAATCATCATCCATATCTTTACGTTTTGTTGCAGTTGCAACCACTAAACATATGAAAAAGGGGAACTTTGAGAATGCTACTTTGGGATTGCATGAAAATCATGAAATAACAATGTCAATTTACCATAGTTAGCCTCAGATGAAAATCTTGCTTGCAATATAATTCTAAATGGTGGAGGCTGAAATACAAACACAGACTTTTTAACATCTCCTACATTACTATATTACTCTTAACAACATAATAGAATATTGAGGATTTTTAAAACTCATTACAGGACACTAGTAAAATATATAGTCTATTTTAACTTTGGTCTTAAGATATCAAAGAAGCAGAACATATGAACTGAAGAATTTTTTATCAGTAAACACACCCTGATGACATTTCTAGTTTCTCACATTTAAGGTATGAGTAAATTTGTTAATGCCATAATTTACTGTTTCTAGGGGGGGAGTCTGATGGGTGAGGAACGTTTAAAATTTCACTAAAGATCAAAACAAACCTTTGAATCCAAAACATGGTCAAAAGTACCAACTAACAACGAAGTAAATCCTCTATCTTGATGTCCTTTTCTTCTTTGATACCCAAAATATGGGTTTGCTCTTTCTGTTGTCCTTTTAATTACATAAATATTACAAAAACTTGTGACAAACGTAAACACAAAGATTTTAAAATTTTCAAACATACTAACCACAACGCATTGGCAAGTACAACTTCTGTGGGTTTAATCCACATTATACAAAAAACTATATTTATTAAGATATTAATCTAAACAGCGTAAGCTGTCTGTAAAATTCATTATGAAACAAAGTTATTTCTTTGTATTTACTATTATGAGGCTTGTTTGGCTTGTCTGCGCATGTGCATACGTAGCGAGATATAAACGTGACGTGTATTTAATAACTCACGAAAGGACAGTTTATGAGAGTGTAACAGATGTTTAGTTAAACATTCTGAATGAAAGTTACGTTCTTTTCAATACCTCGGGCATCTCGATAAGTCTCGTTAAACCAAAGATATCCACGCTACTTAGGAATAATAAGCTATTCAAATGCAAAATAAGTTTTACAATCAACGATGAAAATTTTCGCAACGTTTCTCGCAAAACTTGAAAAATTTATGGAAGAGTTGCCTTGACATTCTTTGGAATTACAAACACAAAATGTTTAAATAAATTGATCGAGGAATAAAGCAAACTCAAATTTGGCATCACACGTTTGTAAAAGTTACACAAATACATAAAACATTAGAGACCTATAAAATAAATGTTATCAAAACACTATATTGACAAAGTTTACAATTTATTTACATGAACGTGAAAATACCTAAACCAGTACTTTGGCAAAATTAAAATGTATCAAAAAGTATTTACGAATATGAATAGAGATGGATTTATGAATAACAATAACTAAAGAGGTTAAACTTTTACTGCGTATATATCAAAGTACTACATGTTGTGTAATATTGAAGTAAATAGCGACATGTGTAACATGAAGTATTGAGCATCAGACTACATTTTCGTACATTTGCAATGAGTCCTGTAACTTTTTCACGATCTAAAAACAAAAATACATATCATTGGTTAACTCTAGTAGTCATGAGTCCAGCTAAGTACACATCAAACAAACCACATCTTCATTTAGTAACTACAAAATTAAAACAAAAGATAAAGATAAAATGTATGTGCGAACCTACCCCTTGATAGAACTGAATTTCTTGACGTAAGAATTGTTGCATCATATTTTTATAGTCAGCAATTCGTTGCTGATGAAACAGATCTATTTCCGCTGTAAGATACACAACAAGATAGTTATGAATTCAAAAGGTAAACAATGCATTTATTGATGGTATACTTACAAAACATAACGTTTGTAATGACATTAGCTCGATTTGACACTTCATCTAGTATTGCCTACATATAAAGTTCACATATTTTGGTTATAAATATTGACAGTTCAAGTTGCAGCGTCAAAAAAATTATGAGATTTGCTAACTACCCCATCGCTATCCGGTTCATTTTGTTTTTTTTCACAATCTTTCACTTTTTCAACGGTGGACTAGGTAAAAATTCCATAATTTACATAATGAGTAATGATTTTATCTGTTTTTAAGGACATTGATTAATTTTTTTTCAAACCTTTGTTAATTTACCTTGTGAACATGAATTAATTCTGGAAACGTGGATAAAATTCCTGAATATTCGTGAAGATCCTCCATGAAAGGAATAAAATCCACTTGAGGCTACATGGGAAGACATTTAAAATATTTCAGTAAGTTTGTAAGTTAAACTTATGAAAGAGCTGTGTTACCATCAGCTTTACTTGAACAACTCAGATTTGAAAGTAGTTCAAAACAATGTACAGTGATTATTATAAAGTATTATACATTCATTGATGGTTGATTCGCTTTAAATAGTGTATATAAATATTGAGTAGAACACATAGGAAGAGTACAAAAGTTAACAACATAGCTACATAATAACATTTAATTTATGTTATTAATTACTTCTAGCGACAAGCCAGTCAATTTTCACTCCTGTTATGCAAACATTGTTTAATTAATTCACTGGTTTAATCAAGAACCAATTGATTTTCTAAAGAAATGACTTCTTTGGTGTGTAAGTAAATTTATAACGTATACATTGAGGCAGCGATCTCTTGCAAAAGTTATTAATAAAATAATATTTATAACAAAGTTTCATAAAACAAACCTGCCCAGATTGCAAAACTACCTCAAAATAAAAAATTATCGTTTACCTGTTCATTATATAAATCTCCAATTTCATCAAATGTTCGTCCAGTGTGAGCAATCGCGTCAGTTAAAGGATGACGATCTTATAAATAAAAAAGTGTTATTATAACACAAGGAAATGATTTCACAAAACATCAGATAAAATTTATAATTTAAAATACATACTTGAGCTTCCATGTTGTTCAAATACTGAACTAAGATTTGTGAACGACGAACCAAACTTTTTAAAAGAGCTCTGGAAAACTGCAACAAGAGATTAAATATGTGATAAGTTAACATAAATTTGTCACGATTTGAGTTGCACAAAAAGCTGCAATGAATAAAATTAGAAACTTTCTCTTTCTCTATGAAATGGCATGTGATGAAATTCAATAACAAAACATCGGCCTATTTTAAAAATTGCATCTTTAAGTACATAGAACTACATAAAAAGGAAAATGACGACTCAAGTTTGGTGGGTTTAAGTTCGGCAGCTACTATATAACTATCATTGTCATACCTCCTGTATACTTGACAGAAAGAGACTCGAATCTTTCAAGAAATCTATGGACGCTTTGTTCCATTGACTTTACGAACAGCGAAAATTCTTCAATTTTCACATCTCTAAAATGAAAATTTAACTCAACTAACTATTCTCAACAAAAGAACTAAATCACAACTTAATTCTATGTATTTTACTTCAGATGATGTCATTGTACTCACGCTTCGTCTATATTTGTATTTGTTCTAGGACAGCGAACTGTAAGAAAGAATGCAGCGCCACATAACTTGTCGTTCTCGGCTTTTCGTTTACCAGCTTTCCATAACTAGAAAAAAAACACAGAAACAATAGATAAACATTGTTTATTCTTTGTCAATTAAGAGCCGGCTAAGCAAAAAATGCATGTAAAAGAATAGTGAATTCATCCTTCCCTATTTGTGAGAATAGAAGGGGAATAAGCAGTACGACTCGTATCTAATGGTCAATTGGGTGAACTTGCACTGATTTCAGAGTAACCTTTATCACAAAGTCACATGCTATGAGAGATATCACTTGAGCATGCGCAGACCACTTGATCAATTGTTTTGAGTTCATAATTATGCATGACCAACTAGACAAAAATGCGCAGAGCTTTCAAAATAAATAGCTAGTTTAGTCGAAAATTTTTAAAGAAATCATCTATGCATGCGAGATAACAAGTAGAATCACACCACAATTCTCTCATAACTCTCAAATAGCAGCCGGTGGAAAGTTTACAATATCCATTATAAAATAAACACAATGAAACGCGTGCACTGATTGGTCTAGAGCTGAGTTTGCATTAGCCTGTGCAAAACACATCTGAGCTCAACCAATCAAATCAATCTAAACAATCAATCAGTCAAAGAGAATTTATAAATCGATCATGAACACATCTCAGAGGAAAAATTAAAATGTTTGTCTGTTTCACATTATTGTTATTTTATAAAAGAAATAAAAAATGTTTTTCACACTAAACATCTTTTATTTCTTAAATGGCCAATGTCAATTTTTACCACACAAAAGTTTCTTTGAAATTTTACTTTGAGAAAAATACCCTAACCTTTAGAAGTTTCCTAAAAATCAAAATCACCTTTTCATCGTCTTTGCATAAAAGAAAATGCTGGAAAACTTCGCTGTTTGAGATCAGAGGATGACGACATAAACGGTTTAACCATTTTTCCAATCTTTCACGGCGTTTCTCGACGAAGTCCTCGGCATATTTTCCTAAACCCAGACACGCAATAAGTAAGACTTTTCATAGCAGTAAAAAATAGTTCGTAATCTCTGACCTGTAATTTGCTTCTCAGGTATTCGAGGAATTGACAAACACGTGAATTTCTCCACCAATCTATCGTAGAGCCAATCAAAATGCTTGAATCGACGACTTACAGCAACATTTGTACTCTGAAAAATACAAGGAAACATTACTTTCTGAAAACGACTTCAATTAGAAATGATCCACAAGGTTGAAAATTCAAATCATAAAAAACTTTCCATAAGTGAAGGATCTTTAAAAACAGTTTATGAGAGACTGTGTAGGAATGCAGACTTACAGATGGAGTGACGTTGTATGCAATAAAATGCTTCATTCCTTTAAATTTACTTTTCTTCTCTGGTTGAGTGACAAGACAAGTGAATGGATCTTGTATTGCCTCCCATCGCACACCTTCACTGGTTTCCTGGTCAAAGAACAATAGAGTACTTAGATGAAGAAAATACATACAATCATCATACATATGACGGTTAAGATAAAATTCTTAAGTCGTTAATTTTTGTTAGAATTTAAGAAGTAAGATGTAGTCTGATCTTGATAAACATAAAATGGACGCATTTACATCAACTTCAAGCTGCAATCCGACTTCATTGCCTTGTTGTAATGTTCATATCGACCGAAAGCGCACGTTAAAAACGGGATTAATCAATTGAAAAGATCGGTCTAGATGACCGCAGATGATGTAAACAATCCTGACGTAGTCAATTTGCTTACGCGAGAGACGAAATCATAACGTTTTCTAGGCCATTTTCAAACGTTAAACTGGATAACTAAACATATTATTTATATGCTATTGATAACGTTATTATAAGCAAAATGGGTCAGAAAATGTCTCCGGCGAAAAGACAAGATAAATCAAACGAGGAAAAGATGCAGAAATTTGGTCTGACATTATTTTTACTTCAGAGCAGGAGGTTTTTGTAAAAAGAAGCGCAGGAAACAGAGGAGAAAAAGTTAAAGCAAACAAAGATAAGAATCGAACAGCATTTATTAATTTTCCTTTGCTTAATGCCATCAGTTCAGATGAAAGAAGGCTTTCTTTTCACTCACAAAATACTACATCTACAAGAAACCACCAACATGAATACAAATTTTACGAGAATAGTTTTCCATTTGGAATTGTTAATGAAGCTTTTACATTCACGTTGAGAAGACCTCCACAACCAATGTTTAAAGCAGACTTTCAAAAGATTGAACCACCGATGAGAAGATAAAAAAAGTGAAATTTAAATAATTCTACTAGTGAACAAAATGTGTAATTTATGATAAGAAAAACACGAAATTATAAAAATAATAAAATATCGCACCACAATTAACGCCACATCATTGGCTTTTATTGAGTTATTTTCAACTGCTGTTGTCCCAAGTAAAAAGGATTCTCCTCCTGACTTCACAAATACTGAAAATCTGGATGAATTTTAATAAATCAAATAATGTCAAATTATTTCAACTAACAACAATTTGTTTAATTTACCTGTTGAAGCTTTTCTTCATTGTCTTGCCTGAAGTCATTGACCTTAATCTAGCTTCACCATTGACTTCTAAAGAATTGCTGGTGCTGCTAGACCCTATAGATGCTGGCTCATTTTCACCATCTGTTTCATCATCCCAACTATCATCACCAGATACTGTACTCTGTGAACGAAGAGGAGCCTTTGGGACCACTGATGGAGCATTGTTGGTTATTGTCTAAATCAATAAAAAAATTTATTAATATAAAAGAGCTTGATCAATAAATTTTATGTTTGCATAACACAATAAACCATAACAAAGGAAAAGATTGAAAAAAATTGAATTCTAGACAGGTTCAAGCGAGAGGCATTGACAATTTGCAAATAACAGACTTCATGATGATATTTCACTTAAGTGCACAAACACAAAGTGACCACAAGGGCTATAGTCACATGATAGCTATGGTCCAAGACCAAACAAATGACATAAAAATGTAAATGAAAAATAATATGACAACAAACATGAAGGCTTGTTAAAAGTTAGTGTTAGGCTTTCAAGATAAATTTCAAAAAAATAAAGTCATAGCTATTTTCTGAGCCTATTTCTACAGTTCAACAACATAAGGGGTATGCTCTTATATGTAATATTTGATCAATTTGCATTGAAATGTCAAAAATATTGCATAAAGATATAAATGCATGTAATATTGTATTTTATCCAATTCATCATAAGTACAAATGATAATTTTTTTCATTTTCCATTGCATTAGAAACATTTGAAATGTCATCTCAAAGAAGATAAACATTTATATCAAGTTTTCTTAAACCTCTTACAACTGACACAACACAGTCAATGCTTATATTCACTAATCACTATACTTCACAATCATTTTAACTAATTAGGTCTTCTATTTTCAAGCTTGTCATAGGAAAGACTGACTTGTCTATACAACTACATAGAAATTAATATTTTACACCAAAGCAAGAGTTTGAGTTAAATTTAGCCTGCAATTATGGATGGAATTTATTTAAATGTGGCAAATTAAGCTGTGTCACACATCAAAGTGAATTTTTATTAGATACTCATATACATATTTCAAGCACCTTATAGTCTTCATATTTTATATAAAAATAATTTAATATAGGCTTCAAGAAAATTTCCATACAATTTTCCAACTGGGTACAATTAACAGAAAAGTTTTGTCATTTAATTTTACCTAAGACTTCCGAGGACTATTAAATATCAACAAGCGTTTTAGGTATTTAGCTTCTTGACCCTTTTGTCATGAAAGTTATCTCGTCATGTATAGTTCTTAAATTTGAGAATTTATGGTAAGAAACAGCGATATGCTAGCCGTAATATACCTCAACGTATGATTCAGGAAACAATCCTTTTTTTCCAGACGCGTTAACTCCTTCCCACCATCCATCACCGACATTCTAGCAAAGAAAAATCATGTCATCACTGTTTTCGTATAGATTTACATCACTTAAATTTTGAAGAACCAATTCTAGCTGCATACCTGGTCCGTAACGGTCAGAATTTCGTTTTCGCTGATAGTGAGTTCGCCATTCGCCGCTTCTCCTTCGAAATCGTATAACACTTTGACCTTAAAAATAATAAAAATAATTCAAAAATAGATGTTATCAGTAAGTCATATAAAATTACAAAAATAAAACACTCGTCAAGTCGAAATAAACAACTGAAAGAAGCATCCTAACTTCACATACCTTGAACGCCATTTATTTATAAGTGCATCAAGTTGTTTTTCTATATTTAAGAAGCCACAGCGCCTGCCGTCTAACTGTTCCAGTTCAACACTTCCTTTAAATAATGACTTTCATTTTATACACACAATCGCTATCACTGACCTCGTAGTTTACATATTTTAGTGTAATATCTGAGGAAAATTACGCCTTTGCACAATTTTTAACATGCTTTCATTTATCCCTTTTATAACGTACAGACTACTCACTTTTTTTTGCAGGTTTTTGACAATCTAAGTTTTAATTTAATATAAATTACGTAATATGTAGAACAGCCCCCGGCTCTTAATTTGTACAAAAATTCTTTCAACAAATTTCTTTCTTTGACGTAGGATAAAGAAATCAAAAACCTTTATTCTCTGCCCCCAACAGGACTTTACAAAGAATCCAACCAAATATTTCGAATGTCTTAATTGTGCCATGTATAGATTGTTATTTTTATTTTATCGAAATAAACACAATTTTGAAATAGACAAAGAAGTATTTAAAACATTTTTTCTGTTACCTGTTGAAATATTTTTCTAAATTTGTCGTACTATTTATTTATTTATTTTTAACGTCATCGTCTATTCACTACTTAATCATCATATCTAACCAGGCTCATAAAACATCTTGATTTTAGCAACTAGCTCTTTCTCTCTTGGCTCAAGATCGCTTTCATGTTGAAAATCATATCTATTGTACAAAAATGTTTTCCAAGAACTGAACGAAACACCAATATTACTCTTTAACATTTTCTCACAGTCAAATGGAAAGCTTTCAATGGCATCATGATTGAACGAGTACCCCCCAAGACTGTTAAAAGCAATGTACGGGTTAAATTCACTATGTTCACATGGTTTTGAGAAGCTGAAGGTTGTAAGAGAGGACCCAGATGTGACGTAATAGGAATATGACGTAAAATCCATTCCTATGAAGAGCAAGAAAAGACAAACAAAGCTGGCAGTAAATTAACCATCTAATAAGATTGTACTTACAATTGATAATCACAACATCTCTGCTGTGAAAGGTTCACTTTACCTTTTCCAGAACGAAGAACTTGTAAATTTTTTGTAGAGCATTTTTGCCTTAAAACAAAAACATGTTTTATAATCTCCAATGTTTATGTTATACAAATGTAATGGCATCATGTCGAATAAAATTACCAGCGTTATCGAGTAAAAATTCGTTTGATTTCATGAAAAACCAAAGTTCTTCGAAATTATCGTCATTTGAAACATGTTCACATTCTTCGTTTTCTCTACAATATTAACATGAAAAAAGTTAAATTATAGTTACATTTTTGTATCTTATGAGAAAGGTAACACATTAAATATATACGAATAATAACATTATGTACATTTTCATAAAAAAAAGTTACTCCTGTTACTTACACTTCACTCATGATTTCAACAAGTTCCTTTATCTTCTCATCAATCCAATCTTTTTTCTCTTTCAACAATATTTCGATAACACGCCATCGTCGAGATTCTTCAAAACTCTGCGACCTTTCTCCCACCAACACGCAATATAACAAGTTATTTAACGTTTTGTAATCGTTGACGATAACATCATGTAAAGAAGGTGAAATTTTACTAAGACTGTCTTCGGCACACTCACAGAGATATCGATAAAGCAAGCTACCTATTATCTGTAAAGAAAAATCCTCATAAAACTTTTACATTTATAAACAGTCTAAATACTTTTTCTAAGTTTTTTGCTGAACTGTAAATAGAATATTACATGATTCTATCAATGTCAGGCTTAAAAGTCTGTCACACTAAATAATTGCTTTGTTAAAAACCAACTGAAACTGTCTAAATAGAGCAAAGATGATTTATACATTTTTATACAACTTTAAGATTATCAAACCAGTAAGATAATTTTGCAATGTGTCGACCACCTTATTGACGTATTCAGGAAAAAAGAAATTAGAAATCATAATGCAATTGCTCATACCATTATTCCAGCACAAGGTTTCAGTTCAGTGTCAGGTTTCACTTGACGTAGTTCAGCTAAACGCAAAATAATTCAAAAAGTAATAAAATAATAAAACAATGCAACCATAAAATATTTTGTCGACGCTTATGTATATAGAACAAATTTCCAAAATATAATTGTAATTAAATTCATAATTTTCATTCATGGTTTAACGTTTTGAAAATCCTCTGGAACACATAATCTTCTTTACACAATATGTAACTGTTTTTCAAATAACTTCAATTACAACAACGTTTACCTTCAATTCTATTGAAAAGCTTTAAAACAACTTTCGGCATCAAAGGAATCGTACATACTAAGTCATTCAAAATTACTTCAAATGCCTCCGATATTTTCATTTCACCTTTGAAAAATCAAAAAAGTTTAATGATTCATTAAATAAAATGTTTAATCAACTATTTCAGAACAAAGAAAACCGTCTACTTATTTCCAAAACAATGAGAAAGGTTCAATAGAAAAGGCTACAACCTACCTTTATTTTTGAATTTATGTTCATGTCGTTCTACTTTACATCCACAAGGTAACGTCTTCGTTAATGTAAAATTGAATGATTTACTTTGAGTTTCGTAGAAACTTGTGAGAACAAAAACCATTCTTTTTTTCCATCTAACAAAAATCATAATTCCTGCATTCGTAACTTTTACTACTTTCCTAGACATTGTATAGCCACATTACTTTCTCCACCTGTTAAGAAAAGGCTTTAATGTTGAATATAGGCAATCAAGCCATAAAGGAATCTGAAAATCAAATAAAAATTAATGATTACAAATATTTCGTGCGTATAATATTAATTTGAGTGTGAAAACCTGGTCTTCTTGTGTTAGTCGTAAGTATTTGATCGTTGAAAACGTTTTCCAAGCATTCTCCCTAAATTAAAGAATGAAATTTACCAACTTCTACAGTGGATAGATGCAACAGCTCATAGCTGCTTCTCATAAGAATTATTTAACAAAAAAATCAAAACAAAAATGATTATACACTCACCTGTTCATCAAAGCAATTACAAAGTTTACGTAAGATTTCCAGTTGTTAGCACACTTTAATATGACGTAATAAAATGATGTAATAATAGTGAAACACGATTCACTCATCTTTAAACTCTCATTTTGTGAGTTGAACTGGACATAAGATTTCTTTGACGAGCAACTACAGACGTCATATAATAAATCGTTATCTAGAAGAAGTAAAGAAAAAAATTATCGTCAAACATCATTGTCACAACATCGACACACAAGTGATAAAGTTGACTTCACTCACCAAGATTGGTCACTATAGCAACAGGCAAGTAGCTGTCCCGTAACAGGACAGTCTAAAAATTTCACAAAAAATGTGTCATAATAAAGGTCAATATGTTTGTATTCTTTACCCACAGTATTCATACCTGTAGAACAAGAGACCAAACTGGTGATGGCTGGTTTATCATTAATTTGAAAGATAAATTAATTGCTTGAACATCGGTGAGATGTACTATTCTGTAAAACATATAAAGAACATATGAACAATTGTCATTGCCACTGTTCAAAATTTTAAATAACGTTAAAGTTTAAAAAGTATTTTGTTTATTTCATTTTGAGTTCAAAAACCAAAAGATATCCTTGCTTAATTTTTATATTGTCTACGAACTTATGGTACCATGGCCCAACATTTAAGTCCAATATTTACTTTCCTTCAAATCTCTTATCACCACGATGATATACTCAGCAAAGAAATTGCTTAAAGAGTCATAAGTTACTCGGCATTTCCAAAGTCCTAATCAGAGATTTAATCTATGACCCACAATAACCCTCGATAACCTACAACAGCCCTTCATCATCCAAACATCACCTTTTAGTATGTTCACCATATAGTTGAGGTTGAAGCCAAGTCAACCAAGATGTAACAGTACTCTTTCCTTTTCTAATCAACTCGTCTTCGCCGCTGGAAGCATACAAACATAGGGTTTGCAGAGGACACATATGGATCGTCATGATTGCCAGTAATGAAGAACATGAGTTATGTATATCTATTATCAAACTTTCCGTCGATTTTGGGTTTAATATTGACGTGAGGGAAGTTAATGTTGGAAATATCATCCACGACGAAACACTAAATAAGATCGCCGTGATGTCAGATCTGAAAATAAATAGCAAAAATAAAATCAGTTATGGACAATGTGGTCATCTTGTCTATATTGTTATCACTCACAAAGAATCTTCAATATAGCTACCTAAAAAGTTTAGCCCTTCTATAAGAAGGAGATTCCTTGGAATAACGCCTTACAAAACAGGTGAGGGAATAGTGAACGATAGATATGAAAATTTCTTGACATTTCTTGGGTGAACACATCTGCCATAAATCATGATTTAAACCTTGCATGTAGTAATGCCACATTTGTACCGAGAATGAACATCGCTCACCCTAAAATGTAAGAAAATTTACATAACTTCCCCTCCTGAAATGTAAGAAAATTAACATCGCTCCCCTCCTGAAATGTAAGAAAATTAACATCGCTCCAGGTTACGTATAATGGACTAGCACTAACGTAGACAAACAGAAGTAGAAATTACGTCATAGAGCTACCACCTCAAAAAATTCTTTCTCGTTCGTCCAATGATGACTGTGAACATCATGTAGAACAACAGTTGAAAGCGTCAAACGATGATAATTTAAGATTTTTCCATTCAGAGAAACAATAAGATCGTTGTAAACGGACATCAATGAACTAAAGGATATAAAGAATAATATGTATACTGCAAGATCCCACTGTGTACCTAATTTACCCAAGAAACACGAAGTTAATGAGCTATACTTATAAGGAATATGTGCACCAGTCTGAATTATATCTTTTCAAAAAATACAAAGATCATGTTTCATAGATTCAGTCATTAGCTAAAACATACCACAATACACTTTCATTATTTTCTTCAAACTGTTGCAAAGTCATTTTAATAAGAGCAGCAGAATTAAAAACAGCATAGAGATTTTTCACCAAAGATGACCTTGGAACATCACAGCTCATCTACAACAAAAACAAATTCATAAAATATAAAGAAAGTAAAAATAATCATTATAATATTGTAAAAATAAAAGAAAAACCAGCAAAAGATACAAAAATTATAAAGCATTTATTGCACAGGTGATAGTAGTAAATCCATTGATCATATAAAAATGTTTGAAACCTGTGACAATCTTGATTTGTACAACAAAAGACTAGTTTTGATCGCTTCCCAGAATGCATTTCTAACACTTTTAAATTCCCAGTGAGATTTCAGCAAGAGAAAGGTTGAAAGCTCATCTATTTTTGTCAAAATTAATGCACAACTCTGAAAGACATACACACAATGTATTACACATCAATCAATCAAAATAAAAAAATTTCAGATAAGAAAATGTTAACAATGATCAAAGTGATCGAAAATATTTACATATCAATAAATGAACTTTACCAGAGAAACAACTTTAGGAAAGTCTGAAAGATTACGAACAAGAATTTCTAAAACAAATAAAAAATGAATTGATTATTTGATTAATACAAATATAAAAATAGAATGGTTTCCTTTATAATATTTATAAATATAATTATGTTTATTTTCATTTCTTTATTACCTGGAACATGTAACATTTGATATTCATGGTCTCTTTTTTTATACACTTCCATTTCTTCAGCCAATGCACTTTTTGTAACTGACAGAATGATCTCTGAGATAGCTAGTGACAGCTTACTAGCTGTTGATTTAAACACTTCTTGCCATGGCCAAATGTGATGCTCTCCATTAAAATCTTCTGGTTCATCTTGTACAATGTCTGATGGAGAGTTCTTGCAAAACTAAAGACAGAAGAGGTTGGCAGATTAAAATATTCTGGAGGAATGTATTTTTTCTGATTCGAAGGCAGTGAAAGTAGGTTTAAAATGGCCTGTACCAGTTGAGAACATCAATACCTTCAGATTTCTTTAAGCTCAGTAAAAATTTCTTAGCATTAGCATCAACTAACGATGCAGACAGTAAACACTGCCTCAGCATAATAACAAGGTTGTTGGATAAAGTGAAATCATTCTTCAATTCTTTTCCCAAAGCACATTGAGTTTCTACAATTTCACTAAGCTTTTTATAGAAGTCTTGCAAGTAAACAGTGTAAATCTATAAAGATACAATGAATATAATTGTTAGAAATCAAAATTGAATGATTTTGATATTGAATTTAACAAAGTCCACCTCATCATGTTGCATTTGAGCATTTTCAAAAAATATTTGAGAAGTAAATATAGAAAAATCCTCTTGAAACACCACATTCAAAGCATGATTGGCAAGATCTAAACATCCAATGTGGTCTTCCATGTTGTTGCTTCCTTCAATATCACCATTTTCACCCAAAATGTTGGCTTTTGAAATAATCCTTTCAAGTTGATATTTTCTCATTTGAAGATATTTCTTTCTCAAATCTTTGGCTGTGTACAGCAAGCTGAGTTTCTCAAGAATAGTAATTTTCTGAAAGCAATCATTTTAACAAATTCCTTTCATGATTTGCTTTGGGGTTCTTCAAACTAAAGGAAATAATGTTTCATTACATACCTTGGTAATGTTTATTTCCAATTGTTCTGGTAATATTTGCATGAATGGTACCATGTTATCAAGAGTTGATAGAAGACCTTGACATACAATTTTTCTTATTTTATCCCATAACTCATGGCAGGTTTCCTCATTTTCATTTTGCACAAGGTTTAAGGAGACAGTAGACTGATGAATATCACTGACAATCTCTGTTTCTGGAGTTGGCAAAACCACACCTTGATTTGAAAAGAATAAAACAAGTTCATCAAATATCACTTCTTCTTGTCCAACATTTCTTTTGAATGTTTGCACCTTAATGACATAAAAATTAGATAAATTTTAAGTATAAATGCAAACGAGTGCATTATTAAATACAAACAATTGTTTATAATAGAATACTCACCACATTACTGAGAAATTCATTTAAATTGATGAATTCTGGATTGCAGCTGTGTTTGCATGGAATGATTTTTTCATGAATATATTCAAATAAATTTTTGATTGATGGCGATGGATTTTCATGTTGTAAAATCTGCTCTTCCTGCAACAGTAACTTCCATTCTTCATCAAATCTAGAATCATACAAATTATAAAGCATCAAAAGAAGAAAGCTAATCCGTATTAACTAAGCTTGAATTTTTTTACCTTATTTGTGACAATTTAATCTGGTTTCCTACAATTTTTACCACTTTTTCCAACTCCATTGAATCCATTTTTAACTTTAAGCCATCAAGAATCATGTCTATATCAACTTGACCTTTTTCGTCTTCAACCATTTTCTTTTAAAGCTCTATCAGCAAGTTCTTCGTGCAAAGATAACTGGTTCTACTGAAGCATCTCACAAATGATTTCAAAATTAGTCATTTTAATGGTCAATTTCCAGCACTCTCGATGCTTTGCACCATTCTTTTTACATAACAAGGTGCGTTTTGTGCCCATTATTACAATATAATCAACCAATTCACAAATGCTTTCATTTCATGATATTTACAGGTTTTGTTTTGCCAAGCAACAATGAAAGCAACTGAAGATAAACTTCGGCAGTCGGAAAACAATCTTCGGAAGCTGTCGTTTCCAAACTTGCCTCCTTTTAATAGATGGACGTTTCCTAAGGACATTTCAATTTTTTCCATCAAGTAAACAATTTCTTACATTTATCATTGAAATAAAAATATATTTAACTTGCGACTTAAAATATCATCTTATGAAATGAGCGTATTGCCAGAATTTCTTCTATCAATTACTCAACAAAATGTCCTTTAAGAGAGCTGGAGATGACCACTGTGCTTTGCGTTTACAGAAAGTAAGTATATTTAAATGTTTGACAGTCTAAAATGAGAATCTTTGAATAGAGATTTCACCGAATTACCAAGTTTCGTATGTTTTAGAAACAGCGAGTTGCAGAGTTGTTTGCTGAAGACATTCCTGCAGATGAAGTAAATAAAACAAGGAGTGGAAAGTAGACAGACAGTATTTTTTAATTTTCAAGAAATAATTTGTCTTTATTTTTTTCATTTTGTATTTGTTTTCTAGATATGTCTGTCTCGTTTGCCCGCACTGTCCAGTTTTGGACACAATGCCAATGTTATGTTTACACAGACAGAGCAGGAAACATTTAAAAAGTAATGTAATACTGTCTTGTTCTTCATAAAAGTTGTGAAGTTGGTCATGTGTTTTTGTATTGTTAGTGTATGTCTAAACTCATACATATTAGAGCAGTCGATGAATGTACTGAAATTTCTTCTCAACTATAGACACTTCAATTAAAATTGAAAGAGATCACAGGTTGAAGGATGTTCATCAAAAACAGCAACATGAACTATATTTGAAAAAGATAAATTTTGTCAGCACACCATCACCAACTAAAACCTTCAAAGATTTGATGGAATGTCATGAAGAAGCTCCACTGCTTATTGAAACAAAACAAATAACGGAAAGTTTGTCAAAACAAGCAAACAGCCAAAGGAAGCAATCTGTAATCAGAAATAGCTCACAAGTTTTGCCAGCCAACTTAAAAACAAACAAAGAAATGAAAAACAAACCATTTTTCCAATCAAGGATTGAACATAAACTCTCACAAGAACATTTTAAACTTGATACAAGACCTTGCAAGCCAAATGGTGTAGATTCTCTAAAGTTAAATGATAAGTTAAAATCTGAACATTCGTTGAAAACATCATGTGAAAATGTAGCAGGGAATTTTTCACAACAAACAACAAGTAATCAATCAAATCATTCAGTTTATAAGGGGCATTCAAGGATAAGTGAGGAAGAAAAGAAAAGATATTTTGAAATGAAAATTTCTGGTTGGATATTAGATGTCAAAGGCAAATGGGTGAAAGATGAAAATGCAGAATTTGATTCTGATGATGATTAGTTGAAACACTGAAATATAAGAGAAAATGTTTGTAGTATAATGAAATAATCCCTATTTTTACAAAATATGTCTACATTATATTTACAATGTATACAATGTTTCCCATGAATTATTATCAGTCTTAAGTTACATAGAAGTTGTCATGGTTTCCATGTTATGACTTTAACAGCAATCTGAGCAGCTTTCCTTACTGCAGGACTATCATAATCATTGATGAGCTTTGTAACCTAAAATCAAATTTTCAAATTCTTTAGCAGGTTATTGAACAATTAAGATGAGTATCAATGCATTTTTAAACAAATAATTGCTCAGTATAAAAACAAATTGAATATAGTTTGTTGAAACTAACAATATGAGTGAACTTGTTGACCAACTGGCATTATGATTTTGTTGTTTTAGTGGTTCAGAGCATTTGGCTTGTGTTGTACAATTAGACTTGCAGTGTGCGAATTAGTTCAGAAAAAACGATGTGCAATTTTTTTGACAAAAGTGTTTCTTTAGAGGCATTCAAATCGATATTACATGTAATTGCTATATTAATGTTCATATGATTCATGTTGGTTAAAACTGATTTTGCACATCGTTTGTGATGTGCAATTGTTTCAGAAAACGATGTGCAAATTGCACATTGCACACCGTTAATTCGCACACTGGAGCAAAGCCATGTTTTCTAGAAAAAGCCAAGCATGTTTAACTCTCCTTTACTGTGTTACCTTTTCAACATTTTCTACTAAAATTTCGCGTCCTTTAGGAGCTTCAGCCAATGTTGTTAATGCCTGTGAAATGAATGAGCATGAACTCAGAATGACAGACCTGTCATTAAGGAATGACTTTCTTCAGTAGGCTAGATTTGTCACCTTAGAGATTACCTTTTAGCCTCTTGTTTACTTTGGGGAAAGATATGCATAATTTTCCTTATAATTTAAGTTATTTATAATTGACAGTTACTTTATCTTACCTTCAACACATTTAACCTCACTTCACTAGAATTATCAGAAAGCAATAGAACAAGACTGGGTAAAATGTCTTCTTCAATGGCAGAATATTTTCCAGGTGTTGTGATAGTTATTCTTAAATACAAACAACAAACAAACAAACATTTGTATACCGGCCAGTATTAATCCCCGCCAGGGGGGTTGACTGGTCCATGAATTTTTCATGATAGTTATTCTTAAATAAACCATGATAATGAATGTCAGCAAGCAAAAGCAGTTCATTTTCGTGTGACTAGTAGTAAATTGTAAACACATTGAACTGTTTAGCTTACACCATAATGGCACCAGCTGTTTTTGCCCTCACATCTGCATCACTGTCATGAAGTAAAGGAACCAATGATTTAATTGCACCAACTTCTACTGCTTTGTTTTTCCCATCCAATGGAAAACTGAAGAGAAAATGTATTGAAAATTACGACTGCCAAAAAGTACATTTTTACTGATGATGAGATTTAACACTAGTCTTGTTGATACGTTTAGAAGAAATATTTACTTTATACACAGTGTCAAATGTCTTGTGTTTTACTAAAATTACTTATTTTTCCTAATTATTTGATGGCACAATGATAATTGTGAAAAACGTTACCTTAAATCCATAATATCTCTGGCAGCTTTACCGCGTATCACAGGTGATGAATGAGAAAGCAGTCTCACAAAAACATTCATTCCATTGTTATTTAATGCATCGCTTGTATTCACCCTCATGCAGTAATGAAGTGTGTCCAAAATGATCCCCTATGAAAGAAAGAAATAAAATTATTTAATTTTCTATAAACTGATTAAAATTATCTTAAAGACTATTTTCACACTATCTTAAATTTGTTTAGGTATTCTTGTTCTCTGTTGTTCATTCATCACTACCTACACTGACACACGTTATCTTAGTTTATATTTTAGGTAGTGTAAAGACTATTCTTGTTTTTCTCTGTTGTTCATTCATCACTACCTACACTGACACACGTTATCTTAGTGTATATTTTAGGTAGTGTAAAGACTATTCTTGTTCTCTGTTGTTCATTCATCACTACCTACACTGACACATGTTATCTTAGTTTATATTTTAGGTAGTGCAAAGAGTTCTCTGTTGTTTATTCATCAGTACCTACACCAAAACACATTATCTTAATGAATACCTTTATATCATCAGTCTCTTCAAACAATAATGCAACTAAAACAGGAATGAGACCAGCTTCAACAATCCCTTGCTGTCCACTTATATGGTGTGAAAGCATCTCAATAGCCAAATGTGAATTCTTTCTTGATTCATAAATTGTATCATTAAACTGTTAAAAACCAAAATTCACACAATCATTGTCAAACACCATTCACGACAAAAGTTTGCATAGCACAAAGGTTTTTTCCTTTCTAAAGCTTGATGGTCTGTATGTGTGCATGTTTATCCTTTGTGTATTTTGCAAACTTCCAAATTGGGTCTTGAAGAGAACAAAACTGAAAATATGATTTTAATCAAACTGCAATTGTAAAAATTTCACTCACCAGCTTTGATAAAGGTAAAATTATTTCATATTCAAGAAATGCATTTCGTCCAGATGCGTTACTGGCAATGATGAACAAAACTTCAGTTGTCTTGTGTCTGATGGTTGAATCATCGCTCGTTAGAAGCTTCTTCAGGCTCAATACAATGCCTAAAACATCATATACATAACAGTGATTTAAACGATCGACTTAACAAGATAAACAAAAGATTTCGGTCCCACCGACATTTAGAGCTTCACTTATATTTTGTGGATCATGAAGAATGTCACACAACGACATCAGAGCTCGATGTTTTGTCAAAACATCAGTTCCATTCAGTTCTCTATTCTATATAATCAAATGTCATTTTACGTAATTCAGTCGACTTACACTGTCTGATAGATAAACACTAGTTACGTACCAATTTTGGCAAAGCTCTTTGTCCGTAGGCCAAAGGAGCTTTGGTGATATCAATATTAGGTGGTAATTGATTAGATATGACTGTTCCAGCCATCTTTCTACCAGAATGAATAAAATGTTAAAAAATTTACCATTTACTATTTTTTTAGCTTCCTTCGTTGCCAAGCAACTAGGATTAGGTATCACAGTGAACTCTATAATAACTGGAAGGCTAAATTTCCCGCCGAAGCCAAATCTGGTAATCTTATTGGGTGATTTTCACCAATGGCAGGCTGAATTAACCAAGTGTCAATCACTCATTTCTAGTTGCATTTTCGGAGAACCTAACTTCTTCTCATTTATTAAATTTCTTCAAGAAGAGCTTATGTCTAAAATTTTGACGAAAAATTCCGAAGATTTATCGCAGAAAGATGAAGAATTGGTTAAGTTATCTTCAATTGAATGAAAGGTAACGACTTTCTTGTGGTCTAGAAAACTTTTTCGTTTTATTGTATTTTTAAGGTGAGAAGCACCCAAAGGACTTTGGCCTGTTGTTTGTTTCGCCAGACCTTGACGAAAGATGAAGTTTATCGTATTTTTTCCCCGTTTATAATATTTTTAGCGAACTTTTTTACAATGTTGCTTTGTTTCTTCCTTTCTTGAATGCTTTGGAAGGTTTGGAAGTAAGAAATAGTTCATATTTTTCCGTTTTTAGCACGAAGTTGTGACCACTTCCATTTGGCTTGCACAATAAGCTATCGCAAACGGTGTCCCATTTTAACGCCAACAAACAAGAAACTCGACGGAAAATGAAAAATATCAACTGAAAATACATTAAGGTACAACGTGAATGAAATTTTTTTGGTTTATTCGAAGTTAAAAGCGTGTTTTTGAGCTGAAACTTCAAAATTTTGCTTGGCCCGTTTATATTGTATTGAAGAGCACTTTTGGCGCCAATTTCTCACCGCGCTTAATTATTAAACACTGGGACCAAATTTTTCCTAATATATGCAAAAAATATTTCGAAATCCGGAAATCATTGCATGGCAAATATTTCAAAAAGACCAGATAATGAAAATTATGAAGAAAGAAATTTAATTTTCAATGTATTATGTTTCTGTTCTGTAATCCCAGAACTGCATTATTTATGTAAAAGTTTTCGTTACCATGACCATTCATTTTGAATTAGGAATTTACAGTGGAATTATCATTTAGGACAAAGCATGGTTAATCAATATTTTATTGTTTGAAGCTGCGGACGCTTACTATAACTATTTGCTATCTCTAACAGTACTTGTAGTAGTAGAGAACATAGAGTTCTTTAATAACTGGTTACTGGAAGTTCTATCGCAATAACGGCTTTATTTGTCGACTTAAAAATGGGGAAAAAGACCTGTAGTTCCCCAATGTTTCCTGAGATTTACCAAAATTGACCGTTTTCGGATAATATTGCAATTGCTTACCGTCTCCTGAAAAAAGTGCGGAAGAAATGTGTTATTTATTTCGTTTGTTTCAATATTCATGAAGAAATGTTATTTCATTCATTGTCATTCATTCTCATGTTTTTACTTTTTTTTCTTCTCACCACAATTATGGCATCTTCCTGCATCCAAAAAAAAAACACGAAGGAGTTTTAGATATTATAAAATGTATTCGTACACGTTGCACATTTAAGGCATCTATTGATTCTTTGTTTCTTTTGACATAAAAATAAAGTTTTACTTATATGTATAATTTATGATGAATGAATTGCAGCCCTCGAGGCTCAAGATGATGGGTATATGTTATACATAAAATATAACAATATTGTATACAAATCACTAGTAAACTAAAACAACATCAAACAGTAGCATGATTTTAGCACAATTTATATATATGATATAGCCAAAATGCAAAATAATCATTGAAGCTTACATATAACAATAGCATTCATAATTTAAAGGTGAACACCTAGTAGCATTTTTCATACTTCTACCATTCTTTTTCTTTTTCTGTGAGATGTGTACAGTGTAAATGTGTGCAATTAAAATTTATGCTTTTTCACCCAAATATAATTTATACATGTATTTAATATCAGTAGCAATAGAATGTTCTTCCTCTGGCTCTGAGTATTCCAACATATGGTCTTTTTCACACAAAGATGATAAAGTGCATGTACATAGGTTATAGTAAGACATTAAAACCAAATAAAATATATTCTGCATTGTTTTATGCAAAAAGCTTTTTAATAATTATAATTATACTTCCACTATTTTATTCATATCATGGGTAAAAAAAATGTCCATTCTGTACTCTGAATGATAAAATAGTTCATGAAATTAGAAATAACTACTATAATATTTTCATGCTTCAGTTAAGCAATTATTTAACATATAAGAAATGATACCTTTCAAAGTATAGTGCAAGTATACCATAGATTAGAAATTAAAACATTCTATAACAATATTTTAATTAAGCTATGACATGATTTTTTCATTGAGTAGTATAGAACTCAGTGGATTTTACATAAATCTTACATTTGGAGTCAATCATCACCCATCTCAGTTGAGTATCAATATCCACATAACCACATACTTTCTGACCATTCCACTTTACATGTTTGTAAATTAACATTTCAACAAGCACATCAAGGCACACATGTTTCCTGGTACTTGAGCCTTTACTTTGAAGCATAAAAGGCATCCTTAGTTGAATACAGAATCTTTGTCAACAAAGTTAAACCATGATCAAATAACTATTGGATGAATAAAACTATAAATCATGTACCTTCTTTTCAGCCAAACCAGTAGTTGATTAGAGTATGTTTTGCTAATGAAATAGTGACTAACAATGCTTGGGTTCTATTGGTATACCAGCATTTTGTTTAAAATAAAGTTATTGGCCTTACATAGTTACAAACTTACAATAAAAGAATTTTAAACTAAGGTGCAGTTTTCACCTTTGTTCATTTCACTGGTACATACCAGTTATTATAGCTTTTTACTTTCCTGGATTCCAACTGGTCGATATTCGTTCCTGTGGGTATGTGATAAAATTATCATGACCTTCTTCCTAGAGCAGGAGCTAAACGGGTTATAGAAGGGTGACTAAGACCACTCAACCCCAAATAATTAACGCTGCAAGACAAATTACAAAACGAAATACGTTCCGAAAGTTATCCATCATACATGCCGAAAATACAGTGAACTTTTAGTAAAAAGTTTTACCTGGACAACTCTGTTCTTTTTACACTCACCCTTCGGATTGTTTGCATTCAAAATCACTCATATTTCGTGTGGAAATTTTGCATTATAAGTGAGTAAAAGATTACCATGTAAACGAAGGATAAACTTTGTCAATTTGATGAAGTTAAATAGATATCAAACCAATATTATGAATGTTACTTTCATGAATAAGTCCAGTCGCGTATCTGCATGGCATCTCGTATTCTTAAAAAAGGGGCAAGTTTCTGCCTTGGTTTTAAAATTCGTAAAAGAGTCTATTAGAATTCTACCAGCGGAGGGTTAGAAAGGTACAAACCGGTACTTGTTGTATGACAATGAGTATATCGCATGATTACAAAGGGTACAAGAAGAAATAAAGCAAATTTCCCGCCGAAACCAAATCTCGTAATCTTATTGGGTGATTTTCACCAATGGAAGGCTGAATTAACCAAGTGTCAATCACTCATTTCTAGTTGCATTTCCGGAGAAGAACCCAACTCCTTCATTTATTACATTTCTTCAAGAAGAGCTTATGTCTAAAATTTTGACGAAAATTCCGAAGATATATCGCAGAAAGATGAAGAATTTGTGAATCTATCTTCAATTGAATGAAAGGTAACGACTTTCTTGTGGTCTAGAAAACTTTTTCGTTTTGTTTCATTGTATTTTCAAGGTTAAAAGCACCCAAGGGACTTTGGCCTGTTGTTTGTTTCGCCATACCTTGGCGAAAGATGAAAGTTTGTCGTATTATTTCCCCATTTTCTATATTTCTAGCAAACGTTTTACAATGTTGCTTTGTTTCGTCCTTTCTTGAATGCTTTGGAATGTTTGGAAGCAAAAAATAGCTCATATTTTTCCGTTTTTAGCACGAAGTTGTGACCACTTCCATTTGGCTTGCGCGACAAGATATCGCAAACGGTGTCCCATTTTAACGCCAACAAACAAGAAACTGGACGGAAAATGAAGAATATCAACTGAAAATATACAAAGGTAGGACGTGAATAAAATATTTCTTTGTTTATTTGAAGTTCAAAGCGAGTTTTTGTGCTGAAACTACGAAATTTTGCTTGGCCCGTTTATATTTCGCCATACCTTGGCTAAAGATGAAAGTTTGTCGTATTATTTCCCGTTTTCTATATTTTTAGCAAACTTTTTTACAATGTTGCTTTGTTTCGTCCTTTCTTGAATGCTTTGGAATGTTTGGAAGCAAGAAATAGCTCATATTTTTCCGTTTTTAGCACGAAGTTGTGACCACTTCCATTTGGCTTGCGCGACAAGACATCGCAAACGGTGTCCCATTTTAACGCCAACAAACAAGAAACTAGACGGGAAATGAAGAATATCAACTGAAAATATACAAAGGTAGGACGTGAATAAAATATTTCTTTGTTTATTTGAAGTTCAAAGCGAGTTTTTGTGCTGAAACTACGAAATTTTGCTTGGCCCGTTTATATTTCGCCATACCTTGGCTAAAGATGAAAGTTTGTCGTATTATTTCCCGTTTTCTATATTTTTAGCAAACTTTTTTACAATGTTGCTTTGTTTCGTCCTTTCTTGAATGCTTTGGAATGTTTGGAAGCAAGAAATAGCTCATATTTTTCCGTTTTTAGCACGAAGTTGTGACCACTTCCATTTAGTTTGCGCGACAAGCTAACTCGAGCGGTTGTCCCATTTCAACGCCAAAAACCCAACAAACTCGACGGAAACGAAGAATGTCGACTGACTATACTTAAAGGTAGGATGTGAATAATTTTTTTTCCGTTTATTTGAAGTTAAAACCGAGTTTTTCTACTGAAAATACGAAAATTTCTTGGGGAATATATATCATGTTGTTGAGGAAGAACAAATTTTGGCGCCAATTTTTCACAGCGAACAATTATATAGAGACTGGGCACAAGTTTTGCCTAATTTAAAATTCAAATGAAAACAATTCGACAAAAAGACCAGAGATTCGAAATCTTGACGAAAGAAAGCATGTTTGCGCTTTCATATTTTTGTTCAGTTATCTCAAACCGAGTTAAAACAATAAATTTATATGGTGTATAGAAGTTTTCGCTACCATAAGACAAAATGGCCGATCAACTTTTCTTTATTTGAAGTCATGGAGGCCAACAGTACAGTATTGAACTATCTTCGTTGTTGAGAAAGGATGGCAGTACCATAGTCTTGCAGTTTTGTGATTTTCTTCGTTATTTTTGATGAATATTTAATTGACTTAATTTCATAGGAACAAAGGGACAATCAAGCTTATTCACTGATTTACTTGTGCACATATTTTTTCATGACATAAAATTTTTCGACGTTTTTCAGTTCAAACTCCTCCCATACAAGCTAACACTTAGTAAGCCTTTCTTTCAGAATAAGATACAATGAATAAATTCTTTATTACATTAAAATATTAACTGAAAGGCAATTTTTTTATCTATTTATATATATGTTTTTGAGGGCTATATTGGCTTGACAAATATATGAAATGTCTAGCCTAAACAAACTGCATGGAGTCGGCTGCAAAACGCAATAGACAAAATTTTTTTTCGATGTTTTTCAGTTTAATTTTCCTCACCTGAGCTTAAACTTTATAAGTCTTCTTCTCAGAATAAGATATTATAATTATATGATTAATTAATATGTTAAATTAATTATTTGGGAAAAGCTGAATTAAATGAAAGGAAAAGACAAAAGATGACAGCAAATGTCGTAAATGCAAGAAACTTGGGAGAAGAGAAACATTATATTAGCTAAACATACAAGCTATTTACATTTGCAGGCTGAATTAAATAGCGTCATAAAATCATTTTTGACGTCTCACTTTTAGGATGAAAGTGTTCTGTAACTATTTTCCCCATTTTGCATCATTCTTCTCTTTAGCGAGTCTTCTGCGATAGGTAGATCTTACTACCAATGTCCATTTTCCTGTTTAAATATTTTTTCTTTTACTTGAGTTCTTTCTCACAAATACCAAAAAAGCAAAAGAATAAGGAAGGACGCTGCGTTCGCACAATGTGATGATGCAACCGAAAGAAGGAAGATGCTGCGCCTGCGCGATGTGATGATGTAACCGAAAAAAGGCAGATGCTGCGCCTGCGCGATGAGATGATGCAACCGAAAAAAAGGCAGATGCTGCGCTTGCGCGATGTGATGATGCAACCAAAAAAAAGCAGATGCTGCGCCTGCGCGATGTGATGATGCAACCAAAAAAAGGCAGATGCTGCGCCTGCGCGATGTGATGATGGGAGAATCATCTTCCTTCTTTCGGTTGCATCATCACATTGTGCGAACGCAGCGTCCTTCCTTATTCTTTTGCTTTTTTGGTATTTGTGAGAAAGAACTCAAGTAAAAGAAAAAATATTTAAACAGGAAAATGGACATTGGTAGTAAGATCTACCAATCGCAGAAGACTCGCTAAAGAGAAGAATGATGCAAAATGGGAAAAATAGTTACAGAACACTTTCATCCTAAAAGTGAGACGTCAAAAATGATTTTATGACGCTATTTAATTCAGCCTGCAAATGTAAATAGCTTGTATGTTTAGCTAATATAATGTTTCTCTTCTCCCAAGTTTTCTTTTAGTTGTAAGCCCAATGTAAGTTTTATATAATGAATGGATGACAACTATATAGCTCCATTCATTAATATAATATATTTTTGAACGCATAAGCATAATTATGTTAATGTTTAGCCTAATAAACTTGGTACAAGCTTGGAGTACATACTATATGAAATGACTACTTACGCTTGATAAAAAATAATTGTTTAGCCCAATAAACCTGGTATAAACATGCATAAAGTACATTCATTGAGACGAAAGTAACCAACATGAACTGATAAACGTCTGTCAAAAAAACACTTTGGTTAACTATTCAATAACTTCTGTTGTATTGTGCACAAGTAAATCACTGTCAATAGCTGAAGATGAACAATTGATGTCGACATCGATGAAAAGTACAGAAATGACATGTATAGTTGTCATCAAATGGTGCTTGTGTCGCATCACATACGAACTTTGTCATCGTTAAATCGGAGAAAAAGAGAATTGGAGTAAACTACTATCTATGAAAACAATGCTCGTACATGTCATGTATCAGCTGGAATATGGGCTTGGTGTAATCCTTTGTAAATATCATACTCGTTTGAACACTTTCTAAATCAATATTTGTGTCAAACTGCATGCTGGGAAGATATAACTCGCCTTACATTCAACAACACGTGCTAATTGGGATTAATCAACTGTGGTTTAAAATATAAGAACAGAGAACGAATACTAAAAATTTTCAAAAACGTTGGCGAGTTTATATATTGTCGCACACAGAAATTTACACTTTATCGACCGTGGCATCTGCATCATTGCTGTACGTTACTCAACTGGCTGTTATCAGCCTTGATCTTACAGGTATGTGCTAAAATTTTAGGCACGTTGTTCATAAAATAATGTAGCTGCTTGAAAAACATACAACTTCCAGAGACCTTTTAGAAATAAAAATGCTAAAATTCTCTTATACTTGTTTTAATGTTTTCACATACATTATCATTGGTATAAAAAATGATTTCGCAAAAAAAAAAATTCACCAACGCACGTTTTCATTTTCTAAAACATTTTTTATGTGTAAAGAAATGAAGCATCAGATCAATGAAATAGATCATGGAAATCACATATCTTGCCGTGGATTATATCATGGATCGTATCATATATGTCATGGAGTACATAATGGATATCATGGATCACATCACAGATATCATGCATGGATCACATTCTAACATGGAGTACATTATGGATATCATGGATCACATTGTCGACATCATGCACTATATTATGGATATAATGGACATCGTGGATTATATCTTCAATGTCGTAGATTACGTCATGGATGACGAAAGGAAATCTACAATGATGACGACGATAAAGGTGCCATAGTTTACATTTTGTTAATATCCTGGTGATCAATATTAGCATGAATATAATTGAAAAATGGCTAAACTTATTGACTGTCTTGATGCTGTTAGAGTTTATACATTTTTCATACTGATTTCAAATAATGATTGCAGAACATCGCCGATGATTTCAGAGCAAACAGTTGTCTGAAAATGACGGCACATATTGTACTGCACGAGAGCTTTTACCTAGCTATCGTGCAACATAAAGATGTCATCATTTACGGGCTTCTAACAATGTCAAATAGTTTGAGTGTTAATGAAATGAACTATTTTTATAAGTTCATTTTTTGATCACCAGGATACACTAATCTAAGTTCAAGGAAATAAGCATGGGTTTCCTTGAATTTTGA